GCAACTGCTATGAACTCAGTCCTTAGATAGTGCCCCTGAATGGCTTAAGTGTGCCTCTGAATGCCAGATGCTGGAAACTGTAAGCGGCGAGACCTCTGTTGCGCTCAGGTCATGCTTTCAGGACTCCCTTTGGCATCTTGTGGGCCACTGTGAGATCAAGAACCTGGACTAGAACTAGATGGGTAACTGCACTGATTCTGCAGGCTCTTCTCATCTTATGTTCTACACATACATTTTGGCTCATGGGCACATTGCACCATAGATTCTATGAACAACTTTTTTATCCAGTGTCACACTGAATTGGGAATGGTAACCTTAAACTTGTGCAAATGCAAAGTCATTTTCAAGTACACATATATGACCTTGGTGCAAAAAGGTGGTATTTCAGGAACTGATGAGATTATGGGATAGGGTTAAGCACATAAAGGATTATAACATCATAAGAAAGTACCTGATACCTAGATATAGACGATATATATAGATATAGATATAGATGATATAGATATAGATATAGATATAGATATAGATGATATAGATATAGATATAGATATAGATATAGATATAGATATAGATGATATAGATATATAGATATAGATGAGATTGCTTGAGACAACACTGAAAATTCCCCAGTCTTCAACTAATGTTCAGTGGATTTACTGAAAGAATGGTAGGTTTCAATAAAATGGCCAGATTTCTTTGAGCATGTCTTTTTATTATCTGGAACTACATTTGATTTTGATTTAAAAATAAATAACATTTGAAAATAGTTCTTTAAAATGAATTTTGGCAGCAGCAGGTCCTTTCTTAAGCCACCCAGTCAGCTTCTAAGAGGTACAACAGCACAAACAAGCTACTCCTTGGTCCTTTCACTGCGCTGGGAAGCCCCCAACCTTGAATAAATTGAGGTTCCTATTAGATGGAGATGTTCAGCAGAGGCCAAATCCCACAAGGTAAACAGCAGTGGGGAGCAATCCAAATAAAAACTGGCCAACTGTGCTATGTGTGGAGTGCTGTGTCCCTTTTGGCCAGTTCACCCCCACCCCCTTCATAGCAGCTCAAGTGCTGTTGGCTGGGGGGGGGGGTCCATGGCCCTCCCCTTCTCACTCCACTAGGGAAGCCTATGCAGGCCACAGCTGTAAACTGGCTGCAGAGTCACTTGGAATAAACAAACTCTCCTGCCGAAGCCCTGTGGAGCCAGCCATAGGCTTCAATAAGCAAATGCCTTTCTATAAATCAAGCCCTGGCATCTCTCTCTCTCTCTCTCTCTCTCTCTCTCTCTCTCTCTCTCTCTCATCTGCAACTTCTCTCCTCCATCCCCCACCCCGCCCACCACAATGTTTGGGTGTCACCTGTGACCCCCTGGCAGATGGTGGAGGGAGGCCCGCCCCTTTGCTCAGAAACTGTTGCAGCTGAGCCATCTGTCAGGCCACGGATGTCCCAGCTCCCAGCGGCTCCCGCTTGAAGCTCAGCATTCACTAGGCCCCTGTTCAAGCTGCATCTCCGCCCTGGGACCTGGGGTTGCTGCTGCTGCCGCCGCTCCTGAAACTACTGCTCCTTCTCACACTGGCTGAGGAAGGGGCAACAGGCAAAAGAGCTGATGCAGAGCTGGCAACACTTTGGACTGGTAGGTGGGTTTGTCACCCTGAGCAACAGGTCTCAAGAATGCTGTTGCAGATCACTGTGTCTGCACCAATCCTCTGGCATGGTTAGTGTGTATTAACATGGAGGAAAGAGTTTCATAACTTAACAGCAACTGGAGGTTCAGTGTGGTGGCTAGCCTCCAGCTACAATGGGTTCTGCCATTCAAGGGATCATACAGACTGTTGTGCATTCATTTGGAGGTAAGCTCCCATTGAATGTGGTGATCAAGTTCAGTTGTAATGCTAAGCCATGGGGGGTGAGCTGCAATGAATCTTGGATTCGTGCACTCCCACTTTCTCCCCTCTGCATGTGATGGGAGGACACTGAAATCTTTAAACGAACTACCATTTCCTATTACATCTGAACTTGGGGAAACTGTGGTTTAAAGTAACAGCTTAATGCAGACAAGTTAGGTTCAAACCAATTTCATGTGAAGACTGGTAGCCTGGTTCATGGGCATGGTGGAATACACTAGAGACCATTTGCTTGCAAAAAATCTATCTGCTGGGATCAACTAACCATAAACATCTGGCTTCTATCTCCAACACAGGGTTGGAGACCACCTCTTTCCAGTCATTGGACAATATTGGTGAGTTACAGAGGGAGGAGGTGTCCATCCACTTTCCTCCAAGTTTTAGTCCTATTTCACATCTGGCCAAGAGCCATTAGAGGTAAAGGTAAAGGGACCCCTGACCATTAGGTCCAGTCGTGACCGACTCTGGGATGCTTTATTCCTGCCTGCTCCCTTCTCCCTGCAAAAATAAGGGTTGTGCACAGTGCTGTTCTTTTAGAAAAAGAGGTGCTGGAACTCGCCATGAATGCCTACCTTGTTCTCTTATAATGGCAATGGCACCCACCTGAGAGGTGCTAGAACTGAGTTCCAGCAAGTTCTGGCTGAAACAAAGCCCTGGTTTCTTCTCCTTTAAAGGGTTATAGAAAGATGTATAAAATCCATTCCTTGTGATTCTCTTTCTCTTTCTCTTTCTTTCTCTTTCGTAAAATTCTGTGACACTATCTTAGCAGGTCAGGAAATGCCAGTGTTGGAACCAGGAACTTTTGGCTCTCTGTAAAGTTGCCCCTTGGCTGAGCAACCTGATTGGAGCATCTTCCTGGCAGTCAAGTACTCAGGGGTGTTTCATCGGTCCTTTCCATCCAGGCTGGCCATTGGGCTCTCTTGGACAGGCTTCCTTATTTGCACTGGGAGACCATGCCTGAGCAAGAATAGTCTTGCTGGCTCTGGTGTGTTTCTAAGCCTAACTTTGAGATTAGCTTGACTGTGACAGCCTTGACATAGCAGCACAGCCAAGAAGCTAGATGGACTCAGCTGTGCACATGGAGGGCAGCTTAGTTCTCCCGTTGCCCCCATTGGTCAATGGACTGGGCAGTGTGGCTACTTATGTTCTGGCAAAAAAGGAAAAGAATGCATCAAAAGAGGACATTATGTTGCAGAAAAAATCCATCTCCTAATACAGATGCAAATTTAGAAAAATATTAGTGTAACTTCAATAGAAACGCAGCACATCTTGGCATAGTGGGGAAGACTGTGACCAGGCAACCTGTGGGCTTGGTCCACCTGCTGCCCAAGTTCTAAATGTTGATTGCTGGCTTCAAGACCCCTCCTGCTCCCACTTACCCTCACATTAAGGTTCTTCATCTTAATCTGGACATGGACTGCACAACCCTTCAAACAAAGCAGATTTGGGGGACCTGCAGCCTCCATAATATTGTTGGAGTTACAACTCCCATCATCATCCCTGACCATTGACAATGGTGATGGGAGTTGATGGGAGTCGGGAGTCCCGCAACATCTGTAAGGCCACAGATGTTCTCCATCCCTTAAAAAAAGGATGCCTTGAGACAGTGGACTGTCCTCTGCAATGTTGTACACATGGCTACCCACAGTATGGGGGAGCATTCAAATAAGGAGTCAAGCAGTTTGGGAAGACAGCGGGCAGGGCTGGGTTTGGAAAAATGGCTTTGCCACTTGGTCCACGTTGGGCGAAAGACTGGTGCATTCTCCCCCACAGGTCCCACTAGACGCTAGCTACCACATGGAATAGAAATGGGATCTCAGGCAATGAGAAGGAATCCAGTATGACAGGAATTGATGGACAACATCGTTGTCTTTGGGACTCAGGACTTAAGGGGCGTTGGAGAGAGCAAATGGCAGGAAGTGTGACTCCTCTCCTACTGAAACATGGATGGAGAACCATGGCTCTCCAGATGTTGTTGGACTCCATCTCCCATCAGCCCTAGCCAGCATGGCCAATGATCAGGGATGACAGTCCAGCAAGTTCTGAAGTGCCACATGTTGACTTTTCCTGGCCATGGGCAATTGCCTCAGTGATGGTGGGGAGAGCGGACAGTGAAGGAGCTGAATTCAGGAACCAGGGGTGAGAGCGGGACTGTGGGAAAGGAACTTCCCACACCTTTGCCTTTCTACACCCATCAAACTTGTCAGGCATTTTGCTCCTGGATACAGAACACCTTGAATGTGGAGTCCTTCAGCCAAGGTCCATAGCAGGAGACAGTGTGCCTCAAGCGCCCCCAAGTGGCTGCAGGTCAGCCTGCTTTCATTAAGGCTATCTCCAAAGAACAAACAGCTTGCTGACAGACTGCAATGCTCACAAGTTTGGATATTTTCAGCTTAAGGGTATGTAATGGGAGCATTTGATATTATATCTGATTTTTTCATTTAAGATGTGACAGCTTTTGGTTAGTTAACATGCTGTGGCATTTAATATGGGACCATTGGGAGAGTTTGAGATCTCAGATTTGATACCTACCAAAGTCAAATCAAACAGGCAATGACTACATCTCTAAAGTGCTCACATTTTGATTTGCCAGTGATGACTTGAAAGGGATGCCTTTCTGATGGAATACTGCTGGGCAGGCAAGATGGAGCAGAAGGTACTTGACTCCTTAGGCCAGAGGTGACTAACCCCCAGTATGACCTCACTGGAAGCCCATTTATCAGAGGGGAAGAGGTCCAAACCAGTCAATTTTGGTGGCAATGGCAGAATAAAAATAAAATAAAATAGATACAGTGTTGGGGGGGGGCAGGGTGTGGAGCTGGTTGCCAGGGCTTGCTCAAAGTGTGACACTTTGGAAGCAAAACCCCTTTGGCCCTGCTGCATCTTTAACTGCCTCACACCTGATGTCTAGGGCAGGAGGATGTGGCTTGGCCAAAATATCCTAATGGGCCTAATGGGGAGGCCTGATGGGCCTAATTCAGCCTCTGTGTTTGGAGGTTCCCTACTCTCCTCCGGAGCATTGCGGAAAATTTAATACATGATTACACCCAGCAACCCTAAGGGGGTAATTTATGCATCACCAGGAAAGGAAGACCACAAAATTTGCAGGCACTTGTTTATATGTAAAGTTGCAATTTTGGAAAGAACTACTAACAAAAATACATCACACCATAATAGGAAAGGCTGTGACCAGGGGACCTGTGCGTCTGCCTCTTTGGTTCGCTCTCCAGGTAGTAACTATTGATCGTCACCTTGAAGGTCCCTACTCACCCTTTTTAGGGTTATTGGACCAGACAACCTCCTTCAAATAGTGGAATGTCTTCTGTCAGCCTTTCAAATATTGTCTTTAAAGGAGGATACTTAACCACCCTAAGCTGCTCAGTGTTGCTTAGAGGGTTCCCACAATAGCCAGATCAGCCTTTGAGGACCCAGTGACAGATCAGGGGGCTCACTAGAGTACTATTTGCCTGGAGGACACCATCAACCCTGGACCCGCCCTTGCTGAGAAATGTTGCTAGCATTCTTGACTCTAGTTTCGCTGCCTGTGAAATTTCTTGGGGGTAGGAACCTCCATTTTATACCAAATTTTGCCTTACATAGAAGGATACGACTAGCAGTGGTTCCTAGAGATGGTGGTGGTGTCCTGCCTTCAGTGTCTCAAGTGGCATGCCTTTAAATACCAGTTGCTGGGGATCAAAAAAGTGGAGGGTGCACCAGTGCATGTCCTCCTTGAGGGCTTCCCATGGGCATCTGGTTGGCAATGGTGAGAACAGGAGACTGGACGAGATGGACCTCCAGGAAGGCTCCTCTTATGTTCTTACGTTGGTGGGATAGAAAAATTTGTTTTCCCCCAGTTGTTGATGATGATTGTTTCACTTTCCATTTACATTCTCCAGGTGTTTTTTGTGAATCCACCTTGGACTGTGCTTTAGGCAAAATGTGGAGTCACTTCTGGCAGAGTATTACTTGGAGCATTAATGGTGCTCACTGCCACAGATGAGTTCCAGTCACAAGACCTGTTGCACACTCCATATGACTTAGGCAAACAAACAGACAAAAATGTGCAATCGAAAGATGAAAGGCTATGTAGAGCAGCTCCCATACAAATGCGGTTGCATCATGCAGACTGCATCTGGACATTCAGGATGTTTTCATACTCAGGATCTTGTAGCATCATGGGGAAACCACATAAGCTGTGGCTATGTACTTTTTCCCATTTCCATAGGTGGATTTATCCCAGGTATAAGTCTGAATCCCCAGGTTGTGGCCCCCAATTTTCAGTTGACACCTGAAGAACAGAAGATTGACATTTAATAATCTTGCTACTCAAACCTTCAGCTCTTTCCTTTGAACCAGACCACAGTTCCAATCAGAAGTTCCACACTGGGAGAAAACTAGTTCTTATTCAAGTCATCTTTGCATTGCCACCAACACACTTCTTTCCCCTTTCCCCCCCTTTCCCACTTTCCCCCTTTTCCCCCCTTCCCCCTTCCCTCTTCCTCAGACTGGTGCATGTGGAATCATCAGCCTTACAAAAAAACATCCAGATCACAACTCAACATATTTCCAAGACACGGATTGTCCTGGACTGTGTGACCTGAACATGAGCAGAAGACAGCTGCAACATCTACAAACAGTAAGTCAACTTACTGTGTTTGGGTGAACCTGTTCCATACCACTTTGAGGCTTTTCTTTTCCTTTCTCTATTTTTTACAATCAAGCGGCATATACATCTTATGAAATAAAATACTGTTCCTGAGCCACCTGCCTTGTCCTCTCTCTTAAATTTTATCTGCACCCTCCTCTTGACCATTTGTCATCTGAACTAACAAAGTATTTGGCTCTCCATTCCAAAGGCAGTAGACAAACTCCATGCTTGCTTTGCAAGGGACTAGATGCCACAGATACATTAGTGCAGCTGTGCAATTAGTACAGCTGTGCAAAGGACCCCCAATGCAGTTCAGACTTTGATCAGTGATCCAATTAGGAACTGATTTGGGCCTTGAACTGAATTGGGGTATTTGCACAGTCCTAATGTCTAATTAAGGGTTTTAAACTGTAATAAAATGTCGTTGGTGCTAAGGAGTGCAGGAAGAGGAAGAATAATAGCATTGTAGAGTTGGAAGGGACCTACCCCCTGCATTGCAGGAATCTTTCACCCAACATGAGTCTTGAACCCACAACCCTGAGATTAAGAGTCTCATGCTTTACTGACTGAGGTATCAGTCTGGGCAGAAGACATGAGGCAGAGGCTCTTGCTTGCATCTTCTCCTTCTCCCCTCTTGCAGTCTATCTACCTTTCTATATTGTTAAAACCAAAGAAACAGAATTGAAATTGGAAAGCAACATCCACTGAGCCTCAAAACAAATCTCCCCTTCTCACTTTTCAAAAAATCATATATTGCTGATTTAGGAACTGTATCTTTAAGAACTTATTTTGCATTTATAGTAATGAATTAGGAACTGCAGCTTTAAGCTTGCTCTCCCCTCCTCCTTCCCTTTCCCTTTTCCTTGCATACTATGGCGGGTTTTGGGGGGCACTTATTGTACTTCATGGTGAGTACCGGCACCCTTTTTTCTAAAAAAAACACAACACACTGGAGAGGTCTATAGACACAATAGTTATGTAAATGTCCTGTAAATGTCATCATACTCACACTTTTCCAGGCCTAGCAATGAAACACAGTGAATAGAGTCCAAATTCTAATTCAGGGCTGCTTCCAATAAAGGCTGTTCCAACCTCCTTGTAAAATCCATCCCAGTTGAACTGCAGCCCCAACACATCTGGGTATGAGGTCCACTAAACCGGAAAACGAAAGCACCAGAAATTATTAAGGAGGATATTTAAAAACATTGGGGGGGGGGGGAGAATTAAGGAGGATATTTAAAGACATTGGTGGGGGGGGGAGAGAATTTTGCAATGTTAAGCTGTGAAAGCCCCAGTCCTGAGGATATGAGTATTTGTGTTGATGGTGGTACATAAGTGGTCAAGCATGCCGCACCTCCAATGTTTGGAAGAATACAGGTATACTTTTTTTGTGAGAGTTGAGGGGTTCATCTTATGGGTAAATGAGGCTAGATGATTGCAATGTGCTCTGCATGAGGTGCAGATAAAGTGAGTGGACGGACTGCTTTTAAAGGTAATTTGGAAATCACTTGGATGCTTGTGGGGGCACATGGTCTGAGCAGATAACATCTGTAATGTGCTAAAAAAACAAAAAAAAATACGAGGCATTACACTTACTTCTGTAAAACAAGAAAATCTTTAATAATAAAAAACATCCGTAATGTTCCAGCTGCATTGGTTACCTGTTTGTTTCCAGCCTTAAAAGCCCTAAACTATTTGGAACCAGGTTATTTGAAGGACCTGGCACCGCCAGATAGGGCTGGGATTGTCCCCTGCCTGAAACCCTGTTGAGCCACAGCCAGTTGATGTAGACAATACTGAGCTAAATGGACCAACTAAATGGACTCATGAGAAGGCTGCTTTCTCTGTTCCTATGGCCAATTGTACCCAGGTAAACCTGCCCAGGCCTTGAGATTGCCCTCAGAGGTCTTATGCACAGGCTGGCCATAGACAAGAGAGAGACAGCCTTTTTGGTGCTGATGGATCTACATTTTACTGTTCTGAGGTAAGCTGCCTTGAGATGCAAAGCAGCCATATAATACTTTGGAAAAACTAAGTTTTTCCCTGTGCTCTGTTCCTCTTTACCCTCTCTTGGTGATCAGAACATAACAGATTGTGACCTTTCAAAGGGGAGGCACCCTCTGAAATAGGTGTTCTAAGAACAGATGTCCCCAACCTTTGGGGACTCAGGAACACATTGTAAATCTAGGGAACTGCCATGGGCACCACAACATGCCCATTTCACAGAAGAAAATTGCCAGTGCTCAGGACTCCCTCCTCGCAAAACACCTAACACTTTCCCCAAAAGAGTGTTATGAAGGCTTTTGTTTTAATTAACATAATAGGCTCGGACCTTGGTGGTCACTAGAGGAGATGCCTGAGGATATCCTGTTGCCCACAGGTGCGAAATTCAGGACCACAGCCTAAGAGAGTTCAGTTAAACGGCAGAATGCAGTTTACTTAATAGAGTGGTTTGAGCTTTGCTATAGGCAGCAGGCGAGTCTGGCATCCAGCATTTTCATTTCCCCTGAAAAATATGCTTCTTAGGGATCATCTCATTCTGTCACCCAACCCTAGGTGGCAGTGTAGGGCAGTATTTTGTGGAGAGGCACCTCCAAATGAAGCCCTTTGTTGTTTATTGCTATATATCAGGCACATGGCTGTTAGAGCAGGGAGACTAGGAACAGGCAGCAGAGGCTGGTTTACTGGGGCAAAGGGGCACTGCCCCACCAACCTTTGCTCCTTTCTGTGGCACTAAAATAAATTTTCTAAAATGCTTGATCGATGTGTGCTTCTGTTATTGTTTACATGGCTATGTGTTAATTTGTACATAACTTATGACAAAGTAATAAAAAGTAGTAAAAAAAACAACAATGTTTGCAGTCATTGAGGTAAGAGTCTGTGTCTCATTTTAGCTGTTATGCAAAATTTCTGGATTTTTTTTTTAATGGAACTTTCATTCTCCAAGATGCCTTCAAAGAGTCTGGAAGACTGTAGCCATTTCCAGTGATACTCACCGGACCATCATAGTTGTAGCTGAAATAGTTAATTATACCCTGCTTCTCCAGCAGATAAAAACGAATCCAGTTGTGGAATCCAGATACTTTTCCTTTCTTGACTTCCCCTAAAAGGTAAAGAACATTTCCCATTAATGGTTAGTAAATCCTGCTGCCACTAAATATGGGCATTTTAAGTTTACTTTCGGGTGATGAGAACAACAAAAGGAAAATGTGTGTGTGTGTGTGTGTGTGTGTGTGTGTGTGTGTGTATATGCAGCAACAGATGTTGTGGTCGGGCTGCACCGTGGTTGCAGAGGTGTGAAGTGGCAATGAAGTCAGTGCAGTGCAAATGTGCCAGCACACTGCCACTGCCACTGCCTTGCCCGTCTTCTTCTCCATGCCAGTAAGCAGCAGCAGTGGAGCTGGAGGGAACCCAGGGGAGTGGTGCAAGCTGCCCTGCGGTCTAGTACTGTATATATTAATGCCAGTTTGAGTCTTCCTGTGCAAATGTTCATGTAGCCAAAACCACAGAGAAGGCTAGTAGATTCAAGCTAATGGTGCTACCCTGTTTCTAGACCTGACTGGCTACATGCTGTTGTGACATCATCATGTGCTTCTTAATTGTTTAGATAATTCAAAATAGAAACTTCCTCAAGTTTAAAAAATGGTGTCAAAACAGAAGCAGATGGGGCAAACAACGGTTGCAAATAAGTGGAGGCGGGTAATTGCATGAAACTGTGGAAGGTGGAGGTTTGTTGGTTTTTATGAGTGTACCTATAAACACATGTTCAAAACCACTGGAGTCATGCTCATCCTTGCCCCTGGAATAAAGGCCAAACCATATCTCCTTTAGGTCAGCAACAAACTCTGCCTCTGTGCCATAACGATCTAGGAAAGAGATGGGGAGGGGAAGACAAAAGGCATTAATTTCTCACTTAAAAGAACAAAAATAAAATATCCCAAAGAAATCCTATATCTCCTCTTTAATGTTCTGCATAGCTTGGGTGAAGCAATGGGTACCATCTGTGTTTACTAATGATGTGACACTTGCAGAAAAAGTCGTGTTTGAATGAAAGCCAGACTTTGCACTAAAATGTTTAAACTGTCATGACTTCCACCCCAAGAATCTTGGGGTTCCGAGCACTAGAGAGATTTCCTTTAAAACAACAACAGCACAAGAAAGAAAAACTACAATATCAAGGAAAGAGAGGGATATACAAATGAGAGAATAGGTACAGGAGGGTTTTGGGCAATGATGTTGCACTCATCATCCAACAGGCACTGCCACTACCCACCCTAGCACACAAACACACCTTAGACAAAAACAGCAGCCACATAAAATAGCAGGAAAAAGCTCTCCAAAATATATTAAGAATTATTTATTTCTTTTTATTTATTTCTTTTTTATATCTCCCTTCATCCATTGACCTTGGGGCAGTTCACAACATAGAAATACAAGATAAAAACACAAAATACGTAATAAAAACAATTGCAACCAACAAATCTCCCTCCCCTCCCACCTCCTCCCACACATTTAAAAGGATGTCAATCAGCCAAAGGCCTGGTTGAAGAGGAACATTTGTGCCTGATGCCTAAAGGTGTATAACGAAGGAGCCAGGTGAGCCTCCCTGGGGAGAACATTCCACAAATTTAAAAGGCCTTGGAAAAAACGTCTTTACCTGGAAAGGGCCTCTCTGGGGAGGGAACCCCATAACTCAGGTGCCACTACCAAAAAGACCCTTAAGTTCAGTTGCATAGGTCAGGCGTATCCAACTCCAGAAATTTGGACTATAATACCCATAAGCCCCAGGTAGCATGGGCCATGGTCTGGGCTGATGGGAGTGGTAGTCAACAACACCTGGAGGGACCATAGAGGCTATGCTGACCTTATTATGAAGAAAGACTTACGTTTGCTGTGCAGGAATTTGTAAAGCACTTTCATCACCTCAGTCTTCATGACCTCACTCAGGAAGTTATCCTGCTCCTTCAGTTGCTCAGCAGTGAATTCTTCCCCTGTCCCTACACTTTTGTGATAATTATCCAGCAGCTTAATGAAACTGGCATAAGTGGGCTTGGAGAAGAGCTTCTCCTGGTTGACGTAGCTGAAGAGCCTGCACACACACAAACAGAAATACCTGCTATGAAGATGGTCTTCTTTGTTCTTAGGGGTCCCCAGCTAAACACTCTGCTGAGGTTAGGAGCCAAAGCACAGAGAAATGGAATGTTTCCTATTAAAATGCCCTCTGCCTGGACTGTACTACTTCAGGGAACACACAACTGAACGCTGCCTTGTATTAAAAAGAAACAACTTTGTAATCATACAAATCTAGCATGCGGGGAGTGTCACAGACTGGGAGAAACCAGCTGGGGAATCCCAAAGTGAAGAAGGCTCAGAGCCCAGGTGGTGGTGCGACAAGGATGAGTGGGCAGATGGAGAAGAGGGAGGAGACTGGGAAGAGGACAAGCACCATGTACTGCTTCTATTCATTGGAAAGAATCCTAGAAGAGAAATGAAAATTATCATGGGTGTGCATTTGAGGCATCTAATTTAAAAGGAAATGAGAATTTCCCTCTTGCAGTATAGTTCAGCAATAACATTGGAAGTAACTTAATGTCTCCAGTCACTGAGGTCTGTCACTCAATCATTAGGAAATGAAATTGAAGATGAAATTTCAGATAGATATGAACTTTGGTGAAATATTAAAATCTAAATGCAAAATTTCGCATTTATGGTGAAATATTTTTATTGCAGGAAGTAAATCTTAAAGTCTTGTTGGTTTAACCGTGTATTTTGCACAGTTCTTTTGTGCCCCTTAAGACTTTCTCCCAGGAAAGTCAGCACAGGATTGCAGCTTAAGGGTTCCATCCTCTGCTTGAGATCTGATAGGATGCAGATTCAGGGAGAACTCCTTTGATACAGGTGGAATTTGAGATATGCAACCAAAATGAAATTTGTCGTTTTGCAATCCCATGTATGCTGATCCGGGATAATGCCTCAATGAACACTGTGGCACTTCCAAGTAAAAATGGATAGGATTAAGCTGCATGCTAGGAAAATTTGCTTGAGATTTCCCACCTTTGTTTCAGTAATCAGTATTACTCATGTGTACGTTATAGCATTAAAGAAAATAGGAAACCTGATACCCGACATTCAAAAAAGTATAGTTGTTTTTTGGCTGTAACTCAAGTCTTGCTTCCAAAGTACTGGTGCACAAAAGCCCAGTAAAAGGAATAGTTTCCCCTTAAAAATTGTAAATTGAATATCCACTTGCAATTAATGAACTGAAATTTTTAGATTTTGGATGTCCACATGCAAATTTTAAAGTTGAGAATCTCAATGAGTATTCCCACCTTTGTTTTAAGCGCTAGAATGTTAAATAGGTAGATTCCACCGCCCTCCTTTAAAACCTGTTTCCTGTAGCTGAGATGCAACCAGTTGAGCATCATCTACATTTACTGTGCTGTGTTTCTGCTTGGCAGGGCAGGAGGCCACTCAGGGCACTTAGATGAAAACTGTGGGGAGAGCGAGCAATCAGGAGAGAGAGAGCTGCAGCTGTGGGATGCAACTGTTTAAAAGTGCAACTCTAGAGCTCAGCGTCTTTCCACCTCCTGCTAACCCGGAGGCACACTGTGCAGGTAGGAGACGTGGGTCCAATAGGATGGGATGGAAGTTGGGAATCTGCAGAGAGGAAGGTGGTTGAAATAAATGTTTGAATGGGCTACTTTGATGTGGGTTTTTGGTATTGTTTTTTCCTGGTTTTAGCAAAAAGCTTTAATTATTAAGTTACTTAAAAAGACAGAATTTAATAATCTTGCTAATTGTTAAACTGTAAGGCACTTAAATAAAAAGTACATTGCAAACTAGGGTTGTTGGAATTGCAGACTGGGGGTTTTGGACACGCAAAGGGATTCTTCCAGCGTGGTGTGTGGTGGGGAGGGAAGGCTGCTCTGGTTATCCAAACTGAACGTAGTAATAATTTGGTTGCATTTTACAAAGCACTTCAGGGCGGTTCAGACGCTTCCTTCCAGAAAGCTCCCCTGCCTGTGAAATCTTCCTAACAGCCTTGTGAGGGGGGCTCCTTCCTATGTTTGTAGCAAATGGTTTTGGAAGCAGGTGGCAGTTTACTAAGATGCTGGCTTTGTTTGATAATTTGTATTTTGCTGCCTATAAACCTTACGTGGTCTGCGTTAATTTTCTTGCCCTTACTGGCAGTGGCGGCAGCAGCAGCGGGGGGTGGGCAGTGGATTTACGTATTTCTTTGGGGGAAAGATAAATTCATTTAGTGACGATGACAAAGCAGGCTTGAAAATAAATATTAGCTTGGCAGGTTCAAACTTTTTAGCTTTGTTTACTAAGTGCAAGAAAAATATGCAGGCGAAATTGGATAGCTCATTACTCCAGGGATGGAGAATCTTTCATCAGCCCTTCCCAGCGTGGCTAGGAATGGCTGGAGTTGTGTTGTAGTCCTGTAACATTCAGGGGGGAGGGGGCACAGCATTCCCCACACCTGCTCTTGGTCATTAGAATGTTTGCCCCATTCAAAATTTTACCCCATGGTTAGCATTAATTGCAGCTGTTGTTGGTTTTTTTACTGGAAGTGAAAAACGAAAGTGCCTTTTCTTGGGGAAACCCTGTTTTTTATGTCAGAAGGGTTGCCTTTCCCTTTTAACATTTCCCACGGACTTCCTCTTAGTCTACTCATGGAGCTAACAAGCGACAGCTGCAGTGGCAATTTGGGGCGGGGCCAACCCTTCAAAGAAAAATGGTCAGCATTCCCTGCTTTTGGGGAAAGATTTGCGTGAGTGCTCCTGCACCATTTACAGGGAAGTGCTTTCCTTGACAGAAATGAAAACACCAGAACTTTGAAAATAATCACATTATGTGGGCATGAATGGACTAGAGTGAGGCAGTGTCCCTTCACCACCAGCAGCACCTATCTCAGAAGCTGTGACTTTGCAAAGTGAAAAAGGTTTGCCCCCAGTGCGAGCAGTGTGGTGTAGTGGTCTGTAGGTCTAGGACTGGGGAGACCCAGGTTCAAATCCACACTCAGCCATGATGTTCATTGGGTTTTACTGTCCTATACATGCCTCAACTTAAGTCCCACTGTGCTGTCTGTACAACCTGTTTTTCTGTGGCTGGTTACAACCTTCCAAATGCCACAAATTGCAAAAATAGCCAAATAAATTCTCTACAAAAAATTATAATAGAAAGTGCTGCTGCATACGGGGTGAGGAGTGGGGGATAGCCATTCTGGTTTTGCACCCATAACCCCAGGTTCCATGAGCCATGTGGCAAATAGCTTTTCTATCCTACAGTGGACCCACTGCAGTCATGGGGCCTTGCAACTTGCCTCGGGAAATGTGGTAGCTTAAAAAAAGTCTCTTGACTCCTGGGTGGGGTGGCCCCAGTTCCATCCTGCCCTAGCAAGCTGAGAGCAGGAGCCCTGCATGCCCCTGGTCTCCCAGGACATCAAGTTGTTTTGTTGCTGTGGCATCTTAAGGATGGACCCTGGCTCTTTTAAGATGGCGCTTTTTCAAAAGCAGGAGTAGGGAATCTTATGCCTGGGACAGTGGGGGTACAGATCTGGCCCTTGAGGCCTCTCTGTGTGGCCCTTGGGACTTCCTCCAGGCCACACCCTCCATGAATGATTGTGCCTGGCTGCAATTTATCCTTGAAATGTGATAATGCCTCTTGTTTCCTGGATGTGTGTGTGTGTGTGTGTGTGTGTGTAAGTAGTTTAAAATAATGTGATGATAATGAAGAATTTATTTTTTGGTAGGCCAAGGAAGAAGCTTAATATTGGCTCTCAGACCATTTCCTGAATGAATCAACGCAGGGGGTTGAGCAAAATGTCTTTTCTCCATGGCTTCCGCCAGATCATCTTTGAGTACCAGCCGTTGGCTGACGAGATCTTGGAATGTATGGCTCCTGTGCTGCAGGAAATGATGGAAAGGTAACTGGGAAGCTGCTTCCCCATCAATGTAGACAATACTGAGCCGGGTTCTTATTCAATCCAGCCCATTCTTCAAAACTATGAGGACTAGGATGTTTGAGGGTTTTCTACAATCAGGTGGTGTATAAATACCATGAAATGCACAAACGGAACCCCACCTTTCAGGGAAAGGGCCATGGTCAAGGGGAGAGCACCTTATGTACATACAGAAGGCCCCAGGCTCAGTCCCTAATGGCATCTCCCAGTTGGCGCTTATAATATCCCCTGCCTGAAACCCTGCAGAGCTCTTGCTGCTGTCAGTCAGTGCATACAGTACTGAGCTAGATGGACCTGGTGGTCTAATGATAAAAAAATAAAATAAAAAATCACATTAGTTTCTCCTACCCACTCTGGCCCTGCCCACCACTGGCATGTGGTCCCCAGAATGTAGCCCAGAATGACATGTCTTCTCATTGGCATACCGCTCTTCCCTCTGAGCTGTCTACTGACTGGCTCTTAATTGTTACCAAACCACCACCACCACCACCACCACTGCAGAACTTTGCCCTCCTCCTATGGTCATGGTGGTGTTTTATTTGCTTTGTTTTCTTGTGAAGCTCCAGCACCGTGGTAGAAGATGACAAATGGATTGAGGTCCTTCATGAGCTGCTGGAGAGGAACGCCAACTCCGTGTACTACCAAGAGGATGTGAACTATGCATTCCTGATGATGGCAGAGTATGGGATGGTCTGAGCTGCAGAAGCCCTCCTGCGTGGTGGGGCATTCGTCCATTGTAGGACAAAAGGCCAGTCCATGTGTGTGAATGAATATGGTGCATTAACACCCTATGCAACAATCCCACGAATGTCATCCCATGCGTGACCAACATCCGTGTCCACAACTGACTGGTGCGTGTGGTGTGAAGGCCTCAGAGATTGAATAAACCTCTTGGTAGATCAGTGGTCTTCTTGGTCCACCCTTGAAGTCAGATGGCTGTTCAGGTCTATGAGGAGATACTTTTTCAACATGTTGGGAAGCAGGAGGGCCTTGACTTTTTCGTCGATCGGCCAGGGTGTTGCAACCTATCTTAATCCCTAAACTTTTGCTGGTAATATTTTTTTCTTCTTTATATAATTTTTGATAAAATGCTGCAAATTCCTTCCTTATTTCTTTAGAGCTTTGTATAAGTATGTTCCTTTTACTTCTAATAGCCATAGCCTTAACCCTCTGTTTATCCTACCTTTTCCTTAACTATTTTGCTAACCTCTTATTTGATCTTATTAAAGTTCTCTGAAACTCATTTTTAATAATATTATCTCTCTTCCAAACCGTGAACCAATATAATTCATCTAGTTCTTGTTTTAATTTTCTTAATTGCCCCTGTCTACTCCTTTAAGTAATTTGCTGATGCTGTTGTAATATTTCAATTTCTTTAATTTTTTCCTGCCTCCCCGAATACCATGCTTTCTTAATAGTCTTCTCTTTCATTATACATTGACCTCTTGTTACAGCTTTAAATGCATCCCACATGATCGGGATCTCCCCCGCACCGTTATTTTCTTTAAAATACCAATTACATTGTTTTCTAATATATTCCCTATCATGGTCTTTAGCCATTACTATATTGTTATACCGCCATCTTCTTCTTTGTCCTTCCTCCTCTAATCCCAGCTCTACCAACAGCGGGGCATGATCTGAGATCCATATTCCCAAAGTCTGTGTAACCTTAACAACAAGTTCATTACTATCTTTAATTAACACATAATCTATATATGTGTATGTGTTATATCTATTCGAAAAAAAGGTGGGTTTTATACTAAGGTTCCCCAAATTAAACACATCTTTTAATCCCCATTTCGTTAACTTAAATGATTGTTCCATCTTAAACTCCAATTGAAATCGCCAGTCACAATAGTTTCCCCTTCCGTATATGCCTCTAATCTATCTAAAGTTTTCCTTAGAATTTTTTTCTATCCTTTATTTGGGCAATATATTGACTATTGTGAATTTTCTTCATTATTTTATTTTTTATTTTATTCATTATTTTATTTTTATTTTATTTTTTATAAATATGTATCTGCCGTCGTTATCCTTCTTCCAATTCAAGACCTCTAACCTCAGATTTCTATTACATAATAGAGCAACCCCTCTGGCCTTGTTGCTTTAGATTCTATTTTTAAACCCCAATGCTGGGAAGGCAACAGAGGTTTATTGTTTACTTTGTCTCTGTGCGTTTCCTGCAAACATAGTATATCTACCTTCATTTTCTTCGTCAATTCCATTATCTTGTATGCTTAGTATTAGAAGTCAGCCCATTAACATTTAGCGATAAAATCTTTAAGGTGCTATCCATTATCCCTTTCAATGTTTATTTTTTTGAATCCATCCGTGCACATATTCTTTACCTACATTTATGATTCCTTCATGCCCCTCCCCCTTCCCTCCTGAGACTCTTGTAGAGATCTTAAAGATCTTTGTCTCATGGCAACCTTGGGAGACCATGTTTCACCCCCTCTTCTCTCAGAGCGTTGTAACGTCAAAAAACGAAAAGCAAAATTATATTTACAGGTAGCCTACTTTGCGTACCCCTGTTTTACATCTTACTGCTTCCTCCCCCCCCCCAATCCTCTTCGTCTTTTCTTCTCTTTCCCCTGCGCTGGGGATTCCTGGGATAATTCCCCCTCTTCTTCTTCCGATTCCTCCTCCTCACTTGCTAGTACTTGTTCAGTCTGTTCTGCAGGCCAACCCCCAAGTCTACTAACATTTTCTGTGCTTCTTTTGGGTCTCTAGCTGAGTATTTTTTCCATCTTTAAATGCCACCAGTGTTGCAGGTAGGCCCAAGTGAAAAGGATTTTCACTTTAAATAAAGCTTCTGCAAACTGTTGTAACCGCCATCTCTCTTGGAGTGTCTCCTGAGAAAAGTCCTGATGCACTATCACTTTTCTTTCTTTAAACTGCAAGTCTTCTGCTGAAGAACTTTATAAATCTGGTCTCTTTTTCTCTCTCTAGCGAATGCAACAATTATCTCTCTAGAGGCTCCAACCATCCTTCTAGGTGTAAACAGCCGATGTACACTCTCTATTTCTTCCTGTTCAATCGCAATTCCTTGGTCTCTAAGCCAGCTCAGGAGTACCTTTTCCAAGTCCTTGTTCAGGATATCTTCTAATATGCCGGCAAATTTTAAGTTTCTTCTGCGTTGTCTATCATTCATCTGGGCAATTCTCTTAGTCAGGGCTTCTATTTTATTTGCATTTGCTTCGGCCAATTATCTGCTGTTTTGGGGACTTTTTCAACAGCTGCCATCATTCGTCTCATCTCTGCTTTTAACTCATGCATGTCAGTCCGTATGTTAGCTTCTGAACGTTGAATCATCTCCCCCAACTCCTTCACTGACTTCGCCATTTTGTTACACCCTTTGAAGATAAGTAGCAATTTTCAAACGCCAAAGAATTATTTCTCCCCTCCGTCAGATTTCGGAGCCAACTCCTAGGCCAATTAACCGCTATGAAGAAAGCTCTACTATCAGTTTGCTTTTCATTAATCTTATTTTTCTTAAGCTTTTAATTAGAAAGCTCCAAGAGTGAAGCGAGTGTGCATCTATCCTGTCCGACGCATGCGTGGTCTCTCCTATTCCAACTTTCTAACTCCTTTTTTTATTTCATTCCAGGCCTTTATATAATTATCCTTTTAGAGGTTGATGTTTTTCATGGTGATCCAAATTCCCAGATATCTGGCTTTGTTAGTCACTTTTAATCCTATCTCTTTTTCCAACTCTGCTTTTTCTTGTGCATCCAAATTTTTCTCCATAAGTTTTTTTTTCTTTGTTAATTTTAAACCCAGATAGTTGGCCGAATTCATTCATTTTCTCCCATTTTATTAAAATACTTTCTAATGGGTTTTCTGTTGTGATTATCAAGTCATCTGCAAAAGTCTTAACCTTCTAGGCTCTTTCCCCCAGTTTTATCCATTCTATTTTTGGATCATTCCTATCACCTTTAGATGTGTTTCTGTTATGAAGAGAAGGGGCGACAGTGGGCATCCCTGCCTTGTTCCTTTAGAGATGTTGAAGGAATCTGACAATTTATTATTTATAATCAGTTGCCCTTTGGGATTTATATATCGCTTGAATTCCACTACATATTTTCTCTCCTAATCTCATTGTTTAAATGGTTTTTAGCATGTACTTCCAAGATACATTGTCGAAAGCTTTTTCAGCATCAACCAGCATCAGGGCTGCCTTTTAGTCCAGCCTCATTTCTAAATATTCAATTACCGTATATCTATTACCATTCTCATATTGTCTTTAATTTGTCTCCCCACTAAAAAAAACCAGATTGGTCCTCATTAATTATTCTTCCCCAAAATTTGTTTAATCTATTAGCCAAAAATTTTGCAAATATTTTGTAATCCATATTTAATAGAGAGATTGGTCTATAATTCCTAGTTTCAGACAGATTTGAACCTTGTTTCGGTATTAATGTTAATAACGCCTCCTGCCAAGATTTTGGAACCTTCCCTTCTAATATTTTGTTCATCATGCCTTCCAGTACAGGTAAGTAATATCTCTTTGATTTTCCTATAATACATTACAGAGATTCTGTCTGGCCCTGGAGATTTTCCAACTTTAGATTTTGCAATCGCGTCCTTTATTTCATTAATGTTCATGGGGGCATTTAAATATTTTTGTTCTTCTTCTGTTATCAATGGTAATCTATTCTTGGTCAGGAATTCTTCTATTTTATTTTCATCCTCTTCTGCTTTATATAATTTTTTATAGTAATTTATGAAACACTCATTTTTTTCTGGATTGTTTAACATTTCTAATTTATTTTCAAGTGGCATCTGCTTTGTCATTGTCACTAAATGAATGTATGACATTTATCTTTTCCCCGTAGAAATATGTAAATCCCCTACCCACCCCCACTGCTGCTGCCGCCACTGCCAGTAAGGGCAAGAAAATTAACGCAGACCACGTAAGGTTTATAGGCAGCAAAATACAAATTATCAAACAAAGCCAGCATCTTAGTAAACTGCCACCTGCTTCCAAAACCATTTGCTACAAACATAGGAAGGAGCCCCCCTCACAAGGCTGTTAGGAAGATTTCACAGGCAGGGGAGCTTTCTGGAAGGAAGTGTCTGAACCGCCCTGAAGTGCTTTGTAAAATGCAACCAAATTATTACTACGTTCAGTTTGGATAACCAGAGCAGCCTTCCCTCCCCACCACACACCACGCTGGAAGAATCCCTTTGCGTGTCCAAAACCCCCAGTCTGCAATTCCAACAACCCTAGTTTGCAATGTACTTTTTTTAAAAAGTGCCTTACAGTTTAACAAATTAGCAAGATCATTAAATTCTGTCTTTTTAAGTAACTTAAAGCCTTTTTGCTAAAACCAGCAAAAAACAACAAACACCCGCATCAAAGTAGCCCATTCAAACATTTATTTCAACCACCTTCCTCTCTGCAGATTCCCAACTTCCATCCCATCCTATTGGACCCACGTCTCCTACCTGCAGGGCGTGCCTCCGGGTTAGCAGGAGGTGGAAAGATGCTGAGCTCTAGAGTTGCACTTTTAAACAGTTGCATCCCACAGCTGCAGCTCTCTCTCTCCTGATTGCTCTCTCTCTCTCTCTCTCTCTCTCTTTTCATCCATCTGTAGGCTGGAGGCTTTGATTTAAACCGCTGCAGGATCAAGCGGCCACCAGGGGGCAGACTTCCCCAGTGGAAGACAAGATACATCCACTCAATTGAGCGAGAATAATTATTTTTAATCTGCTCTTTACAAACATTACATGCATGCAGGCTTCAGCTCCATCGCTGGAGTTGCAGCTGCTTACGTCTAGCTTGATAGGGTTTTATCAGAGCTCCCGCCGCAAGTTATTTCAGTGCCAGCCTTGCAAATGTGTAACACTAACATTGAATGGTCTTGGGGCACCTGCAGAGTGCTTTTTGTGGTCTGGGAAAGGGTGGACATGGCAGACAAGAACAGTCTACCTTTGAATACCAAATAATGAGCTGCAACTGGAGAATACAGCTGTGCTCAGGTCCTGCTTGGGGTTTTCTCTTTGGGGGCATCTGGTTGACCACTGTGAGAACAGGATACTGGAGTGGAGGCGGGCCACTGGCCTGATCCAGTAGCCAGAGACTTAATGCTCTTAAAAACAGGGCACCTTCATGTATCAAGTCTGTGTGGAACTCACGGTTCTGGGGATTGGTCCTTGTTCTCCTGATTCTTTGAAGCTAAGTGTTGCTTGTTAAGGGTTATATCAGCCTCCCCAGCTCTGTTAATGTCGCTTTGGTAAAGCTGCTCAGATGTTTGTTGCAATTCTTCATTGGTGATTGCATCATCACTACTGGAGAATTCCCCTGTGGGAGAGACAGACATTGGAGTGTAAGGACAACCTTCTGGATCAGCCCAATGACCCATCTATTTTTTTTATTTTTATTTTTAAAATAATATTTATTAGTAGTTTCAGAATTATAAGAAAAAAATAAAAAATAAAAAACAACACTATAATACATGAAAAGGGAAAAAAAACACAAAAACCAATACAACAATACAGCAAAAAAATAAAAAGAAAAAAGAAAACAACACAAATCCCAAATTACATATCTATAACTTCCATTTGCTTGTTTCATTGACCTCCTCACACCTCCCTTTTTGTATTCTAGTTTAATTAGTTGTTTCAGCAAATTCTTTCCATCTTTCTCAATTTTTGTTAAAAAATTTATCCTAACAATTTAACCTAATAATTAGCTCAACAAATCCTTTCCATCTTTTCCCATATTCTATTATTCAAATTACCTTAATTTATTTAACCTTATCTTACCCTAAAATACCTTAAAGCTTGAATCTTAGTTTTCAAATATACATAACTCCTGGTATCATTTCTGCTAGAGTCATATAGTTACATTCCAACATTTTCCCTAATATTCATAAATTTTTAGCCAATTCCCTAAATAAAAAGTTTTCTTTATAAAGTTTCTTCTAATCTTCATCCAACGTCTCTTCTTCCTGGTCTCGGGTTATGTCAGTCCTTACTGTCCATTCCATCTAGTCCATCAACCTGGAAGCCTTATGTCCGAGGCCCTTAAGTCTCTTCCATGTCCCTTCTGCAGTTCTTCTTCTTGTTTATACTTGCCCTTTTCCTTGTCTTTTGTTGGTCTCTTTCTTAATTTCTTTCCTTTCTCATTGAGGAGTAGGCCTCTGGGGGATTCCAAGCCAAAATTATCTCCATCTCCCTTCATCAAACCCGCCCATTCCCCACAGTCCCACTCCCCACAGTCCTCGATATAATCCAAAAAATATTTAAAAGTGTATTCCAAGGTCTCTCCAAAGTTAGGAACCTCCTCAGCTCCAGACTCCCCCTGGCCCACTCCAACTTTAATCTTCAATGACAGCGGCTTATGCTCCTGTAGGGCCTCGGGTCTCTCCATTTGTATTATTTGGGGTGCAACCGCATCCTCCTCCATTATCTTCTGCACTTGCCCAGTCAGTGCAGATTCATGAGTTGGTCCCTGAATAATTTCTGTATCAATGTTCCCTGTTTGTCCACAGTTATTAACCACAACAGTCAAATCCATTTTCTCATTCATCAAGTCCATCTTCTCATGCATCTGTTCCAACAAGGCACTTGTCTTGCATAAGGCAAGCACCCAATCTTCCTCCCAGCTCATCTTTAATCAAGGTCAGAAAAGACTGTTCCCACGGTCTTAATCTCACAGCTGTTTGGTCCTCAAGTATACTGCAGCAAGAATTTAACAAGCTCCCTCTAGAGGAGGCAATTTCTTTTTTTTTTTTTTTATAATTGATATTTATTAAGTTTTCAAAGAATAACAACAAAAATTTCCAAAAAAAATTGAGGATACAAAAAACAAAAATAGTACATAAACAAAAAAGAAAAGAGAACCCAGCCGCAAAGAAAAAAAAAAGAGAAACAGAAAAACAAAAATATAAAGTCCTTTACAATCTCTATTGACTTCCTTTCTAGACTTCCTCCTCCTCCCTCTTTTGTTTCTTAATTTTTAATTTTTACAGCAAATCCTTTCTGTTTTTTCATAACAATCTGTCATTACGTTTCCTTATTCTATTTTCCCTCTTGTCATATAAAAACTTTAAGACTCATAGCTTATATTCAATATTTACCAAATTCTTGCATCATTACCTTTTTACAAATCATTTACCAATCCTTACTTAAGCCATGTAATTTCATTCAACATCCTTCAAACATTTGTAAGCATTCCCGATATTAAAAAATAAAAAGAAAAATTAATAAGTCAAATTCAGTCCAGTCAGCTTCCAACCTCCCTCCCTGGACCCGGGATTGTCAGTCCTTTTAACCTCGATAATCCGGCTCCTTAACCTGGTTGTCTCGTATCCGAGGCCCTCAAGTCTCTTTCTTGCCCCTTTCGCCACTCTTGTTGATGATTCCTTTCCAGTCGTGGATGCTCCAGCAAGAAAATGCTTTTGACCCTTTGCAGCAAGTCCATCCCAAACCCATTGCCCAAGCCAGACAGCAAATAATACCACTTCAAATTTCCACACAGCTTGGAGACTTCGGCTACTCCAATCCTCTGATAGCCCATCACCAGACTCGGAAGGTCCAAATAACCATATGGAGGGGGGTCAATCCATCCCCCCATTTCCAAATCTGACCACATTTCATCTTTCCGAATCTGGTTTGTGCCAAGTTCATTTATCAAGTTCAAAGGCTGATCTTGCCCATCCAAAGATCCCTCCATCTCTGAAGCCTCCGTCACTACAGCAGGTTCATATGCTTGTATAGCCTTTAACTGAATTTCATTTGTTTGCTGCTGTGCTCTGGTAACTTCCATCATCAAGGTCGTCTCCTGACGCATCTGGTCCAGCTGGGCACTTAGTTTTGAAAAACCTTCCAGGAACAATTGTTCAAGCCTTTGTACTAGCATTGTCTTTCAAGGTCAAAGAAAATTCTTTCCCACGACAATAGTCCAATAGTCCTTCTCTTTTAATCTCTCTGCGTTGCAATTTCACTAAATTCCACTAGATGGAAATTTTTTTTTTTAAAAGGAATAAAAGCAACAGCAACAATCTTTCTTTTTCCAGAAACATTTTATCCAAAATTCCCCCTTCCAAATTCAAGAGGCAACAGTAGAATCAAAATGTTACCCTTCTTTTAACTAACTGTCGAGCTGGATAAACTCCAGAACGTCAATTCTGACAGCCCGCTCCTGGTTCAGGCGGTGGAAAATTGCTTTATTTTAAACTCACTTCCGCAGGAAAATACAACCCCCTTCTTCTCCTGCAGTCAAAGGGGGGGTTCAGAAATCTTAGATGTTGAATTCTAGTTCTCTTAGAATTTAATTTTCAAGCTTTAGTATATTTTGTCTTTGCTTTCTTCACATAACAAAAGAACGGAAGGCGACTTCCTGTTTAGACCTTCCCATTCCGAGTCCCAATTAAGTTCAATTTCAAGTCCAATATTATTTGTTTATTCACCAGTCTTAAAAGTGGTTCAACTCTTCCAAGATCAGGTACTCACGGATAGATATTTTAGATGCCAAATTGTCCAGGAAAAAGGCAGCGCTCTCCGATAACGGCAGTGCGGCTTTGCTGCACGGAGGAAGCAGTCGACTCACAGCACCACGCACCTCCACTCCGGAGCCCGTTTCCGTGCGCCTGTACACAGGGAGTGGGCGCTCTCGGTGCCCGCCGAGTCCCACGTCCACAGGCTTCTTCCGCCTGTGGTTTTTGAGGGTCCCCGCTGCGCCGTAGCGGCAGGACCCAAGCCTCCGTGCAGCGGGTTCCCTTCAGTCCGAAGGGAATTCCGCCATTTTCCGGAGGCGCCACCCCGGAAGTCTAGAGGAGGCAATTTCTATTTGTATCCTTTTTTTTTTTTTTCGGCAAGTCCCACAATGGAAAAGTACTTTCATTTTTCAGATATTTTCCAGGTATTTTGTTTCTTTAGGATGCAAAAGGCAACATTGGAAACAACTTGTTTCTCTTCTTTAGCTATCTGTCAAAATATCCCATTCACAGTCAATGAACCTCTCCAACGATTTCTGTCTCTGACACCCTGCTCCCAGGTTAGAGACAGTGGAAACTTATTCTTCTTCACTCCCTCTCCTGCTAGGGTTGAACAAAGTCCCCCCCCCTTTTCTCCTGCTTCCAAGGGGGTTTCAGTAATTCTGAATGAAGGAAGTTTAGACTTTTTTGACAGCTTTCCAGGCTTTAGCTTACAAAGTTTTTGCTTTAGTCTGTATACAAAAAGCGGAAGGCGGACTTCCTGTTTTGAACCTTCCCGCTTCGATGCCAAATTAAGATATTTCTTAATCCAATTTTCCGTTTCTACTCACGGGTACTTGTTTTAAATCCAATTGTCCACAGGAAATGATGGACGACTTCCGGGTCAGCGCCATTGGTGAATGGCGAGTTCCTCTGATCGGAGGAACGGGCTCCGTGGAAACTGGGTCTTCCCACCGCGGCGAAGGTGGGGACCCGCTAGAAATCCCAGGCGGAGGAAGCCTGGGAACGTGGGGTTTGGCAGGGCACCAGGAGCGCCCCCCCTACTCACTGGGAACCCCATTTTGGGGTGCCGGAGTGAAGTGGGGTGAGCGGCGCGGTGCTGCGAACTGATTGCTATTTTCACGGAGTGAAGCCGCACAGCCATTGCCGGAGAGCGCTGACTTTTTCCAATGACCCATCTAGTCCAGAACCCTGTTCTCACTGTGGCCCACCAGGTGCCTGTGGGAAGCTTGCATGCAGGACCTGAGCAAGACAGCACTTTCCCCTCCTGTGGTTCCCAGCAACTGGTGTTCAGAAGCATGCTGCCACCTCAGTTCCTCCACAGGAGCAACCAACAACTCCCGCCAGCGAACCAACTCACCACCTGCTCCTGGTTTGTTATTCTACATGTCACAAACAACTCATCTAAAAAGCAATTCAAGTACTCACCATCAAATACTGTGCCTGTTTCTTTGCCATCTGCATTAGCTGATAAAAGAAAGGAGAAATGATTGTACGCAAACCATATCAAGGCCCCGTGACCAGTGCAAAATGAAACTTTTTGAGAAGTGTCTTGACTCTTAAGGGCATCTTGGTGATAGTGATATATTTTTAAAAGAAAATATTGTATTTTAACTGTTGCAACACACCCTTAGGGTGAAGGGTGGATAATCAATTGTAAGGATGGTAGTGATGATGATAGGCTAGCATCAAGAACCAAAACCCATTAGTCAAGTGTTTTTGTTGTTGTTTTATACCCCACCTTTCCCCCTGACCAGACAGGTATAAACCTTTTCCATTTATTTATATGGATGTTTCTGTCATACCAAACTGGACCAGACCTAAGGCCTACCTAGTTCACCATCTGTTTCCCACAGAGGAGGTCAACCAGATGGCTTTAGGAAGACAACTTAAGCAGGGAATGACCACAGGAGAACTTTAGTAACATTAGCATCCAGAGTTTTCACTCACCTTGATGGCAATGGCTATGGTAGTCTTCACAACAGTTCTGGTGTTGTTCACATTTGCTGTTGCAGTGGCAAACATCTTTTGGATTGTATTTTTCATTACATCGCCCTTTGCAGGAATCAGGGGGACCATACAAAGCTGAAATTAAGGTTGGAATCTGTGGATTAGCAGATTGCAGTCAAAGTGAAAGTGGGCATATGCAGAAAGGGGTGTAGTACCACTGTATAGGTTTGGAGGGCTAGTAGAGTACAACCTTAAACTGTTTCAGAAACATTTGTTTGTGTTATCAGAATGCTGCAAGAAGTGATGAGTCCCTTAGAATATACAGGGGGTGCTACTGGCTAGCTTAATCCATGCAAAAAGGAAGCTGCCAGATTGTCTACTCTGATGGCTCTCCAGTATCTCAGGTGTGGGTACATTTCAAATCACCTGCAGCCTCACATTTTTAACCTGGAGATGCCAGAGATTGAACCCAGAGCATTCAGAATACAAACATATGCTGCAGCCTTGAGCTATCATCCCTTCTCAGCTCCTTAATTATGCTGGGACTGGCTAAAGTTGTGAGTATGAGGGAAGGGCACTCTGTACTTAGAGACACTCTTACCAATAACATAACAGCATTGCATTACTGTTTCCTTCAAGAAGCTGGGAGAAGCAAGGTCACCAAATAGATACATTTTTGAGTGAGTGCCATGAACTCCACTCATTATGGTCCCTCCCACCTTCCTTGGGGGTGAGGGTGGAGGTGTTTGGTTTGTTCTTGTTGTTTTTATTATGTATTTTGTGTTTTTATCTTGCATTTTTATGCTGTGAACCACCCTGAGAGCTACGGATGAAAGACGGTATACAAATGTAATAAATGATACATAATTAAGATGCCTCTGAATCCGATGCTGTGCTGCTGGGAAAGGACAAGCGCTTCTTGAGATGTAAATACTGTGAACTCTTTCTCCATAAAACTCAGGTGTAACTATGTATGAATAAACCATATTTCATAAAAACACTAGCCAAGGAAACACAAAACCTGGTTATGTGCCAAGACCCCTGGAATCTCTTGCTGCTTCTCAGCAGAGATTGGTGAGTAGCAATACTTTAGCAGCATCTATGAATTGTGTCAACCTCACTTTACCTGTTTCCCTCCTACAAGCTGACTCACCTCTATTTTATCCTATGCCAGGCACCACTTATTCCCAGGGTTACCTCCTTTCTTCACCAGCTCTGCTCTTGTGCCTTAACAGCATGCAGACCCCCGGAGACAAAAGCAGAGCACCCAGGAGAGCTAGATCAGAAAAGAAGCAGGCAACCCTCCCCCCTCCTTTGTTCCTATTCCCTGTCCATCTAAAGTAGATTATAAATATTATAGGCAAAGAACCACAGTACCACCAGTAATAGCACAGAGGTAGGGAACATGGATAGCTGTTTTGGACCACAACTTGCATCAGCCCTGGCCAGCAGGACCAATGGTCAGGGGAGGTGGGAAAGAGAATCCAAAATTTCTGGAGGGCACCACACTGACTATCCACCTTGAGGCTTTTTAAAAACTGCTTTGATATTTTTTATTTATTTACAATCAGAAGCATATTTTTAAAATGAAATCTGCATCCTTTTAGTGCAAAAAAATATGGAATCTTAGGACATGAATTGAAGGCAAGTGATGCAGACACTCTGATGGAGCTAATATATAATGGTGTGTGTGTTCATTATGCTTCGTCTTTCAATGTGCAGTTGCCTAATTTGCATGAACTGAAACATGAGTATCCTTCAAAATATGCACTTGTCCAGATTTTGTGATGCACTTCTCCAAACCCAAAGAATGTATTTAAAAATGTGCATGTTAGGAGAGTGTCCATAAACACATATATAAATAACAAATAAATACACTTATATGGAGAAATTGCTTGCAAAAATGTGTATATTAGGGGAAATTAAATTTAAAATGTGTATATTATTGCACAATAAAATGTTGGTTTTTGTGATTACAAAAGTGATCCAAAGGGGCAAAGTGAAATTATGAAAAAATGAGAAGCAGAGAGAATCCAAATTGACAGATCCACACATCCCTGGAAGCTGTGCAACTCTTTGAATGTGACCCTGATTTCCATCACTCTGTAGAATATAAATCAAATGATTTCACATGCAGCTCCACAAACTAAATATGTGCGAGCGTTCTCTTGTTCTCAGGAGGACAAGAGTTCCGCAATGCATGTTATTTGCCGAAGGCAAATGGCTGTAATCATGCTTGTAAGCTTGTAAGCTTGAGCAGAGTAGACAACAGTGAGACTTTTTGCCATCTCCTGATCATGGTAAGAGATTCAATCTACAGGGGGTCAGCAAAATTCCCCGAAACCTGCTGTTAATGACTGGGGAAATAAAAAGCACATTTTGATTGCCAGTGGAAACCTCAGTGATTTTCAAAGTGCAAATCTGCCTCAGAACATCAGTGGAAATTGGAAGCGGACATTTCGGCATACTATATTGTGTCACGGTTTTTGAAGTTCAAAGTAGTTTGAGAAAGCGTCTGTTTCCATGGAACACACTACTTTTTAAAACTCACTCTTGCTTCTAATAAAATTGGTTTTGTAAATTTTTGAAACAATTCATAAACCTGCAACACATGTTTACCAGAGATGAAAGTATGATGCAGTGACCCCTCTTTTAACTGCCTTCAGTTTTGGGGGTGGGGAGTGAGATTATCTCCACATGAAGATCACCACTTGTACTCAGTGAATGAATGAATGAATGAGACTTTGATTGCATCAGCCATTGCAGCCATTGCAACAAAAGAACATTGCAGTATATACAGAACAAAATAAAAAGTCGATTATATAAAACACAGTTTAGAGTCCTGAATCAGCAGTCAAATAGTGAACCTTATTCTGATTGCTTGTACTCAGTACATTTGAGGGTCTGATCTTTTTCCCTAGCAGAGACTCAAGGCAGCTTACAGATAAAAATAAGAACAGTGAAAAACAATAATTAAACATAGAATTTAAACTATATCTACACACAGACACACACACACACCCTATCAAAACTATAAAAATAATTACAATAATAACCGTACGGCACTAGCCGTTTTGTTAAAAGCAGTCAATTTCCCAAAACTTGTTGGAACAAGAAGCTCTTCACCTTCCGGCGGAAGGACAGGAGCCGGTCTAGCTTCTCTAGGGCGGGACTTCCAAAGTCTGGGAGCAGCCACCACTGAGAAGGCTCCGTACTACTTCCCTTCCAAGCCTGCCAGTGTGCCTGTGGGACTGGCGGGACTGAGAGAAGAGCTTCCTCTCCTGAGGATCTCAGAACCCAGACAGGTTTGTATGAGTGAATAGGGTCTTTCAGATAAGCCATACATTAGCTCCCCTTTTCAATTTTCAACACAAAAGTTAAAAACTCAAAAACAAATTTTATTTAGAGATGAATAAATGTGATTCATGGTGTTACATTTCATATTTCGGTCCCTGAGTTGCTTGCTCTCTTTATTATTCATCATCACCTTGGTAGTAGCTTTTTGTTACTTCATTCAGGTTAATTAATCATCAGTTCATCATAATGTGTGACAGATTGAGGAGCTTGCTAAATGTGGCAACTCTTACCATCCGTTAAGTAACTGTTCCAAGCAACTGTGCAATAGAGCAAGTATCAAGAAAGAGCGGTTAAACCAGAACATATTAACTTCATAAAATATGCATTTTAAAATGACGTCAACCCTCCCCATAGATTTGCCTCTACAAAGTTCATTAAACTGATGGGATTTTTTGCACAGGATTGCAGGCATTTCAAGAAATATATGATGATGATTCAGTTCTTTGTTCTACACTATGTGCAACCCAACATTACAGCAAGAAGACCTTTTCATTCCTCTTCTGTGTCCAGGGTGGCTGTCTACCAGCTCCATCTAGTATGCTGGCTGAGACCCTACCTGCCTGCACGCCATCCTAGCAGAGTGGTACATGCTCTGGTTATCTCCCACTTGGACTACGACAATGCACTCTGCTTGGGGCTACCTTTGAAGGTGGCTCAGAAACTCTAATCCATAATAAAGCAGCTAGACTGGTGACTGGGAGTGGCCGCCAGGACCATATAACAGTGGTCCTAAATTATCTTCACCGGCTCCCAGTACATTTCCAAACACAAGTCAGAGTGTTGGTGCTGACTTTTAAAACGCTAATCGCCCTTGGCCCTGGATACCTGAAGGAGTGTCTCCACCCACATCGTTCAGCCTGGACACTGAGGTCCTCCTCCGAGGGTCTTCTGGCGGTTCCCTCACTGTGAGAAGTGACGTTACAGGCAACCAGGTAGAGGGCCTTCTCAGTAGTGGTGCCCTCCTTGTAGAACACCCTCCCCAGTGGCGTCTCAAGGGAGTGGCGGGGGCGGCGGTGCGCCCCAGGTGCCATGTCTGGGAGGGTGACAAGAACGCACCCCATAGGGTGCTCGCCCCGCCACCCCAGTTGCATCGGCGTGAGCAGCCATCATGCCGCCGCAGCCACATGTGGAGGATCCTCTGCAGCTGCAGCCACAAGCAGAGGATCCCGCCACTGTTTGTATGGCTCTCGGGTGGCGCCGGTGGCAAACCGCTATGTAGCGACGCCACACATGCACTGTACATAGTGGTTTGCCACCGGCGTGGCTGGAGTGTTGTACGGATGGTGGTGGGATCCCTCCACCACCAGCAGGAGCCGCTTATGGCCAGGCGGGGGCCCCTCCGAGTCTCCCTTCCTCCCCGGCTCACCATAAGAGGCTCCCCCTCCCTCCCTCCCTCCCTGGCTCGCCATAAAGCGGCAAAGCAGGAGCCACTTACGGTGATCCGGGGGTCCCCCTCCCAACCTCCCTCACTCCCTGGCTTGGTGTAAGTGGCTCCCACTTTGCCTCTGTACAACAAGCCGGGGAGTGGGACAGACGGGAGCCATGTATCCCAAGAGGACGAGCTGAGCAGCTTTGCCAGCTCCCCCACAAAGCAGCATAGCTCCCCCCCTTTCCCAATGGCTCAAGGTACTTGGGAGTCACAGAGGCATAGGAAGGGGGGTGGACCTCCCCAGGTGTCATCGCTCAGGGGGTGACATTTGGCACCTGCCCATGACTCCCAAGCCTACCCCGAGCTGTCAATGTGTGTGTGGGGGGGTGACAAAAAAATTCTTCACTGGGTACCACCTGGGCTTGCTATGCCTCTGACCCTCCCTTCAGATGTCAAGGAGATAATGAGCTACACAACTTTTAGAAAACATCTGAAGGGAGCCCTGTATTGGGATGTTTTTAATGTCTGACATATTATTATCTTTTTATGTGTGTTGGAAGCTGTCCAGAGTGGCTGGGGTAACCCATCCAGATGGATGGGGTATAAATAATAAAATTGTTGTTGTTGTTGTACCCTCCCCCTCCCTCACCACCGCAAAGATGAGGATTTTTCTGACACTAGGTCAACACCTCCAACCTAGGAATAAGAGAACTGAGGGGGGACATGAATGATAGCCCTCTTCAGATACCTTATGGGTTGCCATTTAGATGTGGACAGAGCCTTGCTCTCTGCTGCCCTAAAGGGCAGAGCATTTAGTGTAAGGTTACCAGACATCCCTGTTTCCTGGGGACATTCCCCGGATTTACAAATCAGTTCCCATACAAAATCCATTGAAGTTGAAAAGTGTCCTGGATTTATTGAAAAAAATCTGGTAACCTTAATTTAGTGGGTTTGAGTTACAGGATGGTAGATATTGGCTGAACATCAGGAGAGGAGAACATCTTGCCCGTCATGTAGAAAACACCCTTAGAATGAGTCATGCCATTGGTCCATCTAGCCCAGTATTGTCACACGCAACATATGGAGACAGTGGCTCTGAGGATGGAAGAGCTATTTATCCAGAAAAGTAAGAGTACAGACTCAGCAACAGACACCATGATCAAGAGTCAGGAGGTCAGGAGTTCAGGAGCAGGACAGGAAGTTCAGAACTGGTCAGAAGTGACAAAGCTGTCCCAACAAGTTTCCCAGCCCCTCCCACTGAGCTTCTAAAGATTAAGTACAGGGCATTCACTCGCCTTGTGAGAACATCAGGATTGCAGGTAGATCTGATCCCATCTGTGAAGGCAATGATTCCAAGTGACAGGACTGCATACTCCTGCTCAGGCTCCTGTTGAGCCATTGCCACATCCTGTCAGGGAAGGACTTTGGTAATATGGTGCCCTGAATAAAAATAAAATTTGGCACCTCCTCCTAAATATTTATTCCATTCTGCTCCCCTCGGCACAGCACCCTGTGCAGGGAAACTGCCCCCACCACCATAAATCCAGCGTTGTTCCTGCTCAACCTTCCCTCTCCGTTACCTGATCCACAGGAAGGTCAGAGAGGAGACCTCCTCCACCTTTGCCACCACCCCCTGAGGTGGCCCAGGAAAGGCCTTGTGTGCTGAAGGTTGTTGTGGTGGGGAGAAAATGGAGGCTGGAAAGGAGCAGGCGGGGGGTGCAGAGGAGGAGCATGACAAGCGCAGGAGACAAGGAGCGGCATGCTCGGGGGGGGGGGGCATGGCAGATCTGCCACCCCTCCCAGCTGTTCTGACTAGTGACTAGTGGGGTGCCACAGGGTTCTGTCTTGGGCCCGGTCTTATTCAACATCTTTATCAACGACTTGGATGATGGACTCAAGGGCATCCTGATCAAATTTGCAGATGACACCAAACTGGGAGGGGTGGCTAACACCCCAGAGGACAGGATCACACTTCAAAACGACCTTGACAGATTAGAGAACTGGGCAAAAACAAACAAGATGAATTTTAACAGGGAGAAATGTAAAGTATTGCACTTGGGCAAAAAAAATGAGAGGCACAAATACAAGATGGGGGTAACCTGGCTTGAGAGCAGTACATGTGAAAAGGATCTAGGAGTCTTGGTTGACCACAAACTTGACATGAGCCAACAGTGTGACGCGGCAGCTAAAAAAGCCAATGCAATTCTGGGCTGCATCAATAGGAGTATAGCATCTAGATCAAGGGAAGTAATAGTGCCACTGTATTCTGCTCTGGTCAGACCTCACCTGGAGTACTGTGTCCAGTTCTGGGCACCACAGTTCAAGAAGGACACTGACAAAGGGAGAAAGGTTGTTTTCTGCTGCTCCAGAGAAGCGGACACGGAGCAATGGATCCAAACTACAAGAAAGAAGATTCCACCTAAACATTAGGAAGAACTTCCTGACAGTAAGAGCTGTTCGACAGTGGAATTTGCTGCCAAGGAGTGTGGTGGAGTCTCCTTCTTTGGAGGTCTTTAAGCAGAGGCTTGACAACCATATGTCAGGAGTGCTCTGATGGTGTTTCCTGCTTGGCAGGGGGTTGGACTCGATGGCCCTTGTGGTCTCTTCCAACTCTATGATTCTATGATTCTATGTTCTCACCAAGCCTCACAGACTGACTGGCACAGGGATGGCTGAACAGGGATTTGAACCCAAATCTCTTGGGTCAAAGCATAGGTGTCAACTCCCTGGGGCCCTGAGTGCCTGAGCACCCACAAAATTCCCCATGAAGGAGTCGGGCACCCACAAATTTCAGTGCCAGGGCCATGCATGCTGCATGCCACCCACAGTCGCAGAGCCAAGCTGGCATTAAAGGGAAGGTGCCATAACTTAATGAACAGCTCATGCCCCCAGGCAGGAAGAAGATGGTGCAAACAGCTGCAGGGAAAGCAATGTGTCAGGCAACAGCCCAGAACCATTCTATGGCTGATCTTGTTGCTAAAGTTCTGCTGGGCCTGTACCACTTCTTAATTCAGGTAGGAAAAATCTCATGTTTCAATGCTCTGGGGCATGAAAAGAACTTCAATGAGAGTAGAAAGTAGAAAACTAGTAAAACAGTGTTTCTATTATTTTAAAAACAGCATTCACAAACAATCCCTCCCAGCAGCATTCTGAAGTGTTACAGACTCAGGAGGACATCTTCTCAAGAAATCAATCAGCTCTAATTAGCTGTAGATATTGGATGTTCCTCCCAGCCCATAAGTCTTTGGCAAAACCACCTGTCTGCTTCTCCTGGTTCTGGATTGAAGGACACAACACACGAGTAGTCAGCCTTGATACTGAGAGAGTACTATAGTGCACCACCAGAAGCATGAACAGTGTTCTAGAGGAAGGTTAGTGTGCCCTTGCAATCAGTGAAGCATTTAATATATGCAAAACTGACATGCACAATTCTGTTTTAGTACTGTTTGCTTTGAGTAGCATTTCAAAGGGGGTGGGGCAGAAAATTCACCGTGGTGGAAAAATTTAGGTCATCTTGGGCTGTGCTGTTCTTGGTAAATTTCTCTCTTCAGTCAAAGGCCCAGATATCATCAGGCTTGGGTTTTATAGTCTCGTGGCTACATACCCCCCCCCCCCCAGTTTTGCAGGACGTTTGCTTAAGATGACTTGGCACAAAAAGATAGAACTATGCTGTGAATCTGAGTATTTTGAGAATAAGAAACAGCCTGGTGTGGGCACAGCATAGACACGGCATGGGAGTGTCAGATTGGCTTTGCCACGGCAGCCACAGCTCACCAGACTCCCCTTCTTTGCCCCTCCTCGCTCCATATGTGGCAGCGCCATGTTCTTAGAAGACCGAAGAGGAATACAAGTCTGATCCTTGGGCTGTTTCTCTCATTATTGTCCACTCTGCTCTGACTGGCAGCAGCTCTCCTGACATCCAGGGTTTCCCAACTCTACCAAGAGATGCCAGAGATTAAGGCTGGAACATTTTACATGCCAAGCACGTGCTCTCCTGCTGAGCCACAACCCTTCCCCAAAGGCAAGGACCTTCCCTATAGTGTCACGGTGCTTTTCTATTACAAGATGATGCAATTTAAAAATGACAGATTTTGGAAAAGCCCAAAGAACTTGGGAAGTGGCTCTACTTCATTCAGTCCATTCCCCCCTAATTATGGCAGCAACTCTGTGACAATAATAACCCATACTGCACATGCACCAGCCTTTTCTAGCTGTGTGGAATGACAAGCAGTGGTGCAGGCTGAATAACTCTTTGGGGCTGGACTGCAGGGACTAGAAGCAATGGAATATTTTTGTGTTCCCCTCAGTGAGAGAAACTTGAAAATGCACTACTGGAACCATGATCAAGGATAGTATTTTCACAGTACTCTTTCTCTAATATCAACAGGGCCTGCACACAATAACAGCCATATTTACCAAATCATAGAAATGCATAACCTTTTTTAATATTCTTTCTTGTATTTCCTCATAGTGTTTAAGACAGCTTCTTGTTTAGTGGCAGACTTGACCACTGGCAAATCATCTCTCCCGAACAGTAATACTATAGCTTTGTGCTACTACCAGAACTGTCACTATGCTCCCTTTTATCCTGCTTGGCTAATGAGTACTACAATTGAGCAGGTATTTGTCAATGCTCATAAATATAATAATTTTTTATTTTTTAAAAACTGTCTGGAGAATGAATTTGGCATGAATCCAGCTTATACTAAAGCTACAATCCAATTTAGCTGTATGTCCAGATGGGAAAGAGAAGGGCACACCATAAAATATGTTGCAGATGTTTTTTCAGAAGCCCAGAGCTGGGAAACTTTTTTCAATGAGCCACTTCATCCACAAACATGCTGTGCAGTGGTTAGAGCCAAAGGCAAAATAGGCAGTGCAATGGATGTGACTCTTACCTCTGTACAGTAGGCTACATCTCAGTCATGCACAAGTCAAAAGTTTCTGTGCACACACAGACATTTCTCCATCCAGGCAAGCAAACAAGGGGCATTCTCACAGATCAGGAAGAGCCCATTGTTGCCAGGCAAAAGCACTCAAGAGGGAGAAGGCAGGTGAAAGGGCAGCAGGGACCAAAGGAAGGAGATGAACCCACTCCAGGAAGGAAGCCCACTGAGGACATCTGGCCCAATAAACTCCCAGCACCACCCAAAACCCCCCACTGGAATCAGCATTGTTTATTCCGTGTGTGTGTGTGTGTGTGTGTGTGCGCGCGCACTCATTTCAAGTAGCACACATTCAATGGCCACTTTTCAGTGGAGTGCTACCCAGTGCTTTTTTTCTGGGGGGGCACAGAGGTATGCATACTCCCAAACATTTTGTGAATCTTTGTACTTTTGTCCATTTACTGTATTTATTTTTCCCAAATTGAACTATAAAATGGTGATTTTCTTGAGTCAAAATGAGTACCTAAACATTTTTTTAAAGAAAAAAAGCACTGGGATTTGTGGAACAGCTCTAGTTCACACATTCCCTTGATGACTGCAATATAAAGTGATGAGTTGCTTGCATGTGCCGCTCACCCAACCTCACAGATGGAATATTCCTGTCATCTGCTGTCACCTTAAGTGCAATGCCTGGCAAAAGAATCAGCTTGAGACCCACCTTATAGCAATCAAATGCAGAGTAATCAACCATCTCTTTTCATTGCAACCTTAGGCATATTTACTTGGAAGTAAGTCCTGCTCTCTTGGAGTTGTTTGCTAGTAAATGTGTTTAGGATTGGAGCCTCTCAGTTTTGGACTTACTTAGAGGTGGCTCTGCAGTTGCAAGGGGAAGGACCATAACTCAGTGGCACAGGCAGGACACATGTTTTGCATGTAGAATGTCCCAGGTTCAATCCCCAGCATTTCAAGGTAAAGCCCTGTGTGAAACCACTGATAGTCAGTGCAGACTATTGGTCATGGTGGGAGGAACACGTGGCCTGCTGGGCTCCAGCTCCTATAGTCCCTGACCGTTGGCCATGGTGGTTGGGGCTGATGGGAGCTGAAGTCCAACAGCACCTGGAGGTGGACCACACAATAGTTTCTTAAGCAGTTCTTCCTCAGCACCATGCAGCATCAAACCATAAAGCATCTCTTTCTCTGGGTACAGATAATCTAAACACCCAATTTAAAAAAAAACTACTACTACTGCTGCTGCTACTACTACTACTACTACTACTTACATCCAGATGCCAGGCTGCAGAAAGCTCCTGCCAGGAGAAGACATGCCCAGGTTTTCATGGTCCCAGTGGCAGAGATGGTGATGAAGGTGAAGTTTCAAGGAGGCACAGGGAAGAGAATCAACCAACTGAAGCTGTCTTTCATCGCAGCATGGTTCTATATATATAGCTATGGGTGGTTCATGCAAAGCAAATGAGGAGGAGCTTTGAGGGTTGGAGAGAGATAGCATGGCATCACACAGGGTGGGAAGAGGTGCATGTGAGTGTCAGTCAGCAATGCTCCTGCCATAGGTATGAGTCTGTGCATCACCTTGTGTGATATCAATCAAATTAACACAGCCATCAGGCAGGAAATTCCTGTTTGTAGCTTCTGTGGCAATATGTATTCAGCTCTACAACAGAGGTGTTTCAAGATATAGTTACTAGCAGTGGGTTTATTTTGGGGAACTTTATAAGCCTAGATCCCCAACTGTTGCTTTAGCACCATGATTCTGAAACTGTAGCAATTAAGAAGTGGAGTCATGCTCCAGAAAGCCCTTGGTTAAAATCTGATTGCTCAGCCTCAAATTCTGTAAGTGGCCTTCGACAAATTATCTTCAGCATCACCCACAATCTGCAATATGGGGAAGAGAATAATAGCGATCTACCTTACAGGATTGTTGTAAGGACACAAATGTCAAATAAAACGTCAGCTCTACATCCTTCTGATGCAGATAGGGATGGGGTGAAATTAGAAGTAACTCGCATTTAAAGGCAAACTTACTTAATTTTCAATTTTTGAACTTTTTCTGAACTTTGCAACTGTACAAGCAAACATTAAAAATTTCTGTGTCAGATATTGCAGAGGAATGTTAATCTGAAAAGTGTGTGTTGAGAATTTACAGATGCTTTCATTTCTTTTCCAGCTCTAACTGGAGGAGCATAGATAGATAAATGCTGTGGTTGTTGGCAATCTGTCTTGAGAAACAATGGAGTGCACCTTCAGGGGTGAAGTCAAACTGTTGTGTTAGAAACCACCTTCTTGGCCATTGGACTCAATATTCGTCTCACCAGCTCAATCTGCCAGCGCTTGTCTTCACATGTAGGGGAAGTCCCTAACTCACTGAGGGGTTTGAAACCCATCAGCTCCCCTCACCTGATTTAGCTGACCAGTCAAAACCGTTCCTTGGGTTTGCCCACTGTCGTATGCTGACAGCTTCTAGGAGCCATGTGAGTGCTGCTGAGTACAGAGTGGGGACTAAAGGTGGACAAACTACCCCAGAAGAAGCTTGACATGTCCCCCACCAGAGGTACTATCCCTCCCCTAACATCCCGTGTGCATGCGTGCTGATCCCTCAGATTTGAACCAAACCAAAAAAGCTGCACCAGCTAGCCAAGTTAAAGAAAATTGTGTGCTGAGAATTTACAATTGCCTGACTGTGTGCTTCTGCACATTTCCTAAAAGCTGCTCTCTGCATTTATGTCCTGTCTGTACTTAATTGTCATAATATAATCAACAAATTAGAAGTCAGGGACAAACACAAAAGAGAATGCCTGCTCTTATGACTGGGCAAAACCAAAGTTGCTCCTCAAATACAAATTCACATAAATGTGGGTGTGGACTGCTCTGGTCCAATTCAGAAGAGGGGTGGAATGGATTAACAGCTAAATAATGCTCAACTGTAGACAAGCCTGTTTCCAGCAAAAAAAAAAAAAAAAAAAAGTTGACAGGCAATGAGTGAAGACATCCTGGAGAGACAGCTGTGGAGTCCCCTGGTTAAACGTCTTCTCAATCAAGTCAGCGATTAGCAATTTAATTTGGTTATCATCGTGATTTGTAAGTCTGAACCATTCAAGAAGCTATGAGAACAGTCCTCATCTTTGCACAGGACAGTCAGAAAATCCAAATGTAAGCATAAAAGGGGATATGTATATATATTCCACACATATCTGTGAAGATCCATTTAAAATGCCACACCCTTCACAATCCAACATGAAAAGAGTTACAATGGCAAAATGTCAGCCACTGGAAAAAGCGCATGGTATCTCCCTTTGTCTAGATTAAAATTGCAAGCTTCTCGAGGACAGGAAATGTCTTTTGTTTGTGCACTGATGGAACTATTTAATTAAAAGCCGTCATCACTGATGAAAGGGCAGGAAAAAGGTCACAGAATGAAGACATAACAAGGGAACACACAATAAAACCATCTGGTGCAGGAGATCCTGGCTTTTCCCCTGCTTCACAACTGGAATTGTGGATGTATGTACCAAATAAAAAATGATTGCTAATGCAGCTTTCAATGTACCCCTTTGCCAATGCTTCAGGTAGGTGCTAATCTTTTATGCTATTTCTTAAAGTGCAGATTTATCCATTTCTCCTCTAACTGCTCATTAACTTTGTTTGCCTTTTTTTCCTTAATTGACACTTTTCCTAAAAGTGCAAACTGCTCTGGGAATTTGGGGGAGAGTGTTATTTGGTGACAAGTAGCATATAGCATATAGGGATGCGGGTGGCGCTGTGGGTTAAACCACAGAGCCTAGGACTTGTCGATCAGAAGGTCAGCAGTTCGAATCCCCACAACAGGGTGAGCTCCCGTTGCTCGGTCCCTGCTCCTGCCAACCTAGCAGTTTGAAAGCACATCAAACTGCAAGTAGATAAATAGGTACCACTCTGGTGGGAAGGTAAACCAGAAGCAGCTTAGTCTTGCTGGCCACATGACCCGGAAGCTCCCTCGGCCAGTAAAGTGAGATGAGCACTGCAACCCCAGAGTCGGTCACGACTGGACCTAATGGTCAGGGGTCCCTTTACCTTTACCTTTACCATACAGCAAAGCATCCTCAAAATTTGGCAAATATCAGAAACAGAGTGAATTATGATACCCGTGACTGAAGTTTCCTGGACCAAAGTTTCATCATATTCACTTTCTAACAAATGTTATCAAACCCACACCATCTACTGGGATAATAATGCATTACTCTAGGCTACGAGTATCATTTGCATCACTGGTTGATTGTGCTGTACAACTGTACACCTCTGCGCCAAAACTATGCTCCTTACAAATGTTTAAGTAGATTTGATTCCATATGCCTCCTCATATAAACCCTCGGCAGCTTACAAGCTCGTTTCTTTTTGCTGTTAATGCAAGAACTCCTACAGAGAATCCTCCTTGATACAGGATGGTTTGAACCCACGGTGTCTTAGGGACTTATGATGCCAACATCACATTACGACGTCAACAGTGAGCTCATCAGCAGTTTCCTAGCAACAGGTAAAAGCTAACAATCAGTGGTAGGGACAGGCTACCACTGGCGAGGCGGAAAATGAAACGCCGCCCCAGAAGAAGTGAGATGCGAAGCGGCTGCAAGGGAACAAAAGTACTGCCCAAAGTTTTCAGAGGTGCAGATGGGGCAGACAGGAGGGAGGTCCCGAAGTCACTCTTTGTGTCCCAGAGCGAGACACTCCCACTTGCGCCATGCCAGGAAAGCAGGGGTCCGAGCGCTTTCCCCCTTCCCCTTCCAAGGGAAACCCGCCCCCCCCCCCCCGTTCTTTAGTAACCGATCAGAATAGCAATCTTTTGGAGCGCTAGAGAGCGGCTTTGCAGCAGAGGCGTGGGAGCAGCTTGACAAGAATTGTGGATAAGTCCTGGGAAATGTTTCCCAGGATTGGGCGTTTTGTCAGGAAGTAGCTGCGAAGAATGATAAGAAATGCTTGGCAGTGACTCTCTCCTCTCTTTAAAGGAGGGTTGGCTACACTTTTGAGAGCTGAAACTATAGTGGTACCTCGGGTTACAGACGCTTCAGGTTACAGATTCTGCTAACCCAGAAATAGTACCTCGGGTTAAGATCTTTGCTTCAGGATAAGAACAGAAATTGTGCAGTGGCAGCAGGAGGCCCCATTAGCTAAAGTGGTGCTTCAGGTTAAGATCAGTTTCAGGTTAAGAATGGACCTCCGGAACGAATTAAGTACTTAACCCGAGGTACCACTGTAATGGCCAGGCTGAATTTAGCAGTCTGAATTTGTGGGCGAGGGGGAGAGATTAGATAAAGTCAAAAGCGTACATAGCCTCTTTCTTTCAGGACTTGGGCTAGTGGTTGTTCTCTCCTGCACCTTTTTCCCAGAAGTTGGGATTTCCCAGAAGTTCCTGCTCTGAGGGTCATGTTGGTGAGAAATCACCATGAGAAAAATAATATTTGCCTACCTGATGGTGTTTTTAAGAATTCCATTAAGCTCTGTCAAGCTTCCTCCCAGCCCCAAGAAATGAGTTGCCTTCCTCATTTTGCGGCAAGTGGGGCTATAAAACTGAGGTTTGCAAGCAGATTTTTGCCTAGACAGCCTTAGCTGAAAAAGAGATAGTTCTGAATTCTAAACTGTTTCATTCTTACAACCAAAAATACTCCTTTTTAGAGTATGTAACATGGTTTTAATGTATGGTTGATGTAATGTGATCTGATTGCATTTTAATGTTGTCTTGTGAAACACCCAGATGACTTTGCTATTTAAACAGCTAAAGGAAAAAAATGAATGGCTCACTTTCTGAGGAGTATTTAATTACTGAATTTATATCCTACCTTTCCTCCAAGGAGCTCCAGGTGGTGTCCATTGCCTAATTTAACCCCCCCCCTGCAAGGTAGGTTAGGCTGCGAGGCAGCAACTGACCAAAGGGCACCCAGGGGAGTTTCATGGCTGTGTGAGGATCAGGCCCTCGTAAAGTATTAGTTCAAAGTCCATTGTAATGAGATGGTTCACCTTTATTTATCTTGGGTTAGATTTAGCTGTCCACAGTCGCCCTTTCAGCTCCTCCATACCCTACAAGCGGCTGCCAACCTCTAGTGATGTCACCAAAGTTCATAATTACGGGGGTTCATAATTTGCCTCATCATGCTTGGATGTATTCAGATTGGAGGCATGCTCCCTTGGCATTAAATTCTTGCTCCTTTTTTGGGGGGGGGGAAGCATGCAGAAGTTGTGTTTGCACTTTACTGAAATGGGGGGCGGCTTTTCCACGAATTTGAAATTCAGTATCATTTACTTTATTTTTATTTATTTAAAACATCTGTATACCACTTAATTATTAACATTTCTAAGCAGTGTACATAGAAGCAATCCACAGAAAATGGGGCAATATAAACAATAAATTTTAGCACCAAGTGAGCCTTAAAATACTTGCTGGAATAAGAAAGTCTTAGTTTTGCATTTGACGTTCTGCAAGGAATCCTGTTTAATCTCAGGTCTGGGGCTTTTTTTTTTTTTTGAGCAATGAATCTGACTGTGGGGAATGGGAGCGAACTCTGCTGGATCAGACTAGAGAACTGTCTACCCAGCTGCTTCCCATGAACCTCAACCCTTTATCCACCAGACCTACACATAGCAGATCACATTGTGCTACATCTGCAGGATTAGGAAAGCATTTTTATTCCACATGTGACGAGATGTGGAGCAGAAAGGCACTTAATACAGCAAACAACATCAAAGGACTCAAGAAAGTGAGCCAAGCCACCTGCTTCAGGAAAGGCAACATCTAATTCTGGAAGAAAATTATTTCTGGGCCTTGTGTCTGGAAAATTAGGTGGATCTTTCCCAGACAAAAACTGCAGCTTCCAAATCTTCCTTGCTGGGCTGTATATCTAATACTTTGGCACATATAACTTTGTCTCTATCTCCTGGCAGTGAGTTCCACAGTTAGCACTCATCGGAGGGAAGAGCAAGATTTCCCTGATGTCTTGCTGGATGCTGGTCGGATGATGAGGGGAGCATTGTTGAGCCCCCCTGCCCAGACCCCAGGGTAGAAGTACGGCCGGAGGGGTCCAGAGAAGGAGTCTGCAAAGGTAAAGATGTGCGACCCATTATCAGCGTTATAGAAGGAAACCTCCCCTGCATCATAGTCCAGGAAGATGCCTATTGCCCCAGGCCTGGCTCTCAGAGCTAGTTCCGTGAGAGGCGAGGTGAGGGCTGCGTACTCATTGCCATTCCTCAGCCACACAGTCCAGAAGCCAGTTGCTGGGGAGGGAGTGAAGATTCCTTGGCGGCTCACAGATTCTCTGCACACCCCCAGCGTCCAGCTGGTCTTGCTCTCCACACACACTTCCCAGTAGTGTCTCCCAGTTGTGAACTGCTGACAACCCAGCAGGCAAGTGCATGTCTCAAAGCGGGACAAGCTCTTGGGCAGGTCTTGCTTTTGATCCCCTACTTGCACACAGAGCAGGTTGTCAGAGAGGAGCAGGTAGGGATTCGCTGTGTCTGGGTCGAAGGTCACCGGTACTGCAGGCAGAAAGAGACACGTTCAGCCCTGATGTGATGTTACTGCACCAATACAGAACATGTGACATTATAGTAGGATGCTGAATTATAACTACCCTGCCAGGATTCCCTGCTTGTTGTTCTGTCTGGGCTGACAGCAAAGTATAAAGGGGCCTTCTCAGTGGTGGCCTCCCTGGTTACAGAACTCCCTTCCAAATGGCATTATGATGTCCCCCACATTAGCCACATTCAGGTAACCTTTTTCATTTGCCCAGGCCTTTGGGGTGTAAGTGGTATTTTTGGATGATTTTACGATCTTTGCTCTCTAATGTTTTTATTCTGATTTCATATCTGGTTCTGATGTATCTGATTACAAGTGTACTGCTGCGTATGTGATTTTGTATGGTTAGCTGCTTTGTGCTCCCATTGGGAGCAGGGGCAGGATAGTAGAACAAGGTAGACCAGGTCAGACTATTGGACACCTAGTCAGAGATTTTCTCCACTGGTGTTGGCTCTTTAAGGGATGCACAGCCTAAATAGATGCTACTAGACCACAGCTCCCATCAGCCCCAGCCAGCATCAGAATGATGGCAGTTCTAGTCCAGGAGTAGCTGGAGGGCATTGCACTGGCTTCTCCTCCTCTAGGTTGTCAACCAGGCAAGGGTCTTTCCTTTCCCCTGCTGAGAATCCATTTAACTCCAGATGTCAGGGACTGAACCCAAGATCTTCTGCATGCAAAACCTGTGCTCTACTACCAAGTCATACATGATTCTCTCCCAAGTTTTGTGCATGTGTTTGTGCTTGGGGCTCCAACTTGAAGTGAAGAAGGTGCTCAGGCAAATGAGTACAAGAGCAACTGTGCTCCCTCCAGCTGCCGTTGCTTCCATATTGCCGTGCTGACTTGCCATAGCCAAGTTCACCTAACTCAGAGCTTTCCAAACTTTTCATGTTGGTGACACACTTTTTAGACATGCATCATCTTGTGACACAGTAATTCAGTTTTACTAGCAAACTGGAGGTTAAACTAACCCCTTTCCAGTCCCAGGAGGAACGTCGGGAGCATTCGCGTGACACACATACACACTGCAACAGACACACGAACGTGTCGCAACACACAACTGAGTTAGCTCTAACCTAACTCAATAGAGCTGGGGGGGGGCTGTCAATGAAGGATGAATGCTCATTGTCATATAACCAGTCCAAAAGTAAATTGGAACAAATGATTAAAGCTGGGTATAGGCTGACCACTTGGTATGTTTTGTGCAAGCAGAATGAATGCTCAGTAAACAGGTTACCTGGAGAAGCCCAAATAAAATCAGCATCCTGTCTGTTGATAGACCTTTCTCTGGTCTTTTATTGCTTAAGAAGGCTACTTGCCATATCTGTCTATACATCACTCAAATCTGGAAGTAGCTTTTGGCTGCAAAGTACCCTACCTAGAAGTAACCTAGGTCACTTTAATCATGATGGTAATAAGTCTTAGCCTGCCAAGTGTGTTCAGGAAATTTATTCACCTCTACCCAAGACAATTATGACAAGGGGCTTATGAATGGTAGATGGCAGAAGCGCTGCTCATGGAACCACACCTTTACCCTGATACCAGTTTTGGTGTGACGCAGTTGGGTGAGCAGCCGACTGACTCCTGTTATTCCGGCAAGTGCTGAGCTGATGCATAGGCACATCAGGTTTGAAAGATGTGTTGCTGGCACTCAAAGTTGCAGTTGCTTGTGGTTCTTTATGGTTAGAAAGATCAAAGCAACTGGTGAGTCATTCTGAAAGGGGAAACGAGCTTTGGCTGCAGGCTTGAATGAAAAGCATATTTTATGGTTTTGTTTCAATAAACCCAGATGCAAGGAGGGAAGGGCCAGTACAGCTGAAGTAACAGTCATTCAAGAGTCCATAAGTCTTTAGCTGTCACCAGTCTCATCAGTAAATAGATTGGAGAAGCTCATTTTAATTTGTGATTAAAGCTTTAGTTGAGTAATCCCACCCAGCTGAAGTTCAGAGGCCCCCAAACTAAAAGCTACAAATTGTGTATGACAACCACATGCTGAGAAGAAACCTTTCTCTTTGCTGCCAAGCTCACATGACTAACACAGCTCTGCACCATTGCTCACTTACCTGAGTATCTCTGGAGTGACTCCATCAGCCCAGGAACATCATATAAGTCCTGTAGATCCATTGAGATGGGCTGGGGTTCCTGCAGTGATACATCCTCACTCCTAAGGAGAACATGTCAGTACTTATCCCCCAAAGCCAAAGGCACCATTTTATGACCCCACAGTGTCATGAATGAGACCAAGTCACAATCCAATGCTCATATTCTTGGGAGTAAGCCCCAATTAACACAACAAGTCTTATTTCTAAGTAAGTGGGCTGCAATATAAGTTATAGTTATAATGAGAAGAGAAGATTCCCTGGAAAAGACCCTGATGTTGGGAAAGATTGAGGGCACAAGGAGAAGGGGACGACAGAGGACGAGATGGTGGGACAGTGTTCTCGAAGCTACCAGCATGAGTTTGACCAAACTGAGGGAGGCAGTGGAAGACAGGAGTGCCTGGTGTGCTCTGGTCCATGGGGTCACAGAGTCGGACACGACTAAACGACTAAACAACAACAACAACAAATTATAGGGTACTGACCTGGTCAAGGCTACCTTAACATCCTAGAGGAGAGAAAAGAGAAGCCTGTAAATGTCCAGGGACTAAAACTGACTTATGAACATTGCTTAAGAAAGCCAGAAGTACCAGAACTGTGTCTGCTTTATCAAGGTCATGTTAGGAGATGCCATTCTGTAGAGTCTCACCTTCAGCAGGGAGGCAGCTGGCTGCTGGCATTTCTGCTCCATCTCTGAGATCAGATCCCGTAGTCGTGTGCACTGCCCAAGCAGGAAGGCCCAGTTCACCTGCAGCTTCTTCAGTGTCTCCTGCGCCTCATCCTGAAGCTGCCTCAAAAGCAGCTGCTCCTCTTCGGCCATTGCCTGGCGGCGTCTTTCATACCCTGACACAATGAGCGCTCTGCGTTCCTCCACTTTCTCCTGCCAGGGACATACACAGAAAGCAGAACTGGCCATTGGATCAGACCAGAGAGAGACCCATCCAGTTCTGCATTCTCCTCCCACCTGGTCAACCGATACCTGTGGGAAGCCCATACGAGAGCAAGAGCATTCTCCCACTCCTTTTCCCAGTGACTGCAGACAGACAAATCTGACAGTTTCAATTTCTCTGTCTCTTTCTAATTTTTCCAGTCCTAAACTCAGTTCTCCACATTTATGTATTAGTCTGTGATTATAAATGTTTTTTTTAAGGAAATTCATCAGTATTTTAGTGTACATTTCTACAAATGCATTTTTATCTATTAGTTCCATGAATACATACATTTTTAATGCGCATTTCCCCCCTAACGTTTGTGCAGATTATTTAGTTGGAGAACTAAGTCACAAAATTAGGAGAATTATGAATTTCAAAGGTTAGCTGCATTGCAATTTCCATATACTTTCAAGAAGCGCAGATCGGGAAGGTGCACCAAACTGAGCTTCTTCCCCCGTTCCTAGCAGAGACTGGTATGCTTCCTCTGATACTGGAGCTAATATGGAGCCTGCGCTGAATATTATTCCTTAGCTAACTGTTTAAAAATAAGTCACCTGTCCCACCTAAAAGGGAAACAATCCATTAAATAACACATATATAATCCCATCCATATTCTTATTAAGGTCCACCAAACACCTAATAAAACTCCCCTGTCATGTCTATGGCCTTGTTGCAAGATCCTGGCTGATATTTAGGCTGGTAATAGTATTTCATGTCTTTGGTCTGTGCTATTTGGCTGGAAGATTATTGGTGTTTTGTAATTTCTGTGCATATTTATAGCTGGAGGAGAGAAAGTCTGTCCACTTTTTAATGAGGTTTTCTTGTTCAGAACATCCCTCAAAATGGTTCTAAATTCCCTATTTAGTTCCCATGGCAACATATCGCCTGCGTTTGCTTGACAAAGAGATGTTCCAGGCCAGCTTTCTCCAGCCCCCTAACCTCATAAAAACCATATTGTATCTTGTGGTACCCCTTCATGGATCACTGCCTTGCCGTGGCGAAGGGGCTTGAATAACTCAGAGAAGCTACGAACTATGCCGAGCAGGGCACCCAAGATGGACAGGTCATAGTGGAGAGTTTTGACCAAACGTGATCCACCTGGAGGAGGAACCGGCAAGCCACTCCAGTATTCCTGCCAAAAAAACTCCATGGCAGAGGATGAGATGGTTGGATAGTGTTCTCGAAGCTACCAGCATGAGTTTGACCAAACTGCGGGAGGCAGTGGAAGACAGAAGTGCCTGGCGTGCTCTGGTCCAGGGGGTCACGAAGAGTTGGACACGACTAAACGACTAAACAAATCTTGTGGCACAAAGGTCAGTGCACCTGGCTGTTAACCAGAAGGTTGATGATTTGAGCCTACCAAGGGGTGACTGGACAGGATTCCTGCATTGCAGAGCATTCATTCGACTAGAGAATCCTTGAGGTCCCATCCAACTCTACTACGATTCAATGTTCACTTACATTCCAAGGCCTGAATATTAAACTGCTGTTAACAACAAAACTACAGAGGTCTATTCAAAAGCTGGAATTTCTAAACTTGCCCATACAAGTCGCTTACACTTTTCCTGTCCTGCATGGCTAAGGCATTTCCTACCTCTAATCCATTTGGTTATAGCAATGCAGTGTGGTTTTGTTTTTCAACATAAACAGTATTTCTCAGAGCTGACTTCTCAAACACCTTCTTTCGCCATGCAGTTGCATAACCACATTCCTCAGTGACTGAGAAAGCATAGGGCGGATCTGAGTAGGGCCTTTGTAAAAGTTACCTGAGCTGCTTAGAAGCTGTCCTCACCTTACAACGCCACCGCCATCACCCTGTGCTGATTCCTTGTACAACTTGGGTTACATACTGTATACTTGATCCTATGACATGCATGAGGGTCAAGTGTCTCTGAGGAAGTGCAGAGTACCTTCTCATTCCCCCTGAAGTAACCACAACCAGCTCCTCCTCTCACACACAGGACCAAAGGTGAAGATTCTCAGGAAGACTCTCAGCTCATTGTATTCTATTTTAGAGAGAGAACTTTAGCAACAGATTGGCCAATTGTGGGTCTTTCCCACCCCAGGAACAGAAGAGCTTCCTGCTGATTCACATTCCGGGTTGTGAAAGACACGGGGGGCGGGGAGAGAGAACGGGCAAACCCATGCACAGAAAATGATGCTTGTGCCCTTTACATCCTTCAGAAGCAGGAAACAATCGTGGCACACACATCCATCACAGCTTTGTCACCTATAGTTAAAGCTGCAGCAAAACACAGAGAAAATTAAATAGTGGAGCTTTCCCCAGTACTTCTCTCCACATGCATGCCAGGGCCAGTAACAGAAAAACCAGCCCACAGACCTATTTAAAAAAGTTGTTGAGCAGGCAGTGGTCTAACCCAGCCACAGGATGACAGTAGAAGCCAAGGAGCTGCCACAAAGTCCTTCACATCTGGTGCTCGAGGAATGCAGAATGTTTCCTTGGTCCAGCCTGCCTAGCACCAACTGGCAGTGTCTCCCCAGAGTGAGCCTGTCCTATGTGATGCTCTCCATCCATATGTTGTTGGACGACAACTCTATTATCACCCACCATTGGTTATGCTGCCTGGGGCTGATGGGATTTGTAGTCCAACAACATTTGTATCACATTAGCTACCTCTGCTCTAGCGTTTCAGATGGGTGATTTCCCCAGCTGTGCTTGGAGATGCCAGGAGGCTTCTGTGTGTCAAATATTTGTTCTGCCACTGGGCTAAGTTTCCTTGAGGGAAAATCCCACGTTGTCCCTTATTTTCATGATACAGGTGTCTGTAGCAGCACCAGTCTACCCGTTTTCCTGCATCCCACCTTGAGCCACAAAGCAAAACATCCCTGAAGAGCACAGATCTCTGTAATTCCAGGCTACTGAAAAATGCACTATGGATGCCTGGTCCATGTTGTGTCCATCACAAGTACAAGGAACTGGAATGCAGGTGGCACAAATGTATCAGCTGCTTTTTGAAGGTGCCACAAACACAAGTTTCCTTCGCCATTCATGAATGTTGAGCCATGTGGCATATTGACCCCACCAGCTACCCACAACATTGCTCTGACCTGCAAAAATCTGGATGAATTGAGGGATTTGATCTTTGCAAATTTCTGTTTAACAACCAACCCCTTTATTATTTGGACATGATAAACTACATCCTCCCCCCCCAGGCTTGTGCACAGCTGCAAGGAAAAGATCAAAAGCCTGCACTTCTGATGAGCATTCTTTCTGATCCCTCAATCATGGCTAGTCTTAACTATAGTTTGTTGAAACAAGGCTGCTCTATAAGCCATGGTTTGAAATTGGCTTGTTTTAAGCAAACCATACTTAAAGATCAGCTGCAGCTGGGCCATGTGGGGAAGGGGAATACATCAGCCTGAGACGCATTCACATTACAATAAGCAAGGCTATATCGTGATGTGTGAATGCAACCATGGCACATGAAGTAGCACAGATGCTTCAGCTGGGCAGGTTGTATTTTAAAATACCTTTTTGAGGAGAATTATGCTTTACTGTCCTGGATCGCCAGATGCTCACTGTTTTAAATAGTCTTGCTATTTCAACACCCAGCAGACTAGCTGCTATGACTCCATGGCATCGCTTAATGAAGCTTTGATTAGGTACTTACCTTCCACTGAGCTGTTTTCTCTGCCTCTTGGGCTTCCAGTTTTGATGCTTCCCCCAGAACCTTCCTGAGAACATCCACAGCTTCCCTGAGCTTAATCTAGGGGAGGAAGCACAAACAACTGTGGTGGCTCTCAGGAGTTTCGCTCCAAGACACTACACTTGGAAGGTAGCAATGTCTCTGGGGGACAACAAGTGTTCTGATAGGGCAGGAGCAGCCTATGGGCAGGATGGGGCCTCCCTACCTGGACTACAGTATCCCCTAGGGAGGGGAGTCTTCAACTGCTGCTGCAGATAAAGCAAGAAGAATATACAAGAGGCAAAGCACTGAATGGGTGTGAAAGCCATTTTAACGAAGGGACTTAATAGAGTTGCCACCTTTCTTCTCCCCCCAGCCCTTCTCTGCTGAATTTAACAGCAACTGACAGCAATTAAGCAAGTGACTCTTTCCCTCTCTTGACTCTCCCTACCAGGAAAACCTCACTTGCTGAATCTGGGCACAACAGATTAGAACAAACCCTGGAACAGACTCCCCTGAAAGGTGGTGGACTCTCATCCCTTAGAGGTTTTTAACCAGGGCTTGGATGGGCATCTCTCATGTATGACCTAGTTGAGATCCTGCATTGCATTGGGTTGGACTAGATGAACCTTGGGGGTCCCTTCCAACTGTACAATTCTGTGATTCTATGAAAGGAAAAGGGAGCAGGGACAACTGGAAAAAGAGTGTGCTGGCAACTCTCATGCCCAAACTGACTCCCACCAGTCAAACCACAAGGTTTGTGGGAAGTTGCTGAAGGGCTGCATACCCAAAAATGCTGCAGTCAATTGCAGTATTCAATTCATAAAGGAACCCTTGTCTATGAGCTTGTTTAAAACAATGGTTTAAAACCACAGAAGCACTGGCTTGCTCATTCAGAGTATTATTTTAATGTCCTACAGAACTTGCCTTCCAGCTGGATGTTAAGCAAAAGAAGAAATTGGTTTGAGGTAGGAAGAAAAGCTATCAGATCTCCCTGGCTCCTGTGCTTAAATCCCAGGGGCTAACGGAGGTCTTGTGTCTCACTTGTTTTTAAAAGGGTATGGCAAGGCAGGGGCTTGGTTAAAATTGGAGAGAGTGGAGGTGGCTTTCCATAAGGGCCTCTGCTTCCAGGCACCCCATAAGTCAAGCACAGGCCATGCAAGATTTAAGAAAAAACCCAGTCTATATTTTGTAATAGCCATAAGGTGGAGAGGTGTTGTGCAGACTCAAATTAGGCAAGTCCTTGTCCATAACAAAAGAATCTCAGGTTGTAGCAAAACCTATTATAGCTATTATTACCAATTTGGGGGGGATCTTTGAGGTGGGGGTCAGAAAACTGAGTTTAGAGGGACACAACAAGCCCCCAAGTCTGTGTGCGTGCATTTGTGTGTGTCTACACCTACATTACAGGTATGTCAGGTGCTGAAGTTATTGTTTTTATGCCAAATAAAGACAGTCTCATTTTACTCAGGTTTTTTATGGTTTTGATGAACAACTGTTGTGACCTCTTCCTTTGCTCAGCTGTTTGTAGTTGTATTTCAAAAATACAATTTGGTTTTGGTGTTGTTGTTTTTACTTATGCATTGGATATATTTGTTCTCCCTCAGCCTCCGGCTGTGCACAAGCTATACCTTTAAAGCACATTCGGAGCACATCTTTCCTCTCAGAGAATTCAGGGCACTGTTGTTTCTAGCAACCCTTAACAAACTACAGTGCCCAGAACACCCTGAGGGAGGGGGATGTGCTCCAAATGTGCTTTAAAGGTATAAGCATGTGCACAGCCCAGCAAAGCTCAGCATAGACCCCTAATACTCCCCACAACATTCATGACTGGTGCAGCAGACACATGGACAAAACAGAAGGTCTGCTTGCCCCAACTCATTTCTAGCTAAGCTCACGGTTACAAATCAAGACACAGGCTCACCTTGTACTCATGAGCAGCCTCTTCAATGGGCAGGACCGTGTGCGCCCGATGCTCTCGGGATTTGTCACACACCAGGCAGATGGGCTCGCCGTCGTCTTGGCAGAAAAGCCGCAGCTTCTTGCCGTGCCTCTCGCACAAGACCTCGCCGGGGCCTCTGCTTGGCCGCAGAGCCAGCTGCTCGATGCCCTCCACGATGTTGGCCAGCTGCTTGTTGGGCCGTGAGCTGCTCAGCAAGAAACCAGCCCGGCACTGCGGGCAGAGAGCCACCTGGGCCACAGACCCCGCTCCCCGCTCACAGTAGTTGGAGATGCAAGCCTGGCAGAAGTTGTGGCCACACTCGATGGTCACTGGGTCCCTGAGGTACTCCAAGCAGATGGAGCACGAGACCTCCTCCTGAAGCCTCTCCACGGGGTCTCCCACCGAGAAGGCCATGCCTGCCCCAGAAGCTTCCCTCAGTTCTTCCGACGCTCTCCTGAAGCGAGGTCCAGAACTTTTGGCCGTGGTGGGTGTGGCCACCATAGGGAGGGAGATCTGGTTGACAATTTCCTCCTTGGAACCCCTCCATGGGTTTTTCTGCGGCTGGCAGTTTTCATTCCAGACTGCTCAAAAAAACACAACAGCCTCCGAAGCGGAGAAAAAACTGGGAACCAAGCCAAGAGATGACGCCACCACCGTGGAGGATCTCACAAACAAGGCCAAGGATCATGTGACCTTTGCTTGTCCTGCACTGTAATGGGCTGCAGGCATCTTTGAAAGAGATCCCACACAGTATTTCCACTGGGATATCTCCCTCTGCCTCTAGATTATTTGGAAGCAGTGCCAGCCGGTCTCCTCTGTTCAGGGAGGAGCCTTTTTATGCTTTCCCATCACATCTTTGCAATAGCCCACACTGTAGATAGTTCTTGAGAAACACACCCACATTCTTTCTGCTGGTTTAGATTGCATTCACCTCCCCCCCCAAAATGCATAGAAACCCCCCGCTGCCGCCCGCTGCCACCCTCAAGCAGGGATTAGTTGTAGGTGGTGCCTGTCTGTCACTTATTCTGCTAGCAAACTCAGGTAAGGAGGGTTGACAAGAGGGGGCCAGTGTGAAACAACATGTCTGGGAGAGTGCCAATAGAAAATATTTTAAGACATCAACCTGAGGAAGACTGAGCATGCTCAGTGACTGCTGGAAAAGACACATGGAACATGACTTGGAAGGAATGGCATGCTGGAACCCTGAAGAGGAGCCCTCCTTTTGTGAGGAAGGAGTCATTGAAACATCAAGTTGCAGATGCCACGTGTCTGTGGCTGAGTACACAGCACATTCAAAGTACATTCCCCACCCCAAAGAATCCTGGAAATTGTAGTTTAACCCTCACAAAGCAACAGGTCCCAGCACCTTCAAAGAAACTACAGTTCCCAGGATGCTTTAGAGGGTGCTTTGAGGGTATGGTGTGGATGCAGCCTCAGGGAATTAGGAAGCTGCAGACACAAAGAGGTGAAACAAAAGTGGCTCTGCAGGCTTGCTGAAAAGATTGAAGAGGGTTGGGAGAGAAGCTCTGGCTCCTCCTCAGACCATCCCTAATGAAGTTTGCATGCTTCCCTCTCGACACATGATAACACGAGAGCAGGCCTTTTCTGCAGTGTCGTCCTGTCTATGGAGTGCTTTCCCCAGGGAAGTTCGTGTGGCACCTGCATTACATACTGTGTTGTTATTTAAGGGGCCATGGTTCTAAGGCTGGATAGAGACCCCATCACAATTGTGCTCCGTCTCTGAGAGCTCGTTCCAATGATGCTTTGGCCTACTACTGTCTTAGCACACATGAATGGACCAAAATTCAAGGAAACTGATTCACCACACACCGGCATTTTCTTACTTGCACCCTGGGAACATATTGATTTTCATAAATCTTTCTTTGCAGTGTTGCAAAGGATCTTGGGATATCAGCCTATGGGCCGTGCATGCAGAGTCTGATGCCAGGAGCAGCATTCAAACCTCACAAAGGGACACATTCTTTTCTGGACAGCCTTCTGAAGGCCACCTGTCAGTCGTGGGTCAGGCTAGGGTCAAAAGTAAGCAGAGGAACAATGGTAAATGTTGCTTTTGTACAGTAGACTGGTTTTTACACACACGTACACACCCTTTTACGTTCTCTATCCAGACAAGGGGTTTGAAGCAGGTCCTGTGATGGGTGTGGCCTATGGAGAATTCAGAGGGCCACATTGAGGGGCCCTGAGGACTGAGTTCAGTCCCTGTGCCAGAGGGATGTGATGGACTTGTGTGGACAGCAAAATACATAATAGCAACAAACAAACTAACAAAACCTCCCATTTGACACATTTAGAAGGCCACAGATGGTTTAGTCAGCCAAATGCCTGAATGAAAATAAACATTTTTGCCTGGCACCAAAAATATTGTTGCATTCCCCCCCCCCCCACTCTCAACTCTGCCTTATGTCCTTCTCACTACCTGTGAGTTTGAGTCTTTTGAGTCTTTTGACACCTCAGCTACAGTGCTATAGTCAGTAGAAAGAACAAGGATAAAAGGTGGGAAAGCTATTCACAAAGTCACAGTCCACCAGAAATACACAAGCAAATCTTACTGTATGCCTTTTTAATAGAAAAAAACCACATTTCCATTGAACACTGATAAGTGATATATGGGAGCTTTTGCTCCTTTCTCCTTAAGGCAGCAACATGTGGTCCATAAAGCAGTCTTTCTTCGGATCAGGAACCTTGCAGCCTACAAAAGCATCATCAGTAGCAGCTGACATGTCCTTTCTCCGGCCTGGACATTGCTGGCACCTACATCCTGATTGCAGAACAGAGAGCAGGGGAACCACCAAGAGAATGAAGAACTCTCCCATCTGCTTGGTATCTCCCCATCTTGAAAGTAGGGCTAACTCAGTAGTCCTTTGCCCAGGTCGGACAATATGCACATCCCGGGTCCTGGCCTCGGCTTCTGGCAGCCTCAGGATTCGAGGTCTCGTGAGAGCCGCAAAAGTTCCTTCTGGCTGTCGATCACTCTCAGGTGCTGGGTGTAGGCCCAGGTAGCAGCTGGGCTTCGTGTGCTAAGAGACTGCTCTGAACCTGAAAGAAAAAGATCCCGATATCAAGGAAGGATTTTGAAAGAATTCATAGATCATTTTAGGGACATAAATTTTAACAAGGTAAAATTCAGGATCTTGCGAGTGACAGAGATTTCTAATTGCCGGGGGGGGGGGGAGGGTTCAGTGATCTGTATGGCTTCTTAATGCTCCTCATGGTTAGAAATTAAAATCTTCAAAACTAAAAATAAGTTTTATTTGGATCATTTCCTTACCTGGAATCTTACCTAACCCAGTCCTTAGTTTGGAGAGATCCTTTTGTAGTTGGATTGGGTCCTTGAGACATGGGGACTGAGGGTTTTGACAGTTTATTCTGCAAAGTACATGTTTGATGAGGGGATATTGAATGTAGCTCTGCACACATCACACGGGAAATGAACTATTCAGGATGGTATCCTGAATTGTTTAGGCACCTGCCATATTATCCAGGGTGGTGAACAGCTAATCAAACTGCACAATCAGGAGTGTGAAAAAGCCAATCAAATTGTAGACTCCAAAGGGAGACTGAGATGGGCTGGGAAATTGCAGATGTGTAAGGAAGTGTAAATGTAAGGCACATTGGGTCAGAAATACTACATCATATAGCATTCATATAGGAAATGGCTTGTGGCTGCCCCACAATTGCAATATTGGGGTTGTGGCTAGGCAGCTTAATGAATACATCAGCTCAGCAAGCAAGGGTAGTGAAAAAGCAAATTCCACCTAAGAGATTATTATGAAAGGGACTAAATATAAAAATGGATGGTGTCACAATGTCTTCATTAATAACTATCCCTTTAAAGCAAAATATTGCGATCTCAGTTTAATGGAAAGAAAAGAGGACAAAAATTGGAAAAACTAGTAATCTCTCTCTCTCTCTCTCTCTCTCTCTCTCTCACACACACACACACACACACACACACTTCAGGCAAGCAATAAAATGGGCAAAACCTGCAAAAAAAGGAAGTTTTCTATTTAGAGCTAGGAGATTCCTTATGCCAAGTCCATCTAGCACACTACTGTCCACACTGACTGGCAGCCGACTCAGACAGGAGTCTTTTCCAAGCTCTACCGAGATGGAACCTGGGACCTTTTGCATGAGCTCTTGCAATTTATAAAAGGGAGCCCCTAGAAGTTCTGACAGTGCTGTGACTGTTACTGAACCTGGGTTTTGTAGCCCTCTTGCCTCCCCCAAACCTCACCGCCACTAATGTTTTTTTTTTGGGGGGGGGGGGAGCCTCAAGACAATACCGAAACACTGGAATGTAATTATTTCAATGGTGTTGTGTGCCTTCCCCATAAAAAGTGTGTGAACAAAGAAGGGCAGAATCAGAGAAAAGGGAAGCACTCTGTGTACAAAACCCCTCCCTTGCTTACAGGTAGAGGCACGCAGTGCCCGGGCTTCTTCCAGGAGGTGCTGAGGACGACTCCGCAAAGGGGAGAGTGGAACTGGAGTGGGGAAGAAGAGGAGAAGGGTTAAAAAAAAGTCTGCTTAAAATCCGTTTTGCTTATTATCATTTAATTTTTTGTCATCCTTTCAGTCTGTTTGATCTATGACTCACCTGCCTGACTTTGGCTAGTGGCCTTATTTCAATACTAGAGCCCTCACAACATTTCAATTCAATTTCATGGCCTCTCCCCTTCCCTTCCCTCCCCACCCCACCCCTACTTTTTCTGTCTTCTGACCTGTATCAACCCTGAAATAAACCCCCAATAAGCCCCAAGACCTTAGAATTATATAATCATAGAATTGTAGAGTTGGAAGGAACTCCAAGAGACACCTAATTCAACCTGTCCGGGTGAGCTGGAAAGTTTAATCAATTCTGAAAAGAATTAAACTTAGTGCAAAAGAAGCAGTAGGGCACAATGGTTTGCCTCTGAAAGAGGAGGACATTCTAGCTGCTCCAACACTTGTATCTGTTTAAATGCATTGACCTGAGGGTCCACCCTGAGGGATGGAGGAGGAATTTGCTTGGTCCACTATATGCAGAAGACCAGCCCAATTTGACGGTCCAAAACTTTTGGGTTGGAATGCAGTGTTTCAAGATTTTGCAATGCAGCATCAGTACACAAAAATATCTATCTTGTGAGTCCTGGAAGACCTGTCTGCAGCCTTGCTGGCCTTTTCCCACCTGGCCTGGGAGGGCAAGGCGCTGACTGACTCCAGCTACAAAAGCTGAGGCTCCTGAAACCATATTGGCTGTGGGTCCTGGAAGTTCTTCTCCCTCCATTGCTGGCCTTTCCCCACCTGGCTTGGGAGGGAGGGGCCCTGACAAACTGATTGACTGCTGTGGTCTTGTTTAGGTTGTTTCATTGGGGTTTTTCATTGCTATTGATTTTTGTATCTTTAGTTTTAGATCTTATTAGGATTTATGTGGAAATTGTTTCAATACTTTTTGATGTGTTTCCTTTATTGTTTGGGACTTTTGCTATGTTTGCAATGCTGTAAATCTTGTCATGCTGCCTGCTGCCTTGAGCATGGTTTTAACAATGGAAAGGTGGCATACAAATAAAATGATGATGATGATTAAATGAAGATAAAAATGTGCATTTTATGGAAAAGCCCACTGAAGAGTATCAAAAACTATGTATTTGGAGAGAAATGCATACAGTGCCGTGCATGATAATGTGTATAACAATACTGCATACGATATAAATGCAAACCCTTCTTAAAAAAATTCCACATAAAACAAGACAGGGCAGACCTATAATTGTGTGCCAGTAAAAATGGCAGGGGATGAGGTTAGGCTGATCTGTCCATCCAGCTCCCATTCTGGAATGTTAGGTGCACTTTGCTTCCGCTTATCCCTACTGACACCCGTCTTGTGCCCCTGCTCCCCTGCCCCACTCACGGTTGGGGTGACTCCGACAACGATGCACGAGACGAACTGCCTTGGCCATCATGCGCTGCAAGGAACAGACAGGTTTAATGTTAGGCTCAATCGTTTCATCCTCATCTCACCCCTAAGTGAGTTATTTGCAGACAAAGAGGACAAGAGAGCATGTTCAAAGTGTCCTTATGCACAACTGAAATTTCTCAACACCTAAAAGGGAACTGTAGCTTCTTCTCTCCAGCAGGGGAATGATAACTTTCTCTAACTGATACTGGCTCCTCCTGCCATTACCATGCCACAGTAAGACTACCCCAGTTTCCCCAGCCATGTCTCTCCACTCACCAGCTTCTCAAAGTTGACAAGATTCTCCACCAATGTGCAGTTACCCTCATGGATGAATGTCAGGTCTGCGAAGGGAGACAAAGATCTGAGTCTGTTCATCACACAGTAGCTCAGGCACCAGGCTGCCCACAAGATTGAAGGGGCCTGGCACACACACGTGACGTCAAACATGTGCCCCCAACATCACGCAGGCTGGCGCAGTCTTCCACTAGCTGCAGGTAGGTCTGATGGGGCCTGATGGGCCACGGAATATTGAAATGGGGGGCCTTCCCTCCCCCTCCGATGGTGCCCCTGCACAGTATGTACAGACAATGAAGTTCAGCAGATGAGCTGATGGGCTTATATATTTAGTATATTCTGCCTTTCTTACATGATGCAACTCAAGGTGACATACATGGGACTATCATGCAGTCTCCCATCCAGGGACTTGCCAGATCTTCCCAACTTCAGCAGGCTGGCTGCATCATGTGCCCTCAAGCCGTGCTCTGAATCTAGTCTTGTGCCCCACCTTTGCAAAGTAATACAACGAGCAAGAGCAGAACTCCTCCCAAGGCAGCAAAGGTTATCAGAGGACACCTCCACATTACCCAACACATTCATTCAGGAGAGGAGCCATAGCTCAGGGGTCAAGTACTGTTACTGAGACAGGCTTGAAAACACAAAGCTTGCTTCTGACCATGTGTGAGAATCCCCTGAGCCAGAAGGGATGGCAAGCCTGAGTTCCCATGGCCAAACCCCAGTCTTAGATGCTTTTTCTTAATTATTTCAAATTTCATATGTTTTGTGAGTTTAGATCCCTAAGGTCTCAAGATACAAAGAGCATTTATGCATGCAAACCAACAGCCAAGGTAAATTTAGTAAAGAGCATGCAGCTTATTATACCTTTAAGCAGGAGGGGCATAAAGGGAATCAAGGGGGGAGTCAGTTTCGCCATGGCCAGCCTGTAGACCCGGTGATTCCAAGAAGGGTCCTGGAAAGAAGGAAGAAAGATTAGCGTTGGGACTGTTTGCAACTGCGTGTGCATCAGGCACACGGCGCCTCACCCCAAAGCTACGCTTTAATGGTGTTCCTTTGCTTGTCCAGGACAGTAGAGTCTAGTTCTCACCAACAGCAAATTAAGTTAGTAAGTCTGTTTCTGGACTATACCATTTCAGGTGAAGGCTTAGAAGATAGCATGCTTCCCCACCCCTGCCCCCCCCCCCCAAAAGAGAGACCTATGCACACAGAACTCTTCCCCCAGATTTGTGGCACTGGAGCATATAGTTATGTGAGTCCCCAGCTGCATCCACACTAAGGGCTGGTTTCACCTAACCCAGTGTGTTGGCTGATGCCTGTGCAAGGACTCCCACTAGCTTAACGGGCCTTTCCACCACCTCCCCCCATGCCCTCTGTGCCACCCACCACCAGTAGGTCAGGAGAACCCCCAGAACAGCACACAGGGAACAGAGAGGGGAAATTGTTCCATTTCGTAAGCAGAAAAAAGACCTTAGAATAAACAAGAATTGACTTTTCATCCCTTCTCAAAAGAGCCTGACTCTTTAGCTAAAGGTAGAAGGACAACTGGGCACCAGCTTGAAGGGCTGGTTGGTATCCTTCTTGGGATTCTTTTGGGAAGCCTGTCTCCTGCTGGATGAGCCAACAGCCACAGAGGACTGTTCAAAAAGCCCCAAGGGAGAAATCTGGGCTCACATCCACATCTCAGCCATAGACTTTATAAGGCAACTGTGCAGAGCACTCTTTCAGCCTCAGTTCCCCATCTGTGAAATGGGAAGAGCAGCGATTTAGCTCGCAGACTGAACACAGTAAAGAATAGCAAAGCACTTTGCACATGGGGAATGGTGCAGAGATGAGAGAGACACAGTGACAAGGCTCCAGCACCGTCCAAAGATAAACAGGACCACCACTCACCAGCATGCGCTCCATGGTGCCGAACAGCTTTCGCGTCTTGTGTGGGAGCTTCTGTGGAGAGGAGAGAGACAGAGGCAGGAGGGTGTTCAGAAATGGCCAACAAAGTCAGGGCAAGTTCTCGCATGCACCGTTTGTACTTTGATTAGAAGGGATTTGCATGGGGGGGGGACAGAATTGACACATCTAATGCCACAGATAAAACTTTAGTATTTTCCTGCAATATCTCAAACAGAATACATACAGTTAATCTATGCAAGTGATGTGCTATCAGGCTAGGAGATACAGGCAATATCCAGGCATGTGTGATGTGACCATGATGAGGCCGGGCTCCTTCTCACATAATCACATTCCCCCTTTCAACAGCTGTTTTGCAGCCCTGCCTTCGCTTCAGCCTTCACCTGCATCCCCCAAAAGGAATGCTAGATCCATGGTGGCACCTTACAAAATGGTGGCAAGGACTGGCAATTGAAAAGGCAGCAAATCACTTCTCATTGTTGCTGCTGTTATGACCTTTCTCAACCTGGTGCTTTCCAAATGTTTTGGATAACAACTCCCACCAGCTTCATCAGCCTTGTGGCCAATGGTCGGGGGCGATGGGAATTGTGGTCCAAAGCATCTGAAGTGTACCAGGTTGGAGAAGGCTGGTATATAAGCAGTTTCAAAGCATGCATGGTTAGTTCAGTTTGTTTCCCTTCCCTCCGTGGCAGAAATGTACCTCCCAGGTCCTAGAGAGGCGGCTGATGGTGGAATGGCTCAGGCCAAACATCACTGCAAAGAAAGAGTTCAAGTTCTTTTGATCCTTCAGGCTGAAAACAAAGACACAAGAGGCACTCAGCTCAAAGCGGAAGTGAGTGTGAGCCCCCAGACGCTTCTCATGTGAAAGCCAGGCTTTCCTGCTCCCACAGTGCTCAAAGCCATGGTCTCGCCTAGAAAAAGGAGGTGACCTACATACATGAGTGGCCAGAAGCTAGTTCAAGCCTACAGGTAGATCTTTGGATCAGTAGATCAGCAAGGATTTCCGCTTTCCAATAGTTTAACAATAGTGATAACATTAAGACCTCTCTCTCTCATACTCTTTCAATATATTTGACTGTGTCGGGATCTGGCGCTGGTTTTGCTATTTTTCATTCTTGTGACTTTACCCCAGCCTGGTGTCATATTGTGGTAAAGGGTGGCTCAGAAATCTTTTTCAAAAATCAATGAAATAAGGCTGCTGAAACCCAGAGATCTTGGGAGAAAATCAGGAATGGCACTTTCCAAAGGCGACAACTCTATGGGGCCATGGTACCTTCGCCCCTCCCCCGCAATAAAATATTTAGGGGGCGGCCCCCCAATGTTTTATGCCAGTTGCTGCCTTCCTCCCTCCTTTCCTCCCTCTCTCCAAACTGAGCACTGCCCTCTTTCCCATCTTGACTCCTGGCTTTTGGTGCCATTTCCAGGTGTGTCTATGCCAGGGCAGCTGGGGAGAGGCAGGACCGTAAGAGAGGTGAGTGGGTGATGGGTGGGAGACAGGTGAGCAAGCAGAAACTTCTTGCATGCAGGTGGGGAGTGAGAGGCAAGTGGGGGGAGGCCTGTGCCCAGCTGTGCATGGCTGAGGAAGGTGCACTCTGCAGAAGTACTGGGAGGTGCCCATATAAGTGCCCATGTTTTGTTCAAGTTGGCACCCATGGCATTTTCAGAGAACAGAGTGTAAAAGTTACCGAGAACAAATTTCTGGGCCAAGCATGTCTGTCTCACAAATAACTTATTCCCCTGAGCCACTATTTTGCTCTCAGCTCCGGACCTTGGGGTTCTAGTGAAAACAAAACACAGCCTCAAATTTGCAAGCCTGATGCCTGCTCATTCCTGGCCAACTGCTTTCCTTTGGCTGAAACTCTTACTGTGCAGCCAGCTTGATGAATTTTCGGAGCAGCTGGGCTCTCTTGATAACATCAGGACAGAGGCAGAGCTCGGTGGTGACCCAGAACTGCAGCTCATTGAAACGGCACAGAAAGCGCTCCAGGTTCGCCGTGGTTGCACTGGGAAACTTTTGCGGTCCAAATATGTAGTAGATCAGCTCCACCTTAAAAAACACAACAGCCAGGAGAGTCTCCGCTGAAATCCAACCTTAAAAATATAATGCTTTGGCTCAGCTCCACTTGAAGACATGCAACCACTCTCCTCCACCTTAGACATGCAGGGCAGCTGTCAAAATCTCTGCACAATGCCATGGACATGAGGGTGAGGAATGGCAGGTTGCAGTGTGTGTGCACAGCAAGATCTCCTCAGTCCCAGGGTCTGGTGCCTCACTACAACAGATTTCATCTGGGAACAGATCTCCTTACTTGATGGATGCTTTTGAAGAGGTTCCAGTCATGCTCAGTGAACTGGTTGGCCAGGTCCTTGGAGCTGATGAAATCCAGGTTTTCTGAAGAACCCGCCGTGGGGCCTTGCTGCTCAGGGTGAGGGGCCTGTGCAAATGGGAGGAGAAATAAGTGCAAGCCACTCTGCAGGGGCACCTGTGCGCATGCAGGCCTGTGTGCATGCAATTTGGCCTATAAGGCATTCCCCCAAAACTGTGCCCAACTGTCGATAGGCTGGTATGTTTATTTATTTATTGAATTTGTATACCACCCTTCATCCAAAGATCCCAGGGTGATTCACACAAGCAAAAATACAAAATGAAAACACAAAATACATAAAACAAAAACAAGCGAATACCCCTGCTCCCACAGACACATTTAAAAGGCCATAGAATGTTAATCAGCCCAAGGCCTGGTTGAAGAGAAACCTCTTCTCCTGGCACCTAAAGATGTGTAATGAAGGCGCCAGGCGAGCTTCCCATTCCACAAATGGGGAGCCACAACAAAAAAGGCCTGCTCTCAAATATACACAACTTCTGGACCTGTCGTGGAGAAGGCATACACAAAAAGGCCTCCAATGACGATCACAAGGTCCAGGTTGGTTAACATGGCGAGAGGGGGTCCAAGAGGTATTATGGTCCTGACCTAGGGGTTAACATGACTGCTAAGAATTTGAATCTGTTTAAGGATAACTATGAAAAATGTTGGACGGAAGTGAAAAAGGATCTAGAAATATGGTCAAATCTGAAGTTATCATTGCTAGGCCGAATTGCTGTGATAAAGATGAATGTATTGCCAAGGATGTTGTTTTTGTTTCAAACATTGCAAATATTGGATAAAATGGAGTGTTTCAAGAAGTGGCAGAGAGATATCTCTAGATTTGTCTGGCAGGGCAAGAAACCTCGAATAAAATTTAAGATATTAACTGACGCTAAGGAAAGAGGTGGATTTGCCCTGCCAGACTTAAAACTTTATTATGAATCAGCCGCTTTTTGCTGGCTGAGAGAATGGATGCTTCTTGAGAACACTGATGTGTTGGACTTAGAAGGTTTTAATAATGTTTTTGGGTGGCATGCATATCTGTGGTATGATAAGGTCAAAGCACATAAAGCGTTTAAAAACCATATTGTCAGAAAAGCACTGTTTAATGTTTGGATAAGATATAAGGATTTGCTTGAGAATAAAACCCGAAGGTGGTTGTGACCAATGGAAGCCAAGGCTCAGAAAAAGCTCAATATGGAGGCTAAATGGCCGAAATATTGGGAAATTTTGGAACAAGAGGGAGACAGATTAAAACTGCAGAGTTTTGAAAAATTGAAAAATAGAGTGCGAGACTGGCTTCATTATTATCAGATAATGGAGGCATATAATTTGGATAAAAAAATCGGCTTCCAGGTGGAAAAATCAACATTGGAAACAGAACTGTTAGACTCCAAAACTAAGAATTTGTCAAGAATGTATAACTTGCTGTTGAAATGGAATACTCAGGATGAAACGGTGAAATCAGCTATGATTAAATGGGCACAAGATGTAGGATATAACATTATGATGGCTGACTGGGAACAGTTATGGACCACAGGTATGAAGTTCACGGCATGTAATGCCTTAAAAGAGAATTTAATGAAAATGATATACAGGTGGTACATGACACCAGTCAAGCTTGCGAAAATTTATCACTTGCCCGATAATAAATGCTGGAAATGTAAAGAGATGGAAGGTACATTCTTTCACCTTTGGTGGACATGCCCAAGGATTAAGGCTTTCTGGGAGATGATCTATAACGAAATGAAAAAGGTATTTAAATATACCTTTCTGAAGAAACCAGAGGCCTTTCTCCTGGGCATGGTCGGCCAATTGGTGCCAAAGAAGGACAGAACTTTCTTTATGTATGCCACAACAGCAGCAAGAATACTTATTGCAAAGTATTGGAAGACACAAGATCTACCCACTCTGGAAGAATGGCAGATGAAGGTGATAGACTATATGGAACTGGCGGAAATGACTGGCAGACCAGGGAGAAGAGTTGGTGGAGGAAGATTGGAAGAAATTTAAAGACTATTTACAGAAACATTGTAAAATTAATGAATGTTAGAATGATGTTGGAATGAATCTATGTGATTTTAGCAAAAATGTATCAAAGATTTAAGAAAAACAGACTGTTAATTGGTGAAAAGAGGGAAAGTAAACTTATATTAAGATCAAGATAAATTTTCAGGATAAAAATTTTGAAGAGAGGGAAAGGATTTGCTGAAATGGATAATTGACTTAGAATACAAAAAAGGGAGGTGAGAGGAGGTCAGGGAAACAAGCAAATGAAAGATAAGTTATGGGAAGGCTTGATTTGTTGTTGTTTTTTCTTTTGTCTTTTTTCTTTGGTTTTAATTGTTTCTATTTTTCTGTTTTTTATTGTGATGTGTTGTTTTGTTATTGTTTAATTTGGTGTTTTTTCTTTTGTTTTTTTGTAAACGTAAAACCTTAATAAATACTATTAAAAAAAACAAAACAAGAGGTATTATGGTCCTGAGTCGTTTGAAGTTTAGCTGATGCCACTCTGGTGGGTGAGTGCACCAAGTCTGCAGCAGTGGCACCCACCTCCTTCCCACAGGAAACCGATGTGCTGAGCCCAAGCAGAAGGATTTAACCTCCTTACTGCTCAGTTTGTCTATGAGTACCAGTTCCCCTGCTGCGAACAGGGGTGCGCAGCCAAAAAAGCAGGATTTAACCCACCATTCACCAGCTGATGAGCAGCAGAGAACTCAAGCGTGCTTCCTTTTGTCAGATGGTTACATCCATGGGGATTGTGCAGAAGATAATTTTACCACTTGTGTCCAGGGGGTTGAGCCAGAGAATCAAAGTGAGAGCTTTGCGAGAATCTGCAGGGAAAACACACTCACCAAGCTGTGAAGCTCCTGGACAGTGGCAGCAAAGAGTCTCTCATTCAGCCCCAGGGATGTAAACACACCAAAGGCCTCCAAGGGCAAGACCTCTTTATCTGCCAGAAAGAAGGAACAAGAGACATGGCAGTGCCCCAAATTGCCACAAGGGAGCAGTATTGCTCAAGGAACCCTTATTTCCAAGCCTAACTGACAAATCTAGGTGTGAGCAGAAGAAAAAATAAACAAACATACATACATACCAGTACATACATACATACGTACATACATACATACATACATACCCTGCCCATCTGGCTGGGTTTCCCCAGCCACTGTGGGCGGCTTCCAACAGAATATTAAAAACACGATAAAACATCAAACATTAAAAACTTCCCTAAACAGTTTATTGGTCCTGAGCCATTACGGGTAAACCTCAGAGTGATTTGTAACATATCAGCCATGAGTTCCAACTCCCAATTCAACAATGCAAGAACAAAACACCTAAACTGATGCAGAAAGCTAACCGGGGTGGACTTTGCATGGCAGGACTATTAGCTCAGCTTATTTCTGGCACTGCAAAGAAATTCCAAGGCTCAGAATGTAGTCAGAAGCACCCTGTTCTTTAATTCCAACTACATGTCTTTTGCACCTGGCTCTGGCTGGTTGATCTTGGGGTTCTAGTAAAAAAGCAATCAATAACCCTGAAATCAGTCCACGAGGGGAGGCCAGTCACTAAGGCAAGACAGGGCAGTTTTCTGCATCCCCAAATCCAAAGCTAGACCACAGCAGTCCTGTGCCCCCGTAGAGTCACATTCATAAAAATCCTATCATTCAGTACTTCCCTGGAGTCTTTTCTCTCTGAGTATAAGCAGAACTTAAAAGAGGTACAGAAATTAATCATGTCTGGAGGGATACACACACACACACACACAAAACCCCCTATGGTGTGGGCTGGCAAGGTGTGTCATTTTAGGAGGTGAAGCTTAATTTTTGCAAATTTCTTCAGTGAGGGATCTTAAAAACATGTTTTTGGGTGTGACGGATTCAAATATGCTATTATTTTTGTGATTGGTAAGTCTATGTTTGATGAAAAAGCACATAGGCTGTTTTCAGAAAAGCAAAGAATTTTAAATTTCACCTTCTGAAAATATCAGGTAATGCTAAGTAATAACAATAATAAATAAATAATATTAATATATAATATAACTACAAGTAGTTGGCAATCATTTTTAATGATTTCTAGGCAATTTCACACACATTTTACTTAGCAGGTCAAACTAAATTATGTTAATTTAACCAAAATATCTTGAACGCCCAAGTCACGTTACAAGTTCTTAGCCCTCTTCATTTTGGGAATTTGAAAGCTGATAAATTCAGCATGACCTCCCAGTGGGCTGGCTGCTTCTTTGCCTGCTCATTTAAACAGGGCTTTTCCCCCCATCTCTGGCACTTCTGGAAAAGGTGAGAAGGTGGTGAAGTGGAGACAGCCAGTCAACCCAGACCAGCAACAGGTAAGCACAGGGGCAGCAGCTCGGAATGGGGGCAGCAGCCCTCCACAATCTGCAGCCTGAATCAGCTGCCTCACCCTGCCTAATGACAGAGCTGGCCCCTTCTATGCACACAGTTCTGCTGTAAGCCTGAATAACCACTTTCTTCACAGTTCAACATGGGACACAAAAGCACCTCTGGATTAAACACAGCAAGAATTCTTTCCCAGGGCTGCAAAACAGTTTACATCTGTTTCATCCTTGAGAAAGGGCTGCTGAAATCATGCACATTGTGGGGGCTGCAAGTGGATCCATATCACCTGCATCACCATGCAATACTGGGCTGCCACCAGAGACCATGTATGTTCTCAGAGGGAATCATGAGAGGCTCACTCACCTCCCACGGAATTGATCTTGACCAGGACCCAGTCTTTGCTCCAACCAGGACAGTCTGCCAGGGATGTGAGCACTTCCTGGACTGAAGCATTCACCCGAAGCACCGTCGTGAGGCAGGAGTAGTCTGGCCTGTATATGTCATACGGGACTATATAGGAGAAGTGAGGAAAGAGACGAAAAAGGAGGGGATCTTAGCACAGCAGCTTTAATGCAGGAGCTAAAGCTTTGTACACTTTGCTCACAGAAGCTTTCAAGTTCAATCATCAGTAATGCCAATTATAGCAGGACTGCATCACCTATGTGGACATATGTGATGAAGGGCAGAATATAAACTTAACAAATAAAAATAAAATAAATCCAGCCAATTGGAACTCTCCAGCCATGTTACTGTAGCCACCTTGGGGGCTGGATATACGTACCTCCCATGTTGGCTGGGGCATCCTGGCATTCTGAGAATTGTCCAGACGAAAGGGCAAAGCAAAGGGCAGGCTGGCTTGGCGAGCGACCGAGTGAGCGAGGAAGCAACGCTAAATTACCTTTGTCCTGGGCTCGGATAGTATAGCTGCTGTTCAGAAAGGGTTCCTCCTGGCTGGCAAACCAGTCCACTGCACTTCGCACCTGGGGGTGACGGAAAGACAGAAGGATGCATGAAGGTGCAATGGGATTCTCTTCCACCCAGAGGCATCTTCAGGCCCAGGCCTGTAAATAAGGCTAAAACCTACCAGCAATAACCTGGAGAGTAGGAAATCTTTTTCCGTCAGAGAGTCGCTTGCCCTGAATGAGCAATGCTTGAAGGGAGGGGCACATTCCCCTGGTGAAGGGGGCAGAATCAAAAGTGGGCAGCACATGGGATGTGGCGCTTGCCTTTGTACAGGAGGCTCCATTCCAGCCACAGAACAGCCAGAGGTCTCTGCCCTCTCCGTCTTGGCAAGATGCCTTGGTGAAGAAATTTGGGGTTATCTGTGCTTGCCTCAAACACAAACTCAGAGATGTGACGAACTGTCACTCCTTGGGTGTGGCACATGCTTACCAACTACGGAGCTAGCCCAAACCTTGAGGGTGAAGCAAACAGGCCCTATTTCATGGCTACATAGAGACCAGAATCCATCTGACATGCAAGGCTGTGAATTTTTGGATCTTGCTTTTTATTCTGCAGGGGAAATGAGATGGCTCCATCCTAGATTTTATTTTCACATTTCTAGACCGCATTATTTTGAGAAATACATAACCAAGCAAGTTGCCTAAAATGGAAAAGAGGAGAGTTTTGGATAATTCCTCTGCTCCTGCCCCTGGTGCCATGGAATGGAATAACATGATTCTTGTCTGTCCACTGTCTTTTCTTGAGTGTCGCCTAACTTGAGTTATGCTTTATTTCTGACAAAAATATTTCAAATTAGTGGAGGGAAGGGAGCCGCCTTTTCAAATGAAAATAATTAAGCATGTTTGTCTGCTGTGCGTTGTTTGCAACTGCAGCTCCCTTTAGCGAAGAACTGTTGATTCTCTGGCAAAGGACTTGTACTTTACCTGAAGCTTCGGAGATGCACAGTTGTTGCCATTTTCTAACCTGTCCAAAGAGGAAAAAGGGACCCCGTCACCATTACTGTTTATTCTAGGTTTGGAAACCCTGGCGAGATGTATAAGATCAGATGAAGGAATAAAAGGTATAATGACAGCTGGGTGCAAAGCATATAAACTGAAAGCATTTGCGGATGACCTTGTGATAACAGTAGAAGACCCAATGGTAAGTACACCAAGGGTCTTAAATAGAATTTCTGAGTTTCGCCAAGTTGCAGGTTTTAAGTTAAATAAAAACAAAATGAAAATGTTGGTAAAAAATGTGACAGAACAATACAAAAAAGATTTACAACAAAAAACAGAACTGTTAATTTTAAAAATGTAAAATATTTAGGTGTATGGTTGATGACAAATACAGTGGTACCTCGGGATGCGAACGGGATCCGTTCTGGAGCCCCATTCGCATCCTGAACAGAACGCAAGATGCGACGGCACATCTGCGCATGCACGGGTCGCGTTTCGCCACTTCCACACATGCACGTGACATCATTTTGAGCGTCTGCGCAAGCGGTGAAACCCGGAAGTAACGCACTCCGTTACTTCTGGGTTGCCGCGGAGCGCAACTCAAACACACTCAACCCGAAGCGCATTCAACTCGAGGTATGACTGTAATATAAATATTTTCAATGACAACTATACATCCACTTGGAAAGAAATAAAGAAAAATTTGGGGGTATGGGGAAGGTTATCAGTAATAAAAATGCATGTATTGCCAAGAGTGCTATTTTTATTTCAATCAGTTCCCGTAATCAGTGGAGCAGGACACTTCAAGCAATGGCAAAAAGATATTTCTAAATTTATTTGGCAGGGGAAGAAACCAAGGATTAAATATAATTTGCTAACTGGTACTAAGGAAAGACGTGGCTTCTCCCTGAGATTATATTATGAGGTGTCCTGTCTTTGCTGGCTTCAGGAGTGGATAACTTAAAAGAATGTGGATATTCTAGATTTAGAAGGCCATGATAAAGATTTGGTTGGCATGCATATCTATGGTATGAAAAGACAAAAGTGCATAAAGGTTTCCTAAACCACTTGGTAAGAAAATCGATTTATGTAGTGTGGGAGGAATACAAAAACCTATTGGAACAGAAAACACCTTGGTGGCTCTCCTCACTAGAAGCAACATCCTTGAAAAAAGTAAATGCAAGAAGTGAATGGGCAACTTATAAAGAGCTGTTAATGGAAGTAGAAGATCACTTTAAAATGAGAAAAATTGAGGATATAAGACTTTTAGTAACTGGTTGCAGTATCACCAATTAAATGTTTTTATGAAGGGTAAAAGAAATGGTTTTAGTAAGGAAATTTCAACGTTTGAAAAAGACTTACTGGAAAACAATGAGAAATTACTTTCAAAAATGTATAAACTGTTGTTAGAATGGCATACTAAAGATGAAGAAGTTAAATCAGTAATGATACAATGGGCAAAGGATATTGGACATAATATACAATTTTCATCATGGGAAAAGTTATGGAGGGGAGATCTAAAATTTACAGCATGTTGTATGTTGAAGGAAAATTATAGGAAAATGATGTACCATTAGCACCTAACTCCTACTAAATTAGCAAAAATGTATAGAATTGCTACAAATATTTGTTGGAAGTATAAAGAGAAAGAAGGCACATTCTATCATATGTGGTAGATGTGCAAAATGACAAAAGCATACTGGGAAATGATTTCTAATGAGTTGAAAAAAATGTTTTAAATAACTTTTGTGAAAAAGCTTTTTTCACCAGGAATTTTAGGTCCAGAAATACCAAAGGAGCAGAAAAGACTATTTATGTACTCTACGACAGCTGCGCGGATACTGCTGGCCCAGAGATGGAAGGAAGATAAAGTACCTAGCAGAGAAGAATGGCTAACAAAGATGATGGACTGTGCAAAAATGACCGGGAAGATCAGAAACCAGGAAGATAATAAATTTAATAAAAATAACACTGTAAACAATTAAAAACATTGGCAGGATTTTAAAAACACTTGCAATGTAACAAGAACTATGGTAACAGCTGAGTTTTAAGGAGATATGGAGAACATTATGCGATGCAGTTGGAAAAGAATAACTATGGAACCCATGAGGGGGAGGGAAGTCTAGGGATTCAGAGACTCCTATTTGAACATGTGAATGCAAACGTTAAATGTAAAATCGAATAAAAATATTTTTTTAAAAAACAAAGAGGGAATATTATCAGATCTCAACAGCTATTCATGTTGGCTCAGCTCTTGCAGGCTGCATTTGCAGGAAGTGCGAGAAACAGACTCTGTAGCAAAGCAGCAACCGCTCAATTTCAGCAATGAAAGAGACCAGTAAGATATTGAGGCACCCCAGGTGCAACCAAACATCAGACCTTCCCCACCCATTTAAAATAACTCACCTAGTGTAGAGAAGGAATGACCGGGGGGCGGGGTGGGGGTTAAGGAACACATTTTGTCCATATTTTATCTGACCTTGCTTCTCCCCTTCACCTCTCAGAACAAAAGACACCTGCTGGGTCAGACCAAAGGCTCATCTAGTCCAGCCTCCAGTTCTCAAAGTGGCCACACAGATGCTGTTGAGAAGCCCACAAGCAGGACTCGAATACAATACGCCTCTCCTGCTTCTTGTTCCCAGAGGCTGGCACTGAGTTGTACTGGAGGTCAAACATAGCCATCGTTGTGATTAGTAGACCTCTCCCCACACTGGATGGAAGGGCAAAGTGTCTGCAGAAGTGAGCCTCTCAGAAGGTCAGAGTTCCCTTCAGATGTGTTCGTGTCATCACAGAGTCTTCCGAAACCACCATCAATCACCTGATGGGGTGAGCACCTACCAGGTAAGAAGAGCTTTTACAGACCAACTTTGGTCTGATTGCCTGAGTAGCTGCACATCTGAAGGCTGCTCTAATATGCTTCCTAAATCAGGAAATAAGGTAACCCTGCAATCATCCACATGTGTATTTTGATACACATATCATAACATATCAAATCACATTACAGACATTAAGACTTGCCCTGAGGAAACCAGGTATTTTGCCATTCTTTTTTGCCTCATCTTCCCCGCACATACCCAGATCCTCGCAAACACAAACTGGGGCAGAGTAGAAGACTCACACTCGGTTCCTCCGGCGATCCTGCATCTGTTCCCTAAGCAGGGGGCCCAGACGAGCATCCTGGGCTGCACACTCAGACAGGCTCTGCAAGAGAACGGCCAGAGCTGATGAGCAGAAGCAGCCAGGCTGGTTGCTACAGAGCAAGAAGGAGCAGACCAGCCTCCTGCAGATGCAATCTCATGCCAAGCAAGCAACAGCCTCCCACCAACCCAAGTCGACTTTTATCCTCTCATCCTCTCTTTGTGTTGCACCTCTAGTACTGCTCCCTGCACCCATCCTGTTACCTGCAAGAAGGCCACAGAGCTGGATTCTGCCTGCAGCAGGCGCCCATAGAGCAACACCCACTGGTTCACCAGCCACAGGATCTTCTGCCTTTTGCCCAGGATGTAGGCAGCTTTGTCCTGTTCGGTGCCCTCCGACGGTTCCGAATGAAAGGTGAACAGTAGTCAAGGAGACACAGAAACACAGCCGTATGCAAGGTGGACCAGGCCCAGCTCTAGGTTTTAGGGGGTCTTAGGCTAAGTCGCTCTGGTCGGAGTCCTAAAAATGGCAGCTAAACCCAGCTGCTGCTTAAAGCTTAAATCAATGAGGCAAATTAGTCATGATTTACAACTTTTGCTCCCTTAATCTGAGATGCCCTTTTAGTCAAACTAAAGTTTATTAATTGGTTAACCTAGCCAATTAATCAACTAGAATTTACAGCCCTGATTAAAATGTATGCTGTTCAGACGAAGCCACTTTCATTCTTAACCTGGGACACTAGAGATGTATGGAGCATACATCTGGGATCTCTCTAGTGCAAGGATGAGCAGCTAGCAGACCCTGGGCCAAATCTGGTCCCCAAAGTCTCCTCCCCAACACTGCTATTTAGCATCCCAGAGGCAAGGCAGGCATGCACAGGGAACAGCTTGCCAGCAGCCCACCAAACTAGGCCTCTAAAGTGGCCTTCCAAACAGAACTGCTTGGTGACTAGGGCTGTAGGATCCAGCAGAGAAACAAACCACAAAGGATATTGTTGGAGCAGAGCTCTGCACAGCTGTGGTGTTGGCATGAACACATTATGTGTCAGAAGGAAATCTCCAAGGAAGGTGTCTATAGAGATGGCAGAGAAGCATGGTGAAACATTATTACAAGGGCTAGATGCTCTCCTAGATGATCTGCATTTAAACTCCTGTAACCTGACAAATCGTCCCATGCGCATTCTTCCAGTGTACACACATTGCCCTGTACACTTCAAGGGAGACAACAACTCCACAAATACAAAGGAATGTGCCTGTGTAGATGCCCCTCTGTTCAAACTTCTTTCCCCAGTTCTTAGCTCTAAAGTGGCCCATGAACCAAGGACTGGCATGGGGTTTTCTCCGGTGTATTAACTAACCCTTCTCTTTAAGTGGCCCTCGACTTACCTATGGGGTCAGAGAGCGTAGAGTCTGGACGCATGGTTTCCAGCAGATAATCAAGTATTTTTTCAGGGGTCCCAGACATCACTGAGTACCTGAACAGGAGAGGAAAGCATGAACTTCTCAGATAGCATGACAATGAGGTGGAAACCAGAAGCAAGTGATGCACCTAAGCAGTAAATGCCCCCCCTTCCCATATCATTAGCTGATTTTGGGGGAAAACAACAACCCAGGTTTGGCATATGAATATTTTTCTCACAAACACATTACATAATAGGTTTTGTAGTCTAGAATTGCCACACAAACAATGAGTGATGATCTCCTGTCCATATTTTGTGCCCACAGTTGTACAGTATCGTATATTTTGTAGTCTTAAGGTTGCACATGAGCAAAGAAGCATGCAGAAGAACTACACTATCGACAACTACCATACTTGCCCAGTGGATCTTACAGAAGCAGATGGAAATTTAAATACATCTTCCTGTGGGGGGAGTGGGGAGCCCCAATGTTTTGGCATCAGGAAAACTCCAAATGTTCTCTCTGATTCTATTTCATGTGGAATCCAACAGCAATGCTACATTAAGATCCTCTAGAAAAAGCACCATGGCAGTCGGATGAGCTGCTTCTGCAGCTGCCTGCAAAGCACTTCCAAGAGAAGGAAGTACACCCAGCCCTGTTTTGTGGGGAAGGCAAGAAAAACAAGCAGAAAGAGCCTGTGGGTGCATCAGACAGAAGCTACTTCTGCCTCTAGGAGGGAGCAGGGAAGTGAAGGGGGCCAGACCGCAGTACCTACTGCTCCCTGGAGTCCCAGGAAGGTGACTGGAGCTGCTGCCTTGCAAATTCTTCTCCAGAACAAGCACCACCTTCCCATGTTCCTTCAGCCGCAGAGTGTTGGCTTCAACATCCTAGACAGGAAAGCATAAGCTAGTGAACTGGGTTGCCTTACCATGCTTCGGGCACGTCTACACTGGAGCTGAATAACAGCCATTGGCCCTAGGCCAATGACATCCTCAGATGCTATCCTAATGGGCCTCCTTTAGGGCAGAAAATCACTGAGTTGTACACTTCTGAATTCCATGTTGGGTATCACATCAAGATACTAGCCTCGTGCAGCTCCTCCACTTGAAGTCAAAGTGCTCAGCCCAGTCTGCTCACTCTGCCACACAACTAATTTCATAATGGTGTAAAGCAGGGAAAGAGGCCTAGGATTCTAGTTCTATTCTAGTTCTATGCTATATCTGCTGTGAGAGATTGCAGTCAAATCCAACAATGCATATTCTTGCTAGTTAGTAAGTTGAGGGGCAAATAACCACAGAGCTGTATTGCTGATAGGCAAAGACTCAGACCATGGAAATGTAATGGGTAGAGGGGGCTCTGTGTGATGTTATTTCCCCCTCCTCTCCTGGGGGACAAGGAACATACAGAATTTCCTCTTTCCTCCTCTCTCTCTCTTCCTTCGTCAAGCCATGAGGGCAGACATGCCCTCTGCTTGTTCCAGTAACAGGCATACGTCTGAAGCTGTTTCTACTGTAAATATACCGTATTTTTCGCTCTATAAGATGCACCAGACCACAAGACACACCTAGTTTTTGGAGGAGGAAAAAAAGAAAAAAAATATTCTGAATCTCAGAAGCCAGAACAGCAAGAGGGATTGCTGCGCAGTGAAAGCAGCAATCCCTCTTGCTGTTCTGGCTCTGGGATAGCTGCGCAGCCTGCATTCGCTCCATAAGACGCAAACACATTTCCCCTTACTTTTTAGGAGGGAAAAAGTGAGTCTTATAGAGCAAAAAATACGGTAAGTATTTTACCTGCATAGTTTTTACTGCTGCTGTAGCTGAGAACCAATGCAAGACCTCGTGTAAGTAAATCATATCTGAAGCTTACTTTTCAGTCTAGGTGAATGAATAGGGGGAGTCAGCTTGCTTCACAGCTGGACACAATTAAAAGAAGGCTTTGCAGACTATTCCTATATGCATACATTTTGCATTACACTGATAAAATGGAAGCATGCGGAGGAAGACCAGCCAGGAATGGGCAAATGCCCAGTTGAAACAGAGTGACTGGTCATTTGCAACCTGCCCTTCACAATGGATCCCTGCTCAGGTGCCTAAGGGAAAGCAAGGCTGCTTCTGGAAAGGACAGGATAATAAACAACCAGGCTTTGCAGGTGGGATGGAGGGACTTCAAAGCAAGGAGCTTAGTGTACAGAGGAAAGGAGAACATTCAGGCACAGACGTGTGGCAGAAGTCCTGGAGAAACTGCTGGTAACTTCATTTATTGCTGCCTCCTGATCCCTTAATGCCCTCAAATTCCTTACATTTGAGACAAAATTCCTTCCCAGGGCAAACTATTGAGCGCTGAAAACTGTCAGAGAATGGAAGGACCCCAGCCTCCATGTGTGACCCAACTCCTGGCCCACCTTGAGGATGCGATTGAAGTCCCGTTTGTCCACACGCAGAAAGTGGCAGCTGTCTTCACGGAGGATGATGGTGGCTGCACGGGGGGCATCATTCACCAGCGCCAGCTGCCCAAAGTCATCACCCTCGTGCAGAGTGGATACTAAGCCCTGAAAAGTGAGTGCACCACGTCCGTTACTGCTCCCAGGGACATTTCCATGGCAAATACGGGGGACCCTGCTGAGGGCAACTGAATACCAAGGCCACTCACCAATTCTCCTTTATTTTCCCTCCCCTCGCTGCTGTCACCACCACCCCTCGCAATAGGCTTATTTTTGTTCTCTGACTGGCAAAGCATCTACGTCTCAGGGCAGCCACTCCTGGTGGGCAGGGGCTCTTCAGGGTTTCATGCAGGTGTCCTTTCCAGACTCAACTCGGGACTTTTTGGGTGCAACACATGCACTCTTGCTAAACCTGAGGCTGCTGACTCATAGGCTGGGCACTGTTTGCGGGTTTGGGCAGTGGGGGGGGGGATGGGGATTGTTGCTGTTACTGATATTTTTTATTTTAGATCTTACGATTTATGTGGAATTCATTTCTACTTGGCTGTGTACTTTTGGATGTTTTATTTGTTGTTTATGATCATTTTTGATATGTTTGTGATTACATAAGCCTCTTTAAGCAGAGGCTTGACAACCATATGTCAGGAGTGCTCTGATGGTGTTTCCTGCTTGGCAGGGGGTTGGACTCGATGGCCCTTGTGGTCTCTTCCAACTCTATGATTCTATGATTCTATGATTCTATGATTCTATGATATTTTTCTCCATGTTTCAAGCTGCCTTGAGAATGGTTTCAACCATGGAAAGGTGGCATACAAATAAAATTATGTGACTTTGTAACTTGTAAAGTAGCACTCTCTGCGTTGGCAGCTAAGAAGATCAGGAGGAAGGAACTAGATAAAATAGCAGTCAACTGCAAAGGGGATTCGGATATTTAATTTGGCACATTTTACTAGAGAATCTTCTGCTATTCCATTTTATGCAACAAATAATCATGGTAGTTGTGACCGTGGTTTATATTGTATGTGTAGTGCCTGGTGATTTTATGGTTATTGCTGTTTTTCCTTTTGTTATTTTTCTGAATGATGCCATGGCCTATGGCTAGCCCAATAAAAGTCTATGATGATGATGAAATAAAATTATGTATGTATATATGTAGATATATGAATCACAGTCCTCCCCCAAAGGTATGTTGACTGACTGAGTTATTTTTCAAAAGAACACCAGAGGGAGAGCCGGATCAGTATATTAAATATGACAAGCAAGGTGTTCATACTACCGTGAAACTTTGGGACAAACAAGTATTATATTGTATATAAATGTAATCTGATCTAAAAGCATCAATATATGACAAGAAACATCTACGTAAATAGATTTCTCTTAGTCCAGATGTGGATATAAAATTTCCTACACACACACCGAACTTAACCCCAAGCTGACCCTTTCCAGAGATTAAACATACAAACCTTGTCATGTGTGACAACGTTGACTGATCCCTTCCAGATGATGTACCAGGAGGTGCCCTTGTCCCCTTGGCTGAACACTGGAGGGGGAAAATCCTTCGCATCAGTGCTATGGGACTTATGCTTTGAGACACATGCAAAATGAGTGCCCAAGGGCACAGACCAGCCTTCCCCAATGTGTTTGGGACTACAACTCCTATCTGCCCCAGCTAGAATGGCCATGCTGACTGGAGCCAATGGGAATTATAGTCTGAAACATCTGGCGGTCACAGCAGGGCAGGGAAAGAAGCACAGGCAACATGTTAGAGGCAAAGGAGGAAATGATCAGCTTGGACTAGGGTGGGGTGGGGGGCACAGGAACAAGTGGGCAAAGCAAGAAGAACAGGTTCTCAAGGGAGCCTTCAAAAGAGCTGCCACAGGGAATTGGAAATGAGGATAAATAGATAGGAAGTTTTCCTTCTGAATTGCACAGGGTAGAAGATTGCTGTGTGTCACATTTGACCCTCTCAAAAGTCACTGGGATGGTGGCACAGCAACAACACACAAGACCCATCCCCATTCCAAAGACAACTGCAATGCACTCTTCTTTCCTTGCGCCTGATCTGGATATAAAACTTCTGCTCAGAGACCTGCCCTGGTTGCTGATTTGCTACCAGGCCAAGTTCAAAGTGTTATTATTACTATAAAAAAGGTAAAGGTACCCCTGCCCGTACGGGCCAGTCGTGTCCGACTCTAGGGTTGTGCGCCCATCTCACTTAAGAAGCCAGGGGCCAGCGCTGTCCGAAGACACTTCCTGGTCAGGTGGCCAGCGTGACGAAGCTGCATCTGGCGAGCCAGCGCAGCACACGGAAACGCCGTTTACCTTCCCGCTAGTAAGCAGTCCCTATTTATCTACTTGCACCCGGGGGTGCTTTCGAACTGCTAGGTTGGCAGGCGCTGGGACCGAGCAATGGGAGTGCACCCTGCCGCGGGGATTTGAACCGCCGACCTGACGATCGGCAAGTCCTAGGCGCTGAGGTTTTACGCACAGCGCCACCCACGTCCCACTATTATTACTACATAAAGCCCTTAACAGCTTGGACCAGTTTACCTATGCGATCGTCTTACCCCCCTGAACACCCACCCGACTGCTTCCATCTACAGAACTGGTACTGTTACAGGTGCCACATAATTAATACTCAATCCACATTTGTAAGGAATTGATGCCTTAGTGTGGCAGCATCCCAATTTTGAACTCCCTGCCTAATGACAGCAGGCAGGAGCCTTCACTGGACTCTTTTTCAGTGCCTTGACAGGCAAGCCTATCAAGACAGGTAGAATGCTGACATATCTTAATCTGGTATTTAGCTTATCGTTGGTTTTAATTATTTTTTTGAGGTTTTAAATTGTTGCTTTTCACTGATAATTTTATTGTTTTGCTCTTTTTTGTAAACTGTGCTGAGGTTTAACTACAATCAAGAAGTGTATAAATATTGTGAAATAAATAAACAAGCCAACTTATAGTGGCTGCAAGATACTGCTCCTTGATAGTGTTTGGCTGGTTGAAATGTGTCCTTCAACTCTGATGATACACGTTGATAGCTGGGTGGAAGGGAGAAAAGTGTGTGTGTAGAAATAGCTCTTTGCACAAAGGTAAATTTGACATTCCTTGCTCTGACCACTTTTGCCTCGGGCACCACCCACCCCTGCCATGTGGCTCAAGAAGGTCGCTGAGATGAGACATGGCCCTCAGACTGAGCTATGGGAATGCTTGCCGGAAGTCAAGAGAAGAGCTAGGCTGAAAGTGACTAAACCATTGCCAGCCAGTTACTCACACACAGTTCCAGCCTTTGCATGGGATTCGAACAGCAGGACAGCAGCCAGTTCCCTCTTCACCTGTGGCAGGAGGGAGACAAGCAATGAGATTGCCCTAGAAAACCACTTGCACAAACAGCCGAGGCAGAACATAACTTTGGTGATTAAAGGTGATGGCCACACTGGCAGAGGAAGAGGGGGCGGGGGGGAGTGCACCACCCCCGGCAGCGTGATCCTGGTGGGGTGCCATTGCGGCTGCTCCCCCCACCCATACTGGGCGCCATGCCCCCGCAGACAGTGTGCCATGCCCCCAGGATGCACGCCAGCCACGCCCCTGCCTGCTCTCCGCCCCCAATGCCAGAGCATGAAGCTCCACCACTGGTTGGCCAAGCAGGAAGCCAGTTCATGGAAGGTACACATGCATAAAGGCTTCTAGGGAGGAAACATCCACACTTGGGTCAGCACAGTTCTGATTACTACATACTATTCATACTAGTCAATAGCTATACTTCTCTGTAATCTTGGTGGTTCTTAAAGAGAAGTCCACCTAGAAGCTCATTTATGTGTACTAAATTATAGTCAACAAAAAAAATGTAGTGATACATATTTCTTAACATCAACATACGGTGCTATATTTGTCAAATTTTGCTAATAATGCTGGATGACAAAGTTCTGGTTACCAGATGCCCCTGGTGGTGGTGAACTGCTCACCACCTAATCTTATTTGTGGACTTAACAGCCAGCTGCCATTCTTTCGTTTTTGATTTCTGGACTGTGCTTAGACTGCTTTGCATGTTCAAATTGACACAGCTCCCCTCCTCTGATTCACCCATCAAATACAGTCCATTAAGTCACTGAAGCATACTGAGTTCAGAACTGAAGAAAAAGGGACTCTTGATGCAATGGCTCTGTGTGTGTGTGTGTGTGTGTGTGTGTGTGTGTGTGTTTGAAGTATGTGAGCAGAGAAAATAAGCAAACTGAAATATTTAGAAAACTTGACAGGTGCCAATTCTAAAAGTAGCATCATAAATTCTTTACATCTAGTGTAACAGCAAACCCCCCCCTCCTAACGTGCATGTATTTTCACCCCCTACATCTGTATAGGAGATGGATCCAGTCTGACGCAGGCTCAGGCAGCAGGTGGGCAGGTTTGAAGTGACTGACAAATGAAAGGAAGCAACCAGGTGGAAATAGGACAAATCTGCTAGATAGGTTCATCCTATCAAATGGAATAGCTAATGGCGGGGGTGGGTGGGATTTGTTTGGCCATCCCATTGGTTTCCATTCCTAGCCATCCATTACTCATGGCATTCAAATTAAAGATGGGCCAAATGAGGCAGAATCTGACCGTTACTTACAGAACTGGAGAGATGGGCGACAGCTTTGATGTGCAGCAGCTCCTCAAAGATCAGTGCAAGCTCCTCATCTGTGCGCTGGCCAGGGCTGGAGGAGAGTGTACAGGTAAGGCACACATATGTCAGGTTCTCCTGTCACTTTACAGCACTCACCACCACCGCATCCTCATCCCCAAGACAGTGTGCATTACCCTGACTCCTTCAAAGCAAAGGATGTAAATTCATGGCATAAACCTCCTTGCTTCTTCTGATCATGGGGAAGGACAAGGAAGAGAGCAAACTACCAATGCAGCAACAGGACGTCCTTAACCTCCATCATATCCTCTGGCACGAGGGCCAGACGCCAGGTAGCTTGGCTACAATCATGAGGGCGAGAAATTCACTTTTAAAGTTAGGAAGAGCCTGCTAGAACAGGCCAGTGGGCTATGTAATCCAGGATCCTGTTCTCACAGGGGCCAATCACTTGCTGAATCAGATCTTATCAGATGTGCATAAAATCCAAAGAGAGATTTTCCTTAACCCTGCGTCAATTCAGCACGTAATATCAGATTTTTGTAAAGCATAACTGCGAACAATGAGAAAAGCTCTCAGACCCAGGGGAATTAATCAGCAAAGAACAGCATCAAAATACAGGTCAAGCAAAAGTGTGGATGAGTCCCTAGAAAGGCAGGATTTAAATAAAGCGAATGAATGAAATAATCAAGGAAACAATATATACATTTCTTTCTATCTATCATCTATCCACCTGCACTTTCGTTCACTAATAAACAGAAATGGCTTTGCTGTTCTATCAGCAGCAAAGCCTTAAACCTTCCACATTTCCTCCCTGCCTGCCACACTATAGCTCAGTCCTCACACTCACGGTTTGTGCAAGATGGTGGTGAGCAAGGCGGTAGGGCCCAGCTGGGTGAGCAATGCCAGTGCCTCCAGGAGCTCCTCCCCATCCCGGTCTTCAGCGCTTGGCTCCAGGGCCACGAAGCGGAAGAACTGGGTGTCGCGGTCCTGGAAATAGCTCTCCTGCCGCACTGCACAGGGAAGGCGGGTGAAAGCAGGATGAGAATAAGAGAGCACAAGGGGATGGGGAGGGAACCTGTGGTCCTCCGGGAACTATTGGACAACACCTCCCATCACCCCTGATTGCTGGCTATGTTGGCTGGGGCTGATGGGAGCTGTAGTCATCAGCTACTGGAAGGTCACAGCTTCCCTGCCCTTAGAACAATCCAACAGAAGATATGAAGAGCCCCCTGCCAGCATATCTGCTCCCAGTTGCGTTGCCTCTTATAGCTTTCTCTTTCTCCCTGTGACAGGCAGCTATCTGGACAGTGAAGGAGTGCAAAGTGGCATTACAGCTGCTGGGTAAGACCAGTGGGCACACAAAGAAACAGAGGGTGAGGGGTCCTTGGAGAGCACCCAATCCAGCCCCCTTCTCGAGTGGCAGACCTTGGGGTTTCAAATATCAGCAGTGCCCTGCGCAATGCCAAAATTCGGTGCCCCCCAAGGCTTTCCCTGTGGAAACCTGCTCTCTTCTGCTGAATCGGAGCAAAGAGCAATCTGCAGAAAACCCAAACTGCTGTATGTGTCGATTCAGCAGTTCAGATTGGGTTTTGCTGGGGGAAACAGCAGGGCAAAAAACAAAAGTGCTCTGACGTGGACCAGCTTGGTTAGGTAGCACCGTGAGCAGTGCCTAATGAGCAGCGGGATCCTGAGACTGTCATGGCCCCCCTTCTTTCCTCTGGTTGTCTCACCATGAGCCAAGACTCCTTCGTCCACCAGCACCTGACAGAGTCCAAGGGCCTGACTGCGCGTCTGTACAGAAAACTCTGCGCTGAGAAGCACATCCACCAGCTCCTTCCCAGAACAGCACTGCCTGGAAGGGAGACACCAAACAGAGTTCATGGGAAGAATTCCCACCATCTACAGCAGAGCTAGATGGGCAAGTTCTGAACTTCAGATTGGATTTCCAGTTTTAAAGCTCTAGATCTCCCCTCCGCTCCCCCTCCCCCTTTCCTTGGTTTTGGGGGTTTCATCTTTTGGTTGTCTGGAAAGGACAAGACAAGACATAGTTAATTTCTGGAACTCATTGCCATAAGATGCGGCATTGGCCACTGTCTTTAAGGACAATTCATGGGGGGGAGGAGGGTCTTTCCAGTGGCAATTTAGTCATGTATAGCCTCCAAGTTCAGAGGCAGAATGCCTTCCTTACCTACCTGTAACTATTGCCATCACGTCCTATTTATGGTTTCCCAAAGTTGGTCACTCTGGGAATGGGTTGCTCGACTAACTCAGGGATGGGGGACCTGCAGGCCTCCAGATGTTGTCGGACTCCAACTCCCATCAACCCCAGCCAGCATGATCAATGGTTAGGGATGACCAGAGTTGTGGTCCAGCAATATCTGAAAGGCCAAGTTCCCTATCCCAGGACCAGCTGGGCTTTCAGTACAGGATGAATAGGGACATTAGGTTGGTCCAGCCAGCATGGTGTTGTCTACTCTGACTGGCAGAGGCTCTCCAGGGTCTCAGGCATGGAAAGGTAACTGGCAGAGTAGGAGGAAAGTTAACTCTTGTTAACTGATCCTTTTAGAAGCTGCAACCTTCTGCTGTAGAAGGCAGAACTGCAGCAATAGCTTCCCAGCCGCAGAGTCACTACCATTTACTGGGGGTGAGGGAACACTGACACTGACTTTGGGAAAAATTTCAGGGGCAGCTAGTTGGTTCACTCGCAAGAGCCCCCCGCCCCTAAAGGAAGCAGCATGCCCACATACCCTGCAGCTCACTAGCTGCCCCTGACTCCTTCTACGAGGGACAGGTATATGCACACCTGTAAAGCCGGAGGTGGTGCTTGTGATCGCGGATTAGATCCGGGTACAAGATGACCAGATGTGCACAGAGGAGCCTCCCTGCTCTCTGAATTTTGTTCGATGAAGCCTGTGAAAGAATATGGCAAGAGCTTGCTTGCTTGCTACATTTGTACCAGACAGCCATTCCACCAACCAGTGTTCCAGGTTGGCAAATGTGACCGTTTCAAACACAACAAAACAAATGCAGGAACAATTAAATACAAGTATTTATGCACCTATTTATTTGCAGCATGGGTGGGGAACCTCTCTATTGCATGAAGGGGGGGAATCACATTAATTGCTCTGCCCACTTTGCTTCTGGCTCTGTGCACCATTGGCATGTGGCCCTTGGAAGGTTGCCCAGGAGGGAATGTGGCCCTTGGCATGAAAAGGTCCCCTGCCCCTTATTCATGGCATTTCTACGCTGCTCCACAACACAGAGCACCCGTGTGGCATAGCGGTTGGTTTGTTTGTTTTTGCTCAACACACAACAAAAAGGACAAAATAAACCATAGTGAGAATACCATCAGTCACACCTTACATAGAGAATTAATATAAATTTCATAATCCATAAACTGTAATGGTCTCTTCTTTTAAACCCGACTTCCCATCTACTCCATAAATCAAATTACCATTCTTTGCTGCCAATACATGTTATTACTGTCATCTCAAATCACTTCAAAATATGTTAAATCATATAACTAGTGAACAATACTGCTGGAATTATTCAAATGCTGCTACAGATTTTAAGTCAGTATTATTAATTTTCAAATATATTTTAAATACTTCCCATTTTGAAATGAATTCTTTCCTTTGTTTTTTAATTTTTCAGATAGGCTATCTAATTCAGCATAGTCAATCATTTTTTGGACCCACTCTTGTCTTGAGAGAACTTTTTCACTTTTCCACGCTGCCACTGTTGCGTAGAGAAAAATATCATTAATTTTTTTAGGGAAGTCCATATCAATAATACCCAGTAAGTATGCCTCTGGCTTGAAGTTAAAATCATGAGGACTACAAGTGGCGTAGTGGTTACTGTGCAGGAGAAGGACCTGGGAGACCAGGGTTCAAATCCCCACCCAGCCATGAAGCTCACTGGGTGACTTTGGCCCAGTCACTGTATCTCAGCCTAACCCACCTCACAGGGTTTTTGTGAGGATGAAATGGGGAGGAGAAGTATGTCTGCCACCTTCAGCTTTTTGGAAGGATGGTGGGATAGGATAGGATAGGATAGGATAGGAAGAAATCATAGTAGCTTTCAGAAAATAAGACAAAACTTCCAAAACCACCAAAGTTAAAGCACCAATTTTAAAATGGAGAGACCTGTGCCATATAGTTATTTAAAAGGCCTGGGTGAAGAGAAAGGCTTTCATCTGGCACTGAAAAGACCACAAAGATGGAGCCAGTGAGCCTCCCTGGGAAGGCTGCTCCATAACTGGGGTGCCACTACTAAAAAGGCCCTCTCCCTGGTGATTATGGCCTTTGCTTCATTTGGGGAAGCACTCAAGAGTAAGAAAAATATTGAAAAGACAGCTAAAACAATAAAAAACACTGAATGCAACCAGTTAAAACCAATTACACTATATTCATAAGGCAACCTGTGAGTCAAAGCTTTGCATAAATGGGAATGTATTTGCTTGGCAGCAGAAGATGAGAGACAGGGCTAGCCAGGCTTCCCCGCTCAGGGTCCCACCAAAGGCACTGGGATAACGAACCTTCTGGCTCAGTCTCCAGATACTCAATATCTGGAAAGCCCAAAACTAATTTTGGATTTGGGGGAAAGCAGGGAGGAGAGGAAAGGGATGTTATGCATAGTTGAACAAGTTGTCGTTTGCAGAATAATAAATATGCATGAACAATTGTGTCATATTTATAAACACTTGACCTCCAAAGTCAGATATTTTTGTCTCTGGTTCTTTTCAGCCTTCCACTCACTGTTTCATAGAAGCTCAAAGGTTCAGTCCTAAGATATCATCAGTATGGGCCTGTTCTTGTTTCCATTGAATACAGAACTTCCTTTTAAAAGCTGATTATTTTGAAGGGAGAATACATGGGAACAGGTTCATTTTAAACTCCTCTGTCAATTTGGTTTTAAAATCTGATTTTCTTCCAACTTGCATCCTAGCTACGATGATTGGCTCTCAGCCAGACACGGATCACAGGCTTCCGATATATATCCCCTTTGACTGCCCCCAGCACTTCACAAACATTGCCTTGTTTCAATAATCACAACCACCTTCTGAAGTAGGTGAGTGTTAGCCTCCCTCATATGGGGGAACAGGGTGGGGCCAGGACTGAGTCTGAGAGAGTGGTTTGCCTAGGGACACGTGGCAGATCCTTGTCAAGAACTGAGATTTGAAGAAAGCGCTTTCTGATTTCGCAGTCATAAGAACATAAGAATAGCCTGCTGGCCCATCTTGTCCAGCATCCTGTTCTCACAGAGGCCAGCTAGATGCCTGTCGGAGGCCAGGGAGCAGAAGATGAGCCCCAGAGCCCTCTCACCCCCTGTGCTTTCCAGCAACTGGAACTGGCAGTTGTGATCTTCACAATCATGAGGACTAGGAACTTTTTTAAATATAAAAAAATGCAAATAGAGTTTTGTAGCTTCAAATTCCATGGGATAGATAAGCCTTTTCTACAGCTACACCTACATCATGTAACACCTTGTCCCTTGAGGTTCTTATACTTTTCAGGCTTTTGCTGCACCACCGTGTACTAATGCGATTTTAGTGTGCAAAAGCTCCCATGAATGTGGCATAAGCCTCAGAAGCCTCAGAAAGGTGGGATGGAAATCTATAATAATAATAATAATAATAATAAATGCTTGCACACATCCCTGAAATACATAGACAGACCTGTGTGAAAGGACACACATCATACCACAAGCCTGTTAGCCCTGGGGGGGGGGGGAGTAACTGCCCCCACTTTTAGGCTGTGCTTCCTTTGTCCCTGTCAAGACGGCTGTTTGATATTTACCTGCTTTAGGCTGTGGCCAGGCACTAAGGCTGATTCGGTGTCTGGAAGAGGGGTCTGGAAAACAAAAAGATCAAGGACATTTCCTTAGTCCATTTACAAAGTGAGGAAGGGGCTGTTGGTTGCGTGTGTTAGCCCAGAACGCAGCCCAGTGAAGAAGCAGGCAGGCAGGCATCCTCCCTTGCAAAGGAAGTGGTTCCTCATCCCTGCAAGAGAGAACCTGTGCGCGGGGGGGGGGGGGGAACAGTTACCAGGCTGACCAGATGTCACACGTTAGGCGCCCACAGAGCCACAGTACATCTGAAGGGAAGAAACGCCATGCCGTGCCACAACCCCAAGCCTTCGAGAAAGGAAAACAGGTCTCTTTGTCTGACCTTCATTGGGCAAAAAGCGGCAGAGTTTGGTAGCCAAGTCAACTGTGGCCAGAATGCTAATGGGAGTTGGCTCTGGGGTGGGAAACATGTGGCTCTCCAGATATTGCTGGACCACATCTCCCACCATCTCTGACCATTACCCACGCTGGTTGGGGCTGTTGGGAGTGGGAGTCCAGCAACATCTGGAGGTGCCACAGGTTAGCTACTCCTGAGCTAGGAAGTCTGTTCACACAATGTTGAGTAGGACTTCCCACATGAATTTGAGCCCCATCACATGATTACACCTGATGTGGAATTGGGAGAAGTAACATAACGGCACGATGGTTGAGATTCACTAAAGGAGAACTGCTCAGAATGATGATTGTGTGCAAACTGATAACTTAAGATGCCTGAGGCAAAGGTAGCAGATGAGTATCACACCTGAATATGCAACCTGTCTCCATTAACAATAAATAAATTAAAGGTCCAAAGGGATACAAAAGTTTTGCCTATTTTGATCTGTTTGAGCTGTGATACATACATACATACGCATCAGTTGATAGGCATCATGTGATACTGCTCTCGTCATGTGATGAGCATGCAGGTGCAAACTCATCCTGAGACCCACAGCAAAGTTTGCCCCACCCAAGGAGCAGCGGAAAGCAAGGGAGCTCCACCCCTTTCTGAAAATCAGCATGCAGCAGAAACTCACACAGAGTAAGAAAATAGTTGTCAGATGTTGGCCTTGTGACAAATGGTTGGCTGGAGATTAGCTGTGCTCTGGGTGTGGTTGGTGGGAATGAGTTTTATATGTAAAAGATTAATAAGGATGCCTTTGGGAGACGCTACTGTGGTGGAAAAGTGTTGTCTCAGAAATTTCATTTAGTTGCCAATGATGCTTTATATGTGGATTTTTTTACTGCATTTTAGCATTTGATTCTTACTTGTAACCAGTGCTATTTTTCTAGAAAAAGAGGTGCTGGAACTCACCATGAAGACCTCCCTTGTTCTCTTAGAATGGCAACAGCGCTCACCTGAGAGATGGTGGAGCTGAGGTCCAGCAAGTTCCAGCTGAAAAAAAGGCCTGCTTGTAACTCTTTTGTTAAGAGAATATTTTGTTTACCTGCTAATCATGCTGCTTTAAATGGGAATCTTATTGCATTTGATTTTCTTCTGAAATTTTATATTTTTCCATTTTGTCATGTTCTATTTGATGTTTTAAGATAGGCTGTAAAACCACTTGGATATTTTTTAGAACCGTGTAGAGGTAGAGAAATGATTTAAATAAGTACATAAATAAAGATTATACTTTTAAATAAACATATCTGAAGCTTTATGCAGAATCTACAGAGATTCCCCCCCCGAAATGTAAATCAGTATAAAAATGATTTAAATAAATGGTTTATTTTCTACTTACTTTAATAGACATATTTGCAGGGACCAGCCTTAAGCACAGCCAGTCCTACAATGAGGTAATGTGAGGCAGCTAGCCCAAGAAGCGGATTCTGTGTTCCATTACAGATGGAACTTCCTACAAATGAACCAGATTTGCTACAGAACACAAACACAACTCTAGTTCAAGTGTTTGCTTGGCCAGAAAGCTCTGGAATTTGGAGTGGTATCATGATAGAGCCCACAGAAATATTTCAGCCTTTGAGTGGTTTGCCAAGTTACCAATAGTTTCTTGAGAAACTGCCCAGCACAGAGAATACAGCGCAAGTCCCAAGAAGCATCTCTCCTGGCCTGAGATAGAGTAACCACTAAACAATATTCAAAATGGAGGGAAACATCCAGAGAGACAGAGGCAGGACTCTCAGAGCTCATTTCTGATGAGAATACAGGCACAGGAAAAGGTACTCTGCCCCTAAATGCAACCAGATAAGCCCCAAATGCACGACCTACTTGTCCGTATCTCATTCAGTTACAGAACAATCCTCACTGTGTCTCCTGAATTTCAACTGTGACAAGGGGAGACACCAGAAGCACATCTTCAGCATCCCAAAGGCACATTTCATGAGCATGTGGCCACCCTGTTGGAAAGCCTGCCGAGCTCCTCCTGCAAAGCAAGGTTCCACTGGAGTGGGGCTGATAGTGGGAGGTGCCTCACTATTCTGCTGTGACACCCACCCAGGGGCATATGGGCTGTTACCTCCCTGTCCTTATGCGCTGCCTCTTGTAGCTTTAGGAATGTGTGTGCATGCCCTTCTCCCTGCCCCACAACCAGTGGGAAAGAAGTTTGGGTCTGTGTGTTTCTAGGCTTGGGGTGGCACATCCCTGTGGTGAGACTTCTGGCACTCAGGAGCTGCGCACTGCTTGCCCACTTACCATCCTCCCTGGGGCTGCGCTGATCCCCACCCCCAGCCAGTATCAGGGAATATCTGAACCACTGTCCTTGAGAGCACATGTGCATCTGTGCAGCTGTACTGACCATCCCCTTCTCAGTGAGTGATAGCTAGTAGGAAAGGATAAACAAGCATGACAGGGTAGATTTGAACCAGTGACCTCTCTGGTATGTTTGTGCCTACTTTGCAAACTGCACCACAGAATCCCTTTGCCTGTTGCAGCTTCCTACTTTTGGGTCCTTTCCTGCAGGGGGGGAAGGGAAAATGTTCTGTGCGATGGAGATTTCACCCTGCGACTCCTGAGCATGCGAGTGGAAGATCCCTTGGCCACTGCCTGGTCCTCTGCTTTGTTTGTGCTCTGCGGGGCATGGCAATGTGATACGACGCTCCTCCAGCTCAGCCTCCAGAGGTCAGCTCCCTCCAAGCACACACTGCTGTCCTTGGATTGGTTGGCATAGGTGATATTTCCAGGGACACTGGAAGAATGTCTGCTACTTTTATGTAATTTCTCCGCCCCCAGGTTGACATCAGACACAGCAACTGTGATTCACTTAGCTGAGATTCTTGCATTGCAACAGCAATTCTGGCATTGCAGGGGGTTGGACTAGATGACCGTAGGGTGCCTTCCCAACTCTACAATTCTGATTCTACACACTGCTCTGCCAGTATAGCACCAGAGTACCTCTCTCCTCATCTGCAAAACTCACCTGTCAAGTATGATGCTTACTGCAGTAGGAGCACTTCCAGATACTGTAACCTCAGGGGTGATGGGAAGGGGCTCTGCACCTGCTCTTAAGACAAGGACAGAGAAGCTCAGCCTGAGGGCTACCGGAGCCCTCCATGCCCTTTTCCCAGCCTTCAGGAGTCTGCCCAGGCCACAGAGAGAGACAGACTCTGCTCTATGTCCTTCTTGAGTGCTGCAGCACAGCTGCAGTGTGGTCTTAACAGGGATGGAGAAAGGTATGCTGAGAGGATGTGTGTGCGCAAAAACCTCTAGGTTTTGCGTGGCAGGAATTTGGCCTATTGCACAAAGGTCAAAAACACATCCTTTTCTCCTCCCATTTTTACCTCTGATCCAGCCTACAACCAGCATGCGGCCCCCAGGAAGCTTTCCATAAAGGAATATGGCCCCTAGGCTGAAAAGCCCCCCTCCCCTGCTGCAAAACATTCTTGTATTTCCCTGCGTTTATTCTAGGCTAAGCCTGCCACACAGGGCCAGATTGAGGTTTGATGAGGCCCTAAGCTACTGAAGGTAATGGGGCCCTTGATATGTCCAGCTGTCCTTTGTCAACAACAAATTGTCACTGTTTTTTGTGTTGAATATATGCTATATGGTAATCTATGGACCTAATAGGTATCTAAAGCCATTTGCACATAGCAAAATATGTATTTTATCAAAGTAATTTCTTTTTTATCTTATATTTTGGAAATGTACATCCACCTTTTTTCCCCTTTAATTTTTTGGGGGAGCCCCAAGAGAGTGGGGCCCTAAGCTATAGCTTGTTTAGCTTACACATAAATCCAGCACTGCCGCCACAGCACCAACGGGCCCTATTTTAGCACCTTTCTAAAATCAACGCATTTGAGATCAGAGGGAGTGGGCAGGCCATGCGGCAGAAATGCCCGGAGTCTCAGGAAGGCAGCCTCCCTTCCCAAGGTCTCTTGCCAGTTCTCCAGGACTCCTCATTTCCCCAGCTGTGGAGTACAAACAGCACCCCGCCCCTTGGCTTGTTTACACGGCAAACATCACAAGGGCTGCCATCTGTCAGGAGCTGGAGAAATGCCTCCAGACTCAGCAGGTAAGGGAAGAAACACCGGAGAGGCTTCAGCAACCGAGCCCAGCAGGCAGGCAGCCAGGGAGGCCCCAAATTCTGCCGAAGCCTCATCACATTGCCTTGTTTGCCAACCAGAGATCAGAAGAGCTTGCCGATGCCAAAGTGAGACACCCAGAAGTCACCCTGCCTTTCCCTGAAGCAATATCCTCGCGCATCAAAAAGCATGCAGAAAAATAAATGGGTTCGTCCCTAAGAGCTTAGCTAATTCATGCTGATATCTTTCACCTGCCCAATAACAATTTAATAATAACAATTTAAACACAGGAAAGTAGTGCGTAAAGCAGAGTGCATTGTGATGACCCCCAGACTTTGGAACTCCTTGCCCCTTGATGTACACCTGGCCCCCATCACTGGGGGTTTCCAAAAAACACACAAAGGTGTACCTTTTCACCAAGGCTTCTATGAATCTGCAATGATGGTCTCCTTTCTGCAAATGTTGTTATTGGTTGGTTTGTCGTTCTAATTGTTTATCTACTGCATTTTATTGTGTTCATGCCATTGTAATCTACTAGTCTTCAACTGGTGGGTCAGGGCCTGATCCAAGGTGGATTGTCACAGCAGCAGCAGTATGCAGATGTGACGTAAAAACTTAATTAATGGGTTCCAAATGCATGTTTGGGCTAAAGGTGAATCCCAGGTCTGTTGTAGTCAACCCTGACATCTTTGGTGAAGGGCTAGTAATACACATGCTAAATATATGCAAAGCTCCTCCCCATAGGTTCCGATTCCCACCTGCTCCCCTTAGCCCTCTTTTATCTTCCCTACACCTTTAGACAGCCAGAGGTCAGCTTGGTTGTCCACAGACCCACCCAGCACCTGAAAAAGGCCCATCCTGCTGAGATCTCATCAGGACAGGTGCTTTGGCAGCCACACATATTACCCCCAAAAGAGGAAATACATCTCCCTCCTGAAAAAGGACACATATTCCCAACTCATATTCACATAATCTTTGCATAGAATAATATATGGGCGCAGAGGCAAGTTTTCACATACCGTATTGGCCTGAATATAAGCCGCACCCACAAATAATATGTGAATATAAGCCACACTTTTCACGGTCAGAATTTGGGAGGAAAAAATAGTGCAGCTTATATTCGGGCCGATACAGTAATTGCTGTCTTTTTTTCTTTTCTTTTTAATGCATCTTGCCATAGTGAAGAAGGCTGTGGCCAGGTGGCCTGTCCGCCTGCTCTGTTAGATGTACGGAATGGAGTTAGCTGTTGATGGGCAACTTTCTCCCCTAGTGCACCTGCTCCCCTGCACTCCACTTTCTGTTGCATCTCTCCTCATTCCTTAGGTAGGGCCAGCTCCAGGTTTGAAGAGACTAGTGCACTAGCTGACGGGTCTCCTCTGTTGGTGGGTGAATCTCTGGAGGCAACAGTGCTCCAAGTAGCACAATTCTCACAATGGCCTTGATGTAATGTTGCTTTGGGGGGATTGTGGGAAATTAAAACAGAAGCTAGAGCCAGCCTCCTTGCTCTGCTTGGAGCATCAGAAAAAGGGGGTGGGGACTAAGGTGGCCCAAAGATGCCACGTTGTCCTGTTGATGTTTCTATCCCAGGCGAGGGCCTGGTTTGGAATGAAATCTTAGCCTGTGCTTTTCCACTGACCTCCAATCTTCCCTTCAATACTCCAAATAATCAAAATCCTACCATTTATTACTTTCAAGGGTTTAGGGGGGGTCCCCCCAAGTCTATAATGTATTTGACACTCTCGAGTGACCACAAACTTGACATGAGCCAACAGTGTGATGCGGCAGCTAAAAAAGCCAATGCAATTCTGGGCTGCATCAATAGGAGTATAGCATCTAGATCAAGGGAAGTAATAGTGCCACTGTATTCTGCTCTGGTCAGACCTCACCTGGAGTACTGTGTCCAGTTCTGGGCACCACAGTTCAAGAAGGACACTGACAAACTGGAACATGTCCAGAGGAGGGCAACCCAAACGGTCAAAGGCCTGGAAACGATGCCTTATGTGGAACGGCTAAGGGAGCTAGGCATGTTTAGCCTGGAGAAGAGGAGGTTAAGGGGTGATATGATAGCCATGTTCAAATATATAAAAGGATGTCACATAGAGGAGGGAGAAAGGTTGTTTTCTGCTGCTCCAGAGAAGCGGACACGGAGCAATGGATCCAAACTACAAGAAAGAAGATTCCACCTAAACATTAGGAAGAACTTCCTGACAGTAAGAGCTGTTCGACAGTGGAATTTGCTGCCAAGGAGTGTGGTGGAGTCTCCTTCTTTGGAGGTCTTTAAGCAGAGGCTTGACAACCATATGTCAGGAGTGCTCTGATGGTGTTTCCTGCTTGGCAGGGGGTTGGACTCGATGGCCCTTGTGGTCTCTTCCAACTCTATGATTCTATGATTCTATGAAACATGGATCCCAACTCTGAAAAGGGTGAAGACGGCTGATTGCTGTAATCACTGCAACTCCTTCTAATCACTGTAGCTCTGTTAAAGAAGCCTGCCTAATCTGCAATCTCAGAAGCTGTTACATCAGCAGGGCAGGCGTGCCAAGCATTCGTGCCAGGGGCCTTGTGCCGCCTTTTGCTTTGCCAAGATAATGTTGAAAAGGTGAGCGGATTAGGCCCAGAAGCACAGGTGAGTCAACCTCCCAACTGATGTGCAGCTGGACCAGCCCTTTCCAAAGCTTGTGAGCACCTTCACATTGGCCCATGCCACATATCTACCTGATAAATTAATCCACCCATGCACATGCTAGTGCTTATGTTAGTCCTCAGCATCTAGGGGGGCAACATCTGAACTGCGGAGGAACTAACTCCTGTTTGAGGCTGAGATGATCAAAATTATTTACAGCATGTGGGACCTTCAACATAAGATTGCAGCGTAGCCTCACCATCTTGCGGAGTGCTCCTGTGCAAGGTTCCTGCCAACCAGACTGGCCCTTCTCTGCAACACTATTAGTTGTAAGGCGCTCAAGCAATGTATTCCATTCTATTCCCCAACAACGCTCCTTGCCAGGTTTTACATCCCCCCCCCAAAAAAAATATAAACTGGGTGTTCTGTGGTTAGTGGGTACTGAGCCTGCTCAGTCCTCACTGGGCCGTTTGTTGGCCCCTTAGCTTGTTTTTCCTGAAAAGCTTGGGGTTTGTTTTCTTTCTTATTACTGCAAGCCTTGGGCTGCTCAGGACATGCTAATAAATTCCTCTTGTTTCTCAAAAACCCTGCTTTGGCTCCATTTTCGTCATCACTCACTACCTGAGTTTGCTATTAGAAGAAATAATATATTTTGGAGGCATGGAATAGACCTTAGCCACAAACAAAGTGTCAGGAGCTGGAGTCGGGAGCAGGTCAGAAATAAAACACTCAGTGTCAACTAAGTTAACTCTTTATTCAAACAAAACAGCTCAGGTCTAGTGATCCCAGCAACTCTTCCCAGTAGGTCTTGTCCCAGTAAAGCAGTTGCAAGGACTGAAGTCCTTCCCACTGCTCTCTAAGGCTCCTCTCCTGGGTCCTTTCCGAGCAACCTGAGGCTCCTTCATCTTGTCTCTCTTTGCTCTGCCCTCTTCATTCCTCTCTGTGTTCTGGGAGACCAGGGGGGATAAGACCTGGTCACAGCAGGAAGGGAAGACTCCCTGGCTTCTTCAGCAGCCTGCCTCATCTCTGTCCCTTCTCTCCAGCCTCCACTTCTGCCTCTAACTCTGGACTGCTCTCTGCCACCGCCTCTTCCTGCTCACTAAACCCTGTTACCAACACCTCCTCCTCCTCCCAGTCTTCTTCCTCTTCTTCTGACCACACATTGTCATTCCACCACCAGTCCCCTGGCTCTGAGCCTTCTTCCCCTGGGGGTTCCCTAGCTGTGGCCTCTCACCATTTCTCTGCATCCAGCAGGTCCATGACACAAAGCTGCTTTCCAGCAAGTTCTGTTGCCACAGAAGCTATTTTCTGCTGCCATAAGTGAGCCAGTTTTGGTACAGGGAGTTCCATGTGATAAGACACCTAAGCTGCCCAGTCCTGTGGGCTCATAATGGGTAACAACAATTATAAAGCCTAAATATAAATCACTAATGAAAACCAGCTTTTTCTCAGTTATAATGCTAGCTGTTGAAAGCTTGCCACCCCGAAAAGTTCAGAATTAAAAGGGCAATTTTTGCACAGCTGAAATCAAGCTAAAGGGAGGACACCTTAATCAGGCAATGGTATATTTCAAGTTTGATAACCCTTGTGTTCACTTTAGTTTATATATTATTTCCTGTGTTTTCTCCAAGGACCTCAAGATTATTATTATTATTATTAATAATAATAATAATAATAATAATAATAATTTATATCCTTTCCTCCCTGGCCAAAGCTGGGCTCAGAGTGGCTAACAACAGTAAAAATAGCACAATTTACATAAAATCACAGTCAATTAATTAAAATAAATTATAAAGTCAATTCAGAATCAAATTAATGGCAAGCATTGGGCTGGAGTTCTATGAGGATTACAGAAGGAGGGGGTCAGACTGTGCCTTGACCAAAGGTCTGGTGGAACAGCTCCGTCTTGCAGGCCCTGTGGAAAGATGTCAAATCCTGCAGGGCCCTAGTCTCTTGGGACAGAGCGTTCCACCAGATCGGGGCCACGGCATATAGTGCTGTCAGCCCCACATTTTATGAGAATTTGAACCTGGTCTTCTTGGTCTAATTCCACAAACAAACCACTACACCACAGTGCTAAAGAAGCATTTCACTTCTATGAGGCTCACACTGGATTTTCAGTGGAGATTAAGTCACATTTCATTACCACGCTAGAAAGAAAAGCCAGCATCTGCCCCCTTAATCATTTGCCATGAGGATGGAGCTGTGAAGGTCATCTGACAATGGCCTGTGGCCCAACTGTGTTTGCTCTAGAACCACTGCAGTCACCAACAAACACCCAGCAGGGAAAACCATGGTAAACTGAAAGATAAGCCAACACTGATTTATTTCCAAACCATTATTGATCAGGTGTGATGAGGTGGCAGAGGAACTTTCACAAGTAATTCCGCAGCAAAACAAAAGTAGCCAGTAATTATCAATGCACCATCAGTTACCCACTTTTTTCCCAGCTGTGCCTTTAGGCCAAATCACCTGGAGGTATTTCTTTCCAAGGAAATAGCCGGATTTTAAATAGATATTTAGAATTCCAAGGGAGACAGAGAACGGCACCATTTTCCCTCTCCTTACCTCGGGGTCAGGCAGGTGAATGCCTACTGAGACCATTGGAGCTGCAGAAAGGGGTCCAAGCTTCATAAAAGATGACGCAGGCTCTGCTATTTTGGAAGCAGCAGGTCCTTCTTCACTGCCATATCCTGGAGATGTAGCATTTTACTCTGTAGCCACACATGCCAGACACCCTAGGGGCAAAGCTTGGCCAGAAGAGGACCAGTCTGACCTGTTTCTTAGCCAGACTGTTAGAAAAGCCTGGGATGAAGCTTCAGCAATTAACTCCATCAGTCCTGTTTCCAAGCAGGAGGCGACTGCTTGCCAAGGAATTAAGAATCAGATCACTCTGTTTGGACATGTGGCCAAATTTAGTTGGCTACTGATTCAAAAATACACAAAAACCAAGCACCCCACTCCTGGCTTACTAACAGTACATGTGAAAAGGATCTTGGGGTCTTGCTTAACATGAGTCAACAGTGTGATGAAACAGCAAAAAAACTCTAATGCTATCATAGGCTGCATCAGCAGAAATATAGTGTCCAGATCAAGGGAAGTAATAGTCCCACTCTCTTCTGCCTTGGTCAGACCACACCTGGAATATGGTGGCCAATTTTGGGCACCACAATATAAGGAGGATATTGACAAGCTGGAACATGTTCAGAGGAAGGTAACCAAGATGTTCAAGGGTCTAGAAACCAAGCCTTATGAGAAGCAGTTGGGAATGTTTAGCCTGGAAAAGAAGAGACCGAGAGGCGATAAGACAGCCATCTTCAAATACATAAAGGGCTGTCACGTGGAAGATGATCCCAGTACATACCGAGGGCATGAGTTTGCTTCCCTTGGAATAAATGTCACAGGAGACTTATGGTATTTCTGTGATAAAAGGTTTTGTTTGCATATGTATACAGGCTGGGCATAAGATAGAACAGGGCCAGCCCAGAACATTTTGTCGGGAGAGACAAAACAGAAATGCTGCCCCCTCTGCTGCCTCACCCTCTATCACATGCCCGCCCATCATGCACCCACCGCAACCCAGAGGCAGTGGCAGTAGCACAGTGGCTGGAGGGTGTGCAGTGGGGGAGGCAGGAAGGTGCCAAGTGTGCAACAAAGGAGGAGAAGGAGGAGTTTGGATTTGATATTCCGCTTTATCACTACCCTAAGGAGTCTCAAAGTGGCTAACAATCTCCTTTCCCTTCCTCCCCCACAACAAACACTCTGTGAGGTGAGTAGGGCTAAGAGACTTCAGAGAAGTGTGAGTAGCCCAAGGTCACCCAGCAGCTGCATGTGAAAGAGTGGAGACCCGAACCCAGTTGAGAGTCGACCACTCTTAATCACTATCACACTGGCTCTCAAAGGGCAGGAGGTGGTGAGCTCCTCAAAAGCCTGATCTGCAACCCCTTCCAGGTACTCAGAGGCCACTGCCTCGTCTCACCTCGAAATGGAAGGTTCACAACACTAACACTCCATCAGACCCTGCTCCCCAACAATGGGGGGGGCATTTTAGCCATAGCTTCTCTCTATCACTTTCAGAACCAGCTTTGAGACAGCCAGTCTGTTGTTTTTTCCACACACACACACACACACACACACACACACAGGCAGAGGAAGGGGAGAAGAATGGCATCACCCTTTTGAGAAAGATGTATGGTACGGCTATTTAGTTTCTGGGACAACACATCACCTGTACTTGGCCATCTTTTTAGTTATGGAAAGACCCACTTTTTCCAACCAGAGGTTTCTCCCAAGCTAATGTTGTCCACCTGATTTGACCTTTTTAGTAATATCTTTTTACAACCATAGTCACAGCCCAAATGTCACTGCAACATGTTTCCTTAATTCCCACCACTATAGGACACATCTAGTCCTTTCCCCAGTCTAACCAAAGTGCTGCTTCCCTTGAAGCAACTACACTGATCTTTATCTTTCCACCACAGACCCTTCCCCCTCAGAGTATCTGTAAACATTTTGGAGCAAATTTGGCACCAGCCAGGAATGTGGACTCAAAGAGGCAAGAGAGGAGCCATTTTTAGGACAGAATCACTTACGTCAGCACATTTATGAAGTGTGAGAAAAGCAGAACAAAAGGCTGTTGTAAAAGATACGACATGGTGCATGGGCTGATCCCAGCTGTGCCACTACAATGGCTGAGACTGTGTCGGTTGAAATGCAAAGCCCACATGAGATGCACATTGGTTTCATATGCAACAATGGTCAATACCAAATGGGCACTTTAAAGGTGCTTTAAGTATCACTCTGTAATCTCTCCCCCCCCTTTCAGTTTACAAGTATTACCACCATTCACAAATAAAGCTTTTCGAGCTTCAAATGTCACCATGGTTGTCTCAAATAGTGAGGTCCAAGGCACTCCCCAATTTGCCTCCCTAGATGATGGTTCATAATATATTGAAGCCTCACTCAGATACAATTTCATCATGACATGTTTTGTGACATTCTGGACAGTGTGTGACCTTCACCCCTCTCCATTTTCTGCATTACCTGCCTACCAGGTGACCTCTCTGACTAAACAGACCAGATTGGGGAAATGCCTTCTCAATTTCCCATGGCTTGTTCAAAGACCCTTTCTTTAAAAGGGCAGGGATGTGTACACCAGTAGGCACACACAGGGTAGGAACCCTGCCTCCCTGCAGATATGGTTGGCCTACAATTTCCCATAATCCCTGACCATTGGCTGTGCTGGTTGGAACTGAAGGGAGCTGGAGCCCAGCAACAGTAAACCACTTAGACTGAGGTTGCAGATGATTGAGCATTATATAAAGCCACTTAGTCAAATGAATGACTAATTAAACATCTGGAGGGCACCAGGTCCCCCACTCCTGATGAGCACACAAAACAGATGAGACAGCTACAAAACTGGCAAGCCTTTCCCAGCACTGTCAGTTTCACCACAGACTGGGCAGTGTGGGAGAGAAATGGAAGGGCTGGCCAGGCAGCAGATTCCCATAGTCACGTAAAAAGTAGAGAATGTGAGTCAGGGGGGCTTTGTCCCCAGTGCAGCAGGACCCCTCTTAGTGGTCCTAGTTCTACGCTAGTTTAATCCTTGGCATGCAAGTGTTCTGTGTGCAGCGTGCGAGTGGGTGCACATTGAGAAACAAAAGAACCTGTCCCACATGGGCAGTGTAACGGAAGAGGGAGCAGAAGGGTGTTTGACAGCAGGGGAGCGTGATGGAATGTGGGCTGGAGTTAGAGTGAGTGACAGGTGGACCGTGTCTCTCAAGAAGACAGTTGAAGGCTGCTGGGAAAGAGAGAGGCAGAAACAGAGAGGGAAGAAGGGAGGGACAGAGAGAGCTCATCCAAAAGACCTGTTCATTGAGCGTTCACCCTCATTCACTTGCACAAAGCTTGCACACAAGGTTAGATGATACCCTGTATTCACTGAGAATTTGGTTTACTTATGTGGTGGTTATGCAACAATGAGCACTCGCTTTGGTTTGCTTGCACGGTAGCTACATGTCTTCCCATTAATCAGTTGTTTATCCCACACTTTTTAGTGCAGTCCGCTGGTCACTTTCCTAACGGCAAGAAAGTCTGTTGTGGGTTGTTGTTGTTGTTTTTAATGTGGATTTGTTGCACCAGAACACTGCAATCCACTTTAATGGCACAAACCTAAATTTCCTCTATGCAGCTGAATGCCTCCCGCAAAGTCAGTACTGGAGGTGACCAGTGAATGAGATGGGAGGGATAATGAAAGCCTAAGTAAAGGTAGCTTTTTCAGGGTTCGTTATGTGAGGTAAGGGCAGCCTTCCTCAAGCCGGTCCCTTCCAGATGTTGTTCGACTCCAATTCCCATCATCCCTGACCCCCTAGGCCAGGCAACCCCAATCTCGGCCCTCCAGATGTTTTGGGACTACAACTCCCATCATCCCTAGCTAACAGGACCAGCGGTCAGGGATGATGGGAATTGTAGCCCCAAAACATCTGGAGGGCCGAGTTTGGGGATGCCTGCCCCAGGCCATGCTGGCTGGGTCTGATGGGATTTGGAGTCCAACAACATTTGGAAGTCACCAAGCCAGGGAAGGCTGGGTGAAAATATTTGAACTTCTCTTTTAGTATTCTGCATGAAATGGCTACTTGTTCTAGGTACTATATTCTAGAAATAAATACATGTTTACTGTTTTAAAGCCTAGGTTGATTACAAGGTTGGTGTATCCCATCCCACATGTCTAGTCAAACAACAATAGAGAGAAAGAACCCTTTTGCCCGCTATGACTCAGTAGGTGTGGCAGTACTGTATTGCAAGGACCATTAAGGGACCTCTAGACTCAGCAGAGCAGCTGATCTCATCACCCTCTGGGCCTCTAGGGGACCCTGAGAACGTCACAGACCATCTGTAGTAGCAAATTCTAGGGGCAGGTTTGCCACAGTGCAGTTCAGGAGCCATAACTCAGTGGCAGAGTACACGCTTGGCTTCAACACCTAACATGACATTCTGTGGCTAAAATTATTTCTGGGAGCAGAGCTGGGGAAGACCTCTGCTTGTGACCCTGTATTGCTGCTGCCAGTCAGGATGACTTGGCATGAAAAAGCTGTCTGTATCCTCACCACACACCTGCCCAACTGTGACTCACCAATCCGAAGGCAGCCCATCATCCACGCATGGGTCCCAACGCAGTGCATGCAGAGAAAGCTGGAAGGGATCATCACCACACATTCAGGCACATTTGGGCTGGTTGCCTTTTTACCATTGCTCATCTTCTTTCTTGGTGACTGCATTCCTAGAATCCTAGAATTGTAGTGTTGGAAGGGAACGTGAGGGTTATGTAGTCCAACCCTCCGCAATGCAGGAATCTGTTGCCCAACATGGGGCTCAAACCCATGTTCATGAGATTAAGAGTCTCACGCTCCACCAAATGAGCTGTCCTATGCACACTTTCTGAATAAACATGCAGAGGATTGCACTGTTAGCTGCTGAGACGGGATATCAATTGAGTGAAGCAGAAAGCGCAAGACACACCGGCTCCTCCTTGCCTACGCATCTGATTGCTATCCAGATTTTTCTCCATGTCAGCAAGAGAGTCTTTAAACTCCCACGAGGCAAAGATGGGAGCCTGTCCAATATAATGTGTATCTCAGCTGCACTGGCCAGGGGCCTCCTGAACCTTTAATATTTGTGTGGAAGAGGAAATTTCAACAGGTGTAGCTTGTCATGCCTGTTACACCTGCTTAAATTCCAGCACAACTATTAAAGGTGCAAGAGCTGTCTCTTTGTTTGTATCTGGATTCCTTAAGCTTGGCTCTTCTTCATCCTCACACAGTAGGCCTGAGAGATGGGCTCCTTTTATCCTCATGGTACTAAAGAGGGCCAGTGGTCACCAACAACAGGTGGGGTGATGACCAGACTGTACCATTTCAGACTCAAGTAATGAGATGAGGTCTCAAAACGACTGAAGGCTCCTTCGTAAACACACCCTAATTCTCTGCATGTGAAAATCTAGGTGTCAGCTAGTGGATAAAGATATTTTTGCACCTGGGTTTGCCTCATACAAACCCAGCCACACCATCTGCTGCTTGGGAGGAGTGAAAGTAGCAGGTAGCAGCTGTACCCTCACAACATCCAGAAAACCTTCTGCAGAGCTGAGCCCTGTATCACCTTGTGCAGACTCTAATCACAGCAGCGGTGCTGGTGAATCTTTACAACATTCCTGCAAGGCGGGCTGGTATTATTTTGCATAGAAAGGGGGGGCTAAGGCTTTGTGGAACATGGAAAGCTGTTTTACGTCAGGTCAGACTGCAGGTCAGCCCAGTATTGTCCACTCTGACTGGCAGACTGGTCTTTCCCCACACCAGCTACATCAATCCTTTAACTAGATATGGCAGGAGCTGATCCGAGGGCCTTCAGAATGAAAAGTATGTGCTCTTAGCTATGGGCCTTCCAAAGAGCTCGCTGCTGCATTCACTCATGGAAAAGGAAAGAGATGAACCAGGGACTTGGCTCTTAGCTGCTGTAGGAAACAAGCACAATCTGAAGTTGTTTCTACCTTTGGTTCCTATCCCATATGAGTTTGCCTTTAGCCCTTACAAAATAACATTCCCAGATTCCCAGGATTACACAGCTGATAAGTTGCATTTACGCCGTATTCTTTGCTGCTCCCACTTACTGCAGTGAGTGGCCGGATTCTGTCTTCTGAAGGCAGCATCCCCAAGCTCCAGCACCCTGCCTTCCCCACCTCTCTGATTTCCTAATACAAGCAAGTTGCAAGCAAGTTAAAACAGCATCAGCCCCAATTGTGTCCTTGGGGTATCCCACTGTTTACATCCCCACCCTTGGCACGACTCTTCCCCGACGACTGCAGCCCCTGTGTTGTTGATCAGGACAGCTGTTCTTCCGGCAGGCAGCGCCAGCTCTGACCGTCCAAGCAACTTCCTAAGGGGCTGTCACCTCCCCCACTTTCCTGCCCGTGGCCGCAGGGAGAAGAGAGTCTGCCTGTCGCCAGAAATCCGGCCTGCACGGGCAGCCAGCCAAACCTGGGGCCTGCCGTTTTCTTCCTGGCTATGTTTGGCTACTTCTGTCCCCAGAAGGCCATCGCCCTTCCTCAGACCAAAGAGAACAGTCAAGAATTCCCCTGGGGAGCCTCCTTCCTCTGGGTTTGATTGTATGGTGGACTGGGCTGGTGATCAGGCAGGCTTGTGTGGAATGAGGACTGTTTGCTTGGTTTTGGAACAACTTCCTAGAACTCAGGGACTTGAGGATCTGTCTGCTTACATATGTTGACATATGCTGCACAGCTTCGTTGACAGCCAGTGTGGTACAGTGCTGGACTAGGACTTGGGAGACCAGGGTTCAAATCCCCACTTGGCCATGAAGCGAACTGGGTGACCTTGGGTCAGACACTGCCTCTCAGCCCTACTACCTCACAGTGTTGTTGTGGGGATCAAATGAGGAGGGTGGAGAAGCATGTATGGCACTTCAAGTTCCTTGGAAAAAAGTGAGATATAAATGGAATACATAAATTGAACCACAGTCCACTCCTGGTTGCCTTCATACCAAGGTGAAAACCTTGGTCTGCTAAAACAGCTTTGGAAATAATAACCAAGTGTGGGAGTACTTCTGAGACCAAGTGCTTGTCTTTCACCGCTGAGTATTGACACTCTGCCTTCTCATCTCTTGGATTGCAAAGGAAGACTTGTATTTTCAGAAAGCAAGTTCAAGTGCTCTCACATACTGGTCAGGTGCAAGCTATTGGCTGCATTTATTTTCCTGCTTGTTAGAGATTGGTATCCCACCCTTCCTCCAAGGAAATCAGCTCACCAGTTTTTGCCTTATGGCAATGCTGTGAGAGAGGGGAGGCCAAGCGACAGGCTTTGCCCAAAGTCATCCAGGTCTCTTCCCAGTACATTCCAAGAGGGAGAGGGCATGGGGACAAGATTTTGTCACTGTCCCATTTCTTCTAGAGGTCTATTGTTAACTTCCCAAATTCTAGAGACGAAAGGGTATGTTTAAAAAACAGCAGCCGCATTTAAGCTGGAGTCCTGGGGGCAGGGAGTGGCGTCCTTGCCTGTTAGCACTAAAATAAAAGAGGGAAAATAAAGTGACTTGTGCTTGTTATAACTTGACACCGATTGCTTGCTTCCTCCAGAGAACCAGGAAAGGAATCCATCAACTCAAAGGGGTGGATGGTGGAGTAGACCAGTTAGCAATAAGAGGGAATCTCATTTGGTCCAGATGTACCACTGCAATGAACCAATGAGGACAGTGGTACAACAATTTTAAAAACTGCCACCAAAGCTAAGGGGGTCCGGGATGGCTCCAAATTGAATGGGGGACCATGTGTTGAGAGTCCTGCATTGCAGGAGGCTGGACTAGATGACCCTCGGGGTCCCTTCCAACTCTGTAATTCTATGATCAGAAGCAAAGGACTGCAAGAGGTAAGGCAGTTCATGAACCCCATGACTCATTGATCCATCTCAGATTCCTGGCAATCCCAGCTTTTATTTTATAGTGAAGATTACATTTCAAACTATGTTTTCACACAAACAGATATAAAGAAGCCCAATGGCATTAGATGCAGGCTTTAAAAAACAAAACCATGTGGTATCTCTCTCGTTCAATCCATGCAACTGACTGCCTGATTTATAGATACTACACTAGCATAAAGCTAGAACTCTAAAAATAAATAAATGAACAATTTCTTTTTAAAGGAATCTAAATTCAGTGGAAGGTACCAGATTTCATATGTGCACACCTGTGGGAGTAAGCAATCTGATCTGTAATTAGATCTTGATGAAGGTAGGGATAAGCACTCTTGATCCACCTCAAAACAGCTAAACTCTGATGATTTTCATTGTGGGTTGGAGATGTCAAGCAGTTTGTGTGAGAATGATCCAGCATGGCTTGTGTGGGCATGCAAGGGATCCCAGGGCTTAAGGACCCAAAGGACACATTTGCTCCTATACCTTCTAAACATTTGTCCTGTTGATGCTTCTGAATAGGTCTGCACACAGCACAGCTTCTACCCATATGCAGGATTGTCTTATGATCTCCACATGCATTAGCCTGCTCATTCCTAGACCAGTGCAATCTATGGGTAATACTGGCCTAGTTTATATGGCGGTTTTGAAGATTACTGAGCTGGTATGCAGAGCACTTTGCATACTCAGAAACTCTAAATAAATGCTTAATACATAATAATAATAATAATAATGTGCTGTCCATGTAGGAATTCTAGAACTCCAAACCCTCAGGGGCAGTAGAAAATAGATCTCAACAGGGCTTACATCTCTGACAAAATTCCTTGGGATGGGCATCTGTTCCTACTTACTTGGGAGCAAGTCCCTTTGAACTCCGTGGGACTTACTTCTGAGTAGACATATACAGACGTGTGCATGTTATTTAATCTCCTGTCAGAGATACAGTGTGGATTAAGTGAGCTCCTTGGAAGAAGGCAAGGTACAAATGTGAAAAACAAAGATTGCATGCCTAGTGGCTTTAACCTCTTGCTACACTGCCACGATTAGAAAGGGTGTGTGTGGAAACAGACAAACCGAGCAAAGCCAGTGGCCACACAACTCCTGCAGAGTACAGCACTGAAAACAATTGCGACCAAAGAAGTAAAGTGGACAGGCTGGGTGCTACGAACGCTGGTCCAGGAGACACTTGAGAGAGTGTTTGTCAGCCCTGTGCTAAAAGGTTATGCACACACACACACACAGAGAGAGAGAGATTCCGGTTATGGAAAATGGCTTCATGTCTTTTCTGGCGCCAAGAACATGCTGAACCCTGGCCCTGTTTGTGCCAGTGGTTTTGCTATCACATTGACTCACAGCAGCCTGCAAAACCAGCTCTGGGCATAATGACAAACAGGTAGCTTATCCTGACTGGCTCCACATGCTCACTTGGGGTCAGGAGAAGCCTCCCTGTCATTCAGAGCCACCTGCCTACCCAGTCACAACAAAAACCACCTGTTGAGACGCAGCATCCAGCTGCAGAGCATCGGTACTCACCCATCGGATCCCCTGGATCCTGGGGGTGCTGCCCACCTGCCCCTCCAGCTGGATCTGATAGCTGTAGCTGCGGAACAAGTGCATCTTTTTCCAAATCACTTCGAGAAGACTTTCTTCTGGGATGGGATCCATGAGCCCCTTGGGGAGCTGGGGCAAGTCTGAGACGTCACCAGGCAGAAGCCCGACATTCCACCTTCTTCCCTGTCCCCTCCATGCCACCTTGGGGAGCAAAGGGAAGCAGTGAGAAAATGAAAAAAGCATTTTGCTCATGCTGCATTCTGCCTGTGCAATGGGAGGGCTGGGCTTCTTATGAATTCCTCCGCCCGCCCCCCCAACAGCAGTACTGTAATATTGTTGTTATTTATATTTCTGTATTACTGCAATATCACAGCACTCCAGGGTGCTTAAAGCACGTTGCCGACACTGTCTTAATACTCCTAAGGACAACCCTGTAAGGTGGGTGAAAATGCTTAACTCCAGGGACTGAAGGTAAGAGCAGTTTTCCTTGCCTAAGGCTACCACTTAAGCGATATTAAGGGTGACATCTGAATTCAGGGCTTCCTGGCTCACAGCCGGCAACTCTAGCATGCCTCCGTTCTCATGGCTCATTCGTCTGCCAGCCAATATAGATGGCGGCTGCGCCGGGTATCTGGCAAAAGTGGTGCCGCTTCGTCGTTCTTCCATGGACTCTGGTCCGCAAAAGCTTCTGGCTATCAAACATCCGTTAGCCTTGGTTGGAGGTGTCACGAGGTGGGTTGTTTTTGCGGCTTCCCCTCTGCTGATGCCGCTTCTCGCAGGCTTTTAACTCAGCTGCTTATAGCTCGGCGCCCGCACATCCATCCGAGGCGCTGCCATGCCCGCACCCCACCTGTCGCCAACAGGTAACCTTCCTCGGGCGCCACGCACTCACCTTCATGCCCACTACTCGGCCCGCCTGGAGAAGCCTGTCCAGAGTGGGGGCGCTCTCTTGGGGGGCCCGGATGGATGACCTTACGGGGAAAAGAGGCGAGCCGAACCATCCTCGGGCAGGAGAAGCCCCGAGGAATCCAACGCGGAACCCATTGGAAGCGACGGTTTTTCGGAGCCGGTACGCGCTTTACGCAAACAGCCCTGGCCGGCTGGCCCGTTTAGACACGCGCGCGCCCCCGCCCGCTGGCGCTGGAGCAGAAGCCGCCACCAGGATCTTGCTCTGGGCTTCCTGGTCCCCCACTCGCCCGCCCGCCGTGCCCAGGACGGAGAGCGAGGGCTCCGGCAGCGCCTTCCCTCTCCGCCAGCCCGGCGAGCAAGAGCGCGACGCGCCGCCGGGGCTGCAGGCAGGCAGGCAGGCAGGAGAGCGCCTGGCGCGCCGCCCGGAAGCTCTGGGCTGCAAAAGGCGCTCGCGGAGGCCGGGAGCGCCACGCCCCACCACCCGCGCCACCCCACCCGGGGCTGGGGAAGGGACCTGGCAGGCAGCGACGTTTCGCGTGAAGCGAGTCTGGAGGAGCTCGAAGCAGCCGGACCAGCGCCTCGGCAGCCTTCAGAAAGCAGCAAAGAAACGGGCCCCAACGCCCTCCTACAAGGGCCGGCCCAAGATATTTTGGCCCCCCAGGCAGACCGCAAAATGTGCCCCCTCTCCGGGCCAAAGAAGAAGGGGCGAATGAAGAGCTACTACATCACAAACAAGGAGGCGGGGAAGAGCTATATCGGTCACAAGGGGTGGGAGGGGGAATTGGTTTGTTTTATGTTTATTTTTTATTTATAAAATTTGTATACCGCCTCTCATCCAAAGATCCCAGGGCGGTTCCCAACAGAAAAATACAAAAACAAACAAACCAATAAACCCCGCTCCCACAAACACATTTTAAAAACCATAGCGCCCAGCTCACCTGGCTTTGAGAAGGCAGAGCAAGGGCTGGTGGGAGACCCTCAAATGTTGCTGGGGGGCACAAAAAAAAATCCTCAAGGGCAGCATGTGGCCCTTGTGTTGAACCACCTTTGTTTAGGATGATGTTAGTCTGAATTAGTCACTTAATACATACAGTGGTACCTTGGGTTACAGACGCTTCAGGTTACGCGATTTCGGGTTGTGCACCGCACCGAACCCGGAAGTACTGGAATGGGTCACTTCCGGGTTTCGGCCTTTGCGCCCACACAGAAGCACTAAATTGCGCTTTGCGCATGCGCAGAAGCGCTGAATCACGACCCGTGTGTGCGCAGACATGGCACTGCAGGTTGCAAATGCTGCGGGTTTCGAACGTGCCTCCCGCACGGATCACGTTCACAACCCGAGGTTCCACTGTAATTACATTTTCATTCTGGATTTACAGCTGTCCATGGAGGCACAGGTCAGGGCGGTTGTCTACCAGCTCCATCTCGTACGCCAGCTGAGATCCTACCTGCCTGCACATTGTGGCACATGCTTTGGTTCTCCTACTTAGATTACTGCAATGTGCTCTGTGTGGGGCTACCAGTGAAGGTGACTTAGAAACCAGTCCCATCAGATGTCAAGGAGATCAATAACTAGAACCTTTCGAAGACACCTGAAGGCAGCCCTATACAGTATAGGGAAGTTTTTAATGTTTGATGTTGTATTGTGTTTTTACTAAACAAATTTGTTGGGAGCCACCCAGGGTGGCTTGGGCAATCCAGTCAGATGGGGGACATGTTAAAATGCCTATAAACATACTTCCTATTCTCAATATAATATTAAAACACAGAGATACACATGTGCAGCAAAAGCAGACATATTAAGTCAGGCAGGCTGCAGATCCATCCAGCTCAGCGTTGTCTACAGTGGGCCAGTCAGGATACAAGGCAGTCGTCTTTCCCAGGCATATCTGGAAATGCCAAGGATTGAACTTGGGACCTTTTGCATGCAAATCATGCACTTCACCACGGAGCTATGCTCAGGGCCATCTTAAGCATATCCGGCACAGTGGAGCAAAGATCCCTCCGCTCCCCCCCTCCATTTCCCAGAGTTGTCGACCTTTTTTAAGGAAAGGTTCCCCAGAGTTGTTGACCTTTCTGTAGGGACCTGACACCACACTTTCACTCTAACAAGTCCATAGAACAAAATAAAATGAGAAAGCAGAAGAAAATCTAATGAAGTCCTCAGTTCCAAAGCAAGACTCATTCAAGACGCAACAGTTCTTCTGATTCATCCTCATGATTCAAATTAGCACATATCAAAAAGTTAAAGCAATCACCAGTTTGTTGTTCTTTAAATAAATTGATAAAGACACAGACAATGAAGTTCCCGGCCAATATGTGTTTAAGTACAAAGCTGACGTTTTCAAATATTGGGGGGGGGGGGTGTAAAGCAGTGACATCCTGAACCTAAAAAGGACCCAAAATGTGGGTCACAAAGGCTGCAGCCCTAACTGCACTTACCTGAGAGTAAGCCCTGCTGAATCTAATAGGACCTTAAAACCCACCCCCGTCTTTAAAGGACTTTTTGTCAGTGTTTGTTTGTTTTTAACCGCTAACTGCATGGAGAGCATGCTCTCGAGTCCATCCTTACCCCCGAACTGAGTCCTAATGGTAGTGCACCCCCCCTCAGCTTTCCCCTCCCACCGCCCCAAATCTGAATGAATCCCTCCTCCACCTTTTTCCTCAATGGAAGGGGTGGGGGGTGATGTTCTCGGCTCCCCTCGTCCTCCCCACCCCCTGCGCTGGGCAGCTCGAGGCTCACTTGCCGCATGGGCTTCCTCAGCAGTCCTGCTACTGCCGCGGGGTGGGCAGGTGGGAGAAGGGTGTTGCATAGCTTTGCACGCCGCTGCCGCTGCCTCCTCTCCCAGGCAGAAAGTGAGAGAGCGTGGCCGGCTGTAGGAAGAGCCACCACCACTGCCTAGCATGTTCTCACAGCTGTTCCCGGTCGGTCCGGACTCCAGCTGCTGGGTGTCCCTGATAGGCAGGCGCCGTGGCGCAGGGTGCCACTAACCCTAATGGGTAAGACGGCCCTGGCTATGGTCCCTCCTCCTTGCCACATTAGGGGCAAGAATAATGACACCTGACATGGTGTTGAGTACATGATTTCATCCACTGAAGTCCAGTGACATAATGCAACACATTATACATAACTGCTTATGCTATGGTGTTACCTCATTCAGTGGACCAAACTGATCTTATCTACAGAATTAATTGCCCAAGACAGGGACCAAAGACGTAGTGGGGAGAATATGAAAGATAATTTATAGTTAAATCAATTTGGGGATAATTGGATTTCTCACCTTAACAAAACAATTCTGCATCTTGAAAAATGCAAAACTTAGTTAAGAGAATCTAAGACAGTGAAAACTCAGCATGGCATCACAGTTGATGGTACAACTTTGGGCTAGATTTTATTTGGTAGAAGAATGTCCCCAATATCCTAAACCAATTAGTTAATACAGTACTAACTATTCTGCTCTAAAGCCCATGTCTCAGAAACACACAGTCCTTCATGGGGCCTTATTTACTTAACATAGAGGAAACACACCAGACTTATCTTGAATCAAATTCAAAAAGCTGCAAAAATTAATCAGTCATCAGATTCAGATCAACAATATTCAAAAAAAGCCACAACCTTACCTCACTGATTAATTCAGTTGTTAACCACATTGAAACAGGAGCCATATGGGTTTATAAAGCAATTGCTCAACTGAACCAGTCCTATTCCAATATTCGCCTGCATCACAGGTCAATCACCCAGTAAAATATTACCCCCTGCACCTTGTGACACCAACCCGTCAGCCACCAGATTTGATGAGCTGGTCTGTATGAAATATTAAATTGATCGATTTCACACATAAGCGCCAGGTTTCCTAAGGCATAGGGAGAGCTTCCATTCAGTCCTGGCTCATGGCAGTTTTTACTGGCATAAATGAGAACAAGGAGATTGAGTCTGGAGATTAGGCAGTTATAATAGCACTGTCTCTAATAGCCAGTAAAATCTTGGAAGCCTACTTAAAGGCTTCAAGGGAGGAGCATGTGAGAGAGATACGGAGGCTGCCTTTGGAATGCTGGGTGTTTGGGCCCTTGTCTTGTGCCTTTGATTTTGGCTGTGTCCTACTAGGCTATCCTAGTATCCTGGGTCGCTGTTTCCATATGTGCAATGATGCATCTTCGTCCCCACAGGAGCATTTCAGTTTTAGGCCTCTCCAATCTATCTCAGTGTATCCTGTCCATACTGGGGGGGGGGGGCTGTGCAAGATGGGATGGATATATTTGTTCTTTGTTCTGTTGTCCTCAGCCCACAATTACAACACTCTCACCCACCATGAATTCCAGAAACCTGAGGCCCATGGCAGTCAGGTGTGCAGAGGCAAAACTGGGCAGAGCAACACAAGTGATTCTCCCTTTGTCCGGTAGGCTAGTTACTTCACAGACTCCCCCCCTCTCCCCCCCCCCCAGGCACGCAAGAGCCATTGTCAGAGTTCAGGGACACATTCCAGCCAGGCAAAAAGCAGTGTAAGGTGCAAAGCAGGGCCAGGGAGGAGAGTGACAGCGGCATGATAGAACTTAATATAAGATGAGCCCTGCTGGATCAGACCAAAGGCCACTGAATTCAGATCTCACAGCAGCCAACCAGATGCCTGCAGAAACCCAGCAACTGTGACCCGAGCAGAAGAGCCCTTTCCTCACTGGACCTTTGCTTGTGTCAGCCAACCAACTGTACACCCACAACTCTAGAGGAAGAAATAAAAAGGCAATAAAGACAGAATAGGTTTGTGAAGATTCCAAAATACTTGTCTCGAATACACTTGGGGGCTGTCAGATGCAGCATTCTGTTCTATCTTCAAATGTACTATTGCTGTAGAAAAAAATCCAAATTGGGGGAAACAGGCTGAGATTCCATCAGAACTGTCTATTTTGTAAAGCAACCCAACCAGGAAAGGATATCCTTGCTGATCCACAGGAAATGGTGCTATGACACTAATCCCTGCTCCTTGAAAACTCCAATTCCCATCAGCTCCGACAAGCATCATCAACAGTCAGGGATGATGGGCGTTTAGTCCAGCCCCGCAGAACACAGTGAAATCTGTTTTGAAGGAAACACACACCAGACTTGAAATATACTCAGAGTCGCAAGTGATTTCATGCTCTTTATTCAGCTCATAGTGGTGAGGAGGAATGAATAATAGTCCCCTCAAAGTATCTGCTTTATATACATTATTTACACAATGGGCTGCACATGATTGGCTAATTCCGGAATTCTACTGTAAGCTAATCAGGTTGTGGATTCACTTCTATCTGGAGCATGATTGGGTGGTTCCTGCCAACCAATCATACTGCTGCATTGTTCTAGGACCAATCAGACTGCTGCAGTTTGGATCCTATTCAACTCAGTACATAACACCCCTCCCCTCTAAGTTCCAGTCCTTACTGGGAGGTCGCATTCATAGTCCTCAAGGTACGCCGGCGGTCTACGTGTGCTTTGCGGCCTGGGGTGTTCCCTGGTCCGGGGTTCAGGTTCTGGCTCGTGTTCCAAGGATGCTGGCTGTGATGGGGCTGTTTGGTCTGGCGCAACAGGCTCACTCAGTTGTGGTTCTGGTTCCGGTGTCCTTTCGG